ATGATGAGGTTGACGTAGTTGCAGAACTGGCAAGTACTATTCCGTTTTCCTACCTCTTTAAAGTAAATTGTGTACCTCACATTCCCCTCAGCTCACCAAGGGCGCCTCTGGAGCAAGAGGTGATGACACCAAAAGCCTCAAAGGCAGTGTGCTTGACTGGATTACCCCCAAGGGACAGAATCTGGTTCCTCCTCTCGCTCGCAATGTGAAAATTGACCGTGGTTTTCATCACGAACGGACAGGCGCGTTACTTTGTCCTGCTGGCCTGGACTGGTCTCACTCAGAGTGCGTGGTACCTTGTTTGTCTGTTTACTTGGCGTACATACTGACGCCATGCAGGACAAAAGCTAAGCTACGAAGTGGCGAGATTATGGTGACCGGAGACCAATGGCCGTTGTTCTTATATGCTGACTACCATTATGATCCTGAGGATCCGTGGAATGGTCTGTTTCGAAGTGCCCTGTTAGTAGTGTTGCCACAGCTCAGACAACAACTTTTGAAATAAATTGACATTGTGGGCTGAATAAAATTCCTTAAATCATGAGAATATTTATGTAGGTAGATTGGGCCAGGAACCGGGGGGTTACATATGGGCATTTTTCATAGAGATGCATATTCACATGTCTATGAAGCAACTCAGTAAAGAGTCTGGCTTTTGGAGTTATCACTGAGCTGCTTCATGGTGGGCCAACAATGTATCCTAGTGAAAAATGTCCTCAGGTAACCCCCCGGTTCCTGGCCCAATCTACCTACATAAATATTCTCATGATTTAAGGAATTTTATTCAGCCCACAATGTCAATTTATTTCAAAAGTTGTTGTCTGAGCTGTGGCAACACTAGCCTGTTAGTTTGCGTGAGATATAAACTTTTGTGTCACTTCCGGGTTTCTTTGCGCTGAACTAGACCTACAGGCATATAAACATGTCTTTACGTCCCCTAGCTCTGTAGACAGAGAACCAAAGGCAACTCGTTCAGGTAATGCTCGTATTCACGGGATGACCCGAATTACTCTACCATCCATTGCATACATTGCAACTCAGGTGCGTCTACATTTCAAATCTGTTTATTTCTTCTAAGTGAACTTTCTTTCCAGGTCCGGTTCGCCCTCACCTCCTCACCTGTTTTCTCGCGTACCGACACAGTCACAGATTCCGAAAGGTTCTACAACTCCATTTTGGACGTCTTCGAAGATCCCGACGAGAAACAAGAGGTAGACGATCTTGCTGTGTGGTGGAACAGGTGATTGATTATTTTTTCCGCTCTGCTGATGCTCATATTTTCTAGGCAAATCTTTCCTTCATACTCAACTGCTCAACGTCCCCCGGTCAAGAACAGTGCGCTGGCGAGGATTCGAGAGAGGCGAGCCCAAATGAAAGAGGCTTCAGTCCCTGACAGTAGTAGTGGTGATGTGTAGCACAAAGTTGGCACAAGATAGTTTATTGCATGCGCTATACAATCCACGTTCAGTGATCCAAAACCTGTGTGAGAGAGTATCTTCTGACACCAAGGTTATACCCGGCCTTCAAACTAAGACTTAGTGATAAATTCTGCTCGTTTTTGTGTGTTTTTACCCATAGTGGCAATTAAGGCGGTCATGATGCAATGATAGACTACATAGTCTGTGATGATACAGACTTACTAGCACATATCATGATGAGATTCTTTCTCCAAATTCACTAGCTATTACCTTGCTGGTCACGAGTCCAACAAGTGTGTTCGTAGCTAATACTTGCAAGAACATACCAATTGGTAACATTCTGACATCATTTGTACCTTTCATAAAAGCACGCTTCCATTACATACTTAGATGCTAGAGTTGACGGAGCATCAAAATTGCAAAAGTTAAATTCCTTGCCATGCAGATACTCCTGTGCAATCCCTGCCCTTATGGTGACCTTTGTACGCTCTGTCAAGGCAAGCATACATTATAATTGAAGGGACTACCGTCTATAAATGGTCACAATTGCAAGGCTAGGTGGACATTGGTAATCCACATCCCTTTGATCACACTCGATAATTAATCTCATCCTTACGTAGATGGTGACTCCTGCCTTGTCTATCCTCCCATGTAAGACTTCACAACACGACTTATCATTGTTACACTTATTGTGGCAATTTTGTTTATTATAATCTTATATATACTAATATAATTTCGTGGTTGGATGTCTGATGCTGGAACTCCGGATACCTCCTTGCAGCCCCCGATGATGGCGAGACAGTTGGCGCCGATGGAGTATGGTCGCGATAGCGTCATATTCAACGGCAACACGCTCGGCCAGCACGTCGTGGTCAATATAGGATCCCCGAATTGCACAGGAGCTGGTGGGTCGAGCCTTACCTCTGACAAAAAATCCAAGAGCTTGACGATCTTTTACTGCTGATTAGTTAAACAGACTGCTCTTCCATCTCACAACTAAGCAACTCATGTTGTTTTTTTTGAGTTTAGTCCTGTGGGGTCATCATCGACCCTATGTTGGACACTGTCTCGCGTTTTTACTATCGAAGAGTTTAGTCCTGTGAGGTCGTTGATTGACCCTATCTTGGACATTTTTTTACTTCACAATTTTTAGTCGTGCGGGGCCGTTGAACGGTTGATTGACCCTATGCACATGACATGCTGGACGTTTTATCTCAATTTTTTGACTTTAAGGGTTTGGTCCTGTGGGCTGTTGATTAACCCTACGCGCATTTCTCATTTTTTGTCCTAGTCTCGAGCTCGTCATGGCACGATATTGTACATACTCATTTATTATTAAGTACTGAATAAACGATTTGTGTCAGTGATGCAAATGTGGACCTTTCCGATTGCAACGAAAGTTTCGCAACGTCCTGCAGTCTGTCGCATTTATCCGTGACGTTCGCAACCACCGACCACGTTAAATGCATGCATCCGAGTCCCTTGTGGGCTGTCTGGACCTATGGTGTGCATATATGCTGCCACATGGTGAGGTGTATGGTTTCCTCATGTCGTCCCTTCTAGCACCCTCCGCGCCGCGTGGCTCCCCTATCTGATCACCTCGACGGCGTAACGCCACTCGCACTCAGCTCGGATCAACGTAAACTCTAACGGAGTTTGAATGGGTACTCTGTAATGTACTTAAGGTACAATTTGGGTCTCAACAGCGTGGTGCTACCAGACGCCTTGTCTGAAGTTCATTCCCACCATTCGTCACGCAAGACAAGGCGAGCCGCTGGTGACAAGACCTCTGGCGCCTCAATAATTTTGCAATCACGCCTGTTATAATATCTTTCTTGAAACACGCACTTCTCTGTAATGGATACTTCCACTGGAGTGTACCCTCTCGCGGCACTGCAAGACACTAGTGCAAAGCCGAGACCAGCTCATGCTTCCAAGGATGATGGTACTCCCCAGCCGAATGTCAAACACCCCTCTCCAAACTCCAACAACTGCATCATACTCATACAAAACAACTTCATTGCGCAGGGGGGGACCATCAACGTGTTTTCAAGTAACTGCAACGGCTCCAGTGAGTCTATAATACGTCTAACTTACTAGAAGACTCACCCTGTAAACAAGCCGTGGTCAACTTTAATGACGCCGCTCCTACTGCAGAGCCCCTTGCGGCCTTCATTAGTGAGGTAGACAACGACAGCGGAGCGCAATCGTGAAAGAATTGTATTGATATTGTAGGATCTCCAAATTACAATTGGCGGTTGGAGGTGGTAGGTCATTTGTTCAGCTGAACTGAAAATAAACTTTATGGCTACCTAAACAAACCGCTTGTGTCCCAAATGGACCGTGACATCTAGCAGGATGGGGTGATGGCAGACCGATTCACTTGTGCACCTATGTCAAAAAATGCAATTCACTGACGGATTGCCAATCAGTGTTGCAATCCGCCAAAGAAATGCAAATTGCATGCGCCTAATTATGCTTGATGCTCGTAGTCACTTCGACGTTCCTACCTCACCACACGGCTAAAATGAGCTGACGATGAAGAAACTGAAGAGATCCGAATCTCAGAAATGAGTATTTACTTAGAGGCGTTCGTGGACTGGAGCCTTGGGCTTTCCGGCAACTTCAGTTTTCTTCGGTTCTGGAATTTAGGAGCATATCCAAGTCGTCACTAGAAATTGAACACTATCAGCTCAGCGTCATTTAAAACGAGAATCTGGTTCATAAGATGAAACCAGGTCTCAACGTTGCAACAGCCGTCAATGATTTCCTTGGCAGAGCGTAACGAAGATGGAGCAGAGGTCTGCGAGACGTACATTGGTCTGAAGTGAACACGATGATTGTGACACACAGGATGAACCTTATAAAGATGGCTTGAACGAATGGACGCCAGATGGGCCAGAGCACAGATAGGTGAGGACTGGCTAGATGAGAGAAACGCAGTGCAGTCCATGACATTGTCTCCAAACAGCAAGACAGTTGCAAGCGGACTCGGGTGGAGACGTGGATAAGAACGTGAGAGTATGAGATGTTGAGACAAGGAAGGTCATTGCCAAATGGGCAGGACACACCAGAGTTGTGTCCCGATACCCGTGCATTCGTGTTGCCGTTACATTGGCAGTTGCTGGTGCAGTTTGGGGGTGAAAGCTCTGAATTTTAGATATATTCAGTGTACATGCCATGGGTACCGAACGCACCTGAGATTCGTGCCGGAGTTACCAACGTGGAACACCGTTACAGTAAACGGTGAACAGCAATGAGGAAGAGCGTATGATTCTGGAGACGGTAGGGAACTGGCTAGTAGTGATCTAATGGGAGTGATATATATACGGAGGCGCGGTAGGTAGCCAAATATCTGATAATGAGACGCGGTGTCCAATCAATGAAGAGTCTGAAGAAGTTAGATGTCACGTGGTACGTCATGTAGTAAGCCAAGCGTTAGGTTTACCTGATTATTGTATGGTGTCACTTGAGAATGAAAGTGGGCTTGACGGTACCTACTGCCGAGCATAGAACAGCGCCAAACCAATATTGATTCTAAGCCCTAATAAGTAAGCTCGATAAAGTCCTGCAAGTATTGTATCATAGATACCACCTCCACCGCACCACTCTCACTCTCATATCCTCTCCCTCACCACACACAACGACGCCATCTTGCTCAAACTTGAAATCCGTATCCTGGAGATTGCTTCGGACGACCTTGGTACGACTGCTCTGAGGTACGGTCTTTTCTGAAGGCGGCGAAGCGGATATGGGCTGAGGTGAAGGTGGATCTGGGACTGGCGTTTTTTGGTCTTCCTTTGGCGCATCGGAGGTACTGGTTGGGTTTTCACCAGCACTCGAAGTGGGTGGAGGCGTCTTTGGTACAGGCGCAGTTGTCACTATGTTCTTGTCGTCCGCAGGCTCCTCAACAACATCTACCCTCTTCCCGTCTGTAGAAGGTGTAGGCAGGATGACAGACAACACGAACCCTTCACTCGGACTAGGCCCAGGAGCAACAAGGTACGTCTCGATGTCGCTCTCAAGAACCACTGCATATCGCTCGTCCCCACTCTCGTCCCCGGCACCATCTACGTCCATTCGCACGTCCCCTGCCCCTGCAGGTGGGTCTTGCGTGTGCATGGTCTTCCGCCGCTTTCGAGGCAAAGATGCACATACGGTAGGGTCTGCGAGATGCGGGAAGAGCGCACATGCAAGGAGCGTTGGAGTGTATTTGAATCTAAAGGAAACATCCAGTCAGCTCCCGCTCTGTACTCCAAAAAGGATACGAAAACAGAATAGAACTCACCCAGCCCCCATCCCCCAGCCACCAAACACCAAAGTCCGCGCATGCATCTTCTGCAGCTCCTCCAGATTCTCGGGGTCTGTGCTAGTTTTCCCATTCACACTGATATCTGCAAAGGCAATCCGGCGTCGCTTGCGGCCATTCGTGACGTCAGCAAACAAATGCGTGCGTGGTGGCGGTGAGGCAGATGTTGCAGGAGAAAGGGCCAGAGCCGCACGACGTGTTGCATATTCTTGTAACCTTTGTGACCTGTTGCGTCGCCCGAGTCCAGGACCTCGTGCAGTGCCCTTCTATAATATAATCCTAAATTAGTACCATGCACCACACAAACGATGCAAAAAAAAGTAAGAAAGAAAAAGGACGAAACAAATCACCCACCTCAACAACCTCAACATCCACAACCTCAACCGCACTCCCATCATGGCCCCACCCCCAACCAGCACTAACAACCCCCCCTCCCATCATCCTCTGCTTCCTCTTCAAAACTCCTCTGTCTCTGCCTCGCATCCCCACTCGCAGTACCATACCCCGCACTCGGATGCCCATAAAACGCCTCCCCCCATCCACCCACGAACCGACTCGCCCAAACACCACCAGCATAACCCATCCCATCAAGCGCCGTAGCTCCAGCAACACCGGTATTGCTTCCAGAACCATGAGACGATACGGTGGGCTGCGAAGCAGAAGACTGCGAGGTGCTAGGCGTGATCCCGTTCAATGCTGATACGGCGGGTGTGACACCGTTTGAAGGGGTTCCATTTGCTGGTCCGATACTCGCACGCACAGGAGGGTCTACGTGATTTCCATCGCCCCGGACGCTGCCTCCAAAACTCGATACGGTGGGCACGACTCCAAGCACTATTTTGATGTCTTTGCCATCTTGCTTTGCGCGACAGACGGCACTCCATGTGAGAAGACCAGCGTGTACGGCGCATGCGAGAACGTTTGAGTCGTCGGTGTAGACACGTCGGCGGGGGGCGTGCATTGGATGGTAAGTGGGCGGTGCAGAGTTTGGCGTGGTCCTAGCTACAGATCCTGAGGGGTTAGGCGTGGTGCTTGGTCCGGATGGGCCAGAACCATTTCCTGCTGCGTTGCCGTTCAAGTTCGCATGTACAGGCCAAAACTGTATCGGTGGAGGGGGTAATAGTCCTCCACCCCATAACCTCAGCTTGTGTGGCCTCGAGGCAGGGAGGAAGGAAGCCGGTATGAGGACGGTGAGGCGCACTTCTGGAGGGACAACCAAGCCGTCTTTTCCAATCTCCTGCACATCTCCTTCCTTCATGCAGGGCATGTGGTCTCCGAAAAACCATGGGAACGGCAATGCAGGGAACACCCAAGTCCCGAGGCTACAATGCGGGCGCTCCATGCGGGTTTGGAGAAGCAGTGCAAGCTCCTGCGGAGTGGGAAGGCGTTCGAGGGCTTCACGTTCAGCGCGTTCACGCTCCATTGCCTCGAGGTTCAAGCGCTCCGCACGTTCACGGGCTTCGATGTGTTCGCGCGAAATGAGGTCAAGATGTTCGCGTTCCCGAGAGAGAGCGTCAAAGCGTTCACGGTCAAGGGCGTCGAGGTGCTGCTGTCGTTCCAACCGCTCGAGGTGTTCACGCTCCATCCTCTCCCGCTCGGCGATGCTCATACCCATCCCCCGCTCACGTTCCATGTACTCGCGCTCAAGGTGCTCCCTCTCTATCCTCTCCCTTTCTATCCTCTCACGCTCAAAGTGCTCGCGCTCGCGTTCACGTTCCATCATCGCTCTCTCCCTCTCTTCTATCATGGGAGACGGCATCCGCGAGTGCACCTGAGTCTGAGCTTGTGAATGTGGATGCGAACGGCGTCCTCCGATACGTCGTTCAGGCGGCTCCATACCCCTAAGTTCTCTTTCTCTCTGCTCCCTCTCCCGATCTGACAACACCTTCTGGTCGCGTTCCCTTTCCCCCACCCTTTCCCGTTCTCTCTGCTCCCGCTCTCTCATAAATTCACCCCGCTGCTCCCTCCCCCCAACACCAATACCAACACTGCCACTCTCTCGATCCCTCACCAAAAGCGCTGGATCCCTCAACTGCAGGATCTCCCCTGGACCCGGACGCTCGCTCAACCGTTGATCAGTAGGCAGGCGCTCTCTCTGCTCCCTCTCCCTCTCCCTATCTCGGTCCCGGTCCCTTTCTCTCTCAGGGACTCGCACTTCCACACGCTCCCTCTCCACTCTCTGAGTTTGAGTATGCTCCCTATCCCATTCATGCGGGTGCGGATGCGGAGGAGGCAACGCCTGGAACTGTCCTTGTCCAGGCAACAACTGTCTACGACCCTGGGTCGGTGGGGGATGGCTATGAGAAGTATGTGATGGGATATGCGCATGCGCATGGTTCGGTGTGTGTCCGTGCGTATGTGCGTGAGGCGATGGGTGGCTGTGGGAGTTCGTCGGTACGTAGGGAGGTCGGGAAAGTGGAGATGCACGATGACTGGGTCCAGGTCCTCGTTCCCCGGCGCTGGGTTTATCTCGCTGCATATCTCCTGGGCGCTCCCTTTCTCTTTCTCTGTCCCGGTCTCCGTCCCGCTCCCGTTGCTGCTGCTGCTGTTGCAGAAGTTCCCTCTCCCCTCGCTCACGCAAGGCTTCTCGTTCCCTGTGGATCGCCATCTGGCGCTCACGGTCTAGAGGGGGGACAATAGCATGGGAGCGTTCTCTTTCGCGTTCGCGTTCGCGTTCGCGCTCTCTTTCCCTATCACGTTCCCTATCGCGCTCCCTATCACGCTCTTGCTGTAGCGTATTCGGCGCATGTGGGTGGGGATGGGGATGGACAGGGCCAGGGTGGAGTTGCAGTACGCCGGGGCCTGCGGGGACGGGACCACGTTCGGAGGGGGGACGAGGACGCTCGAAGCGGTCCATTGGGTGGGCGTGTGGGTCGCGTCTGTCGTGGGATGGGCGGTCTTGTTCTCGTCTGTCTTTGGTGAGAGGTTCTCTTCTGTCCATGGGTGGATCGCGTCTGTCCATGGGTGGGTCACGCCTGTCTATGACTGGGTCACGTCTGTCCATGGGTGGGTCACGCCTGTCTATGGTTGGGTCGCGCCTATCCATAACTGGGTCGCGCCTGTCCATGGTTGGGTCACGCCTATCCACAACCGGGTCACGTCTGTCCATAGCGGGGTCACGTCTGTCCATAGCGGGATCGCGCCTATCCATAGCTGGGTCCCGTCTATCCAAAACCAATGGCTCTCTCCTCTCCATGCCCATTTCCCGTCTTTCCATGTCATGCTCTCTCTCCCGAGCAGCCGCCGCGGCACGTATCACATCCATATCCCTCTCCCGCTCATCTCGATAACGCGAGAGAAGAGGGTCTCTCTCCCTCTCGCGGGCAAGGGGTTCTCTGCCAGGTATGAGTGGCTCACGGTCACGCACAAGGAGAGGGTCTCGCTCGCGTTGGAAATGGGGGTCTCTGTCTCTGGTGAGTAACGGGTCTCGTTCTCGAGGGAGGGTGTCGCGGTCTCGTGGTAGGAGTGGCTCTCTTTCTCTTGGCAGTAAACCCAGGTCACGTTCTCTGGGCAGTAGACTGGCATCACGCTGTAAACCTGCGTCACGTTCTCTAGGTAGTAGACCAGCGTCACGTTCTCTTGGAAGGAGTGAGGCTTCCCGCTCTCTAGGGAGTAGACCAGGGTCTCTCTCACGCGGTAATAGACCTGCATCCCTAGGCAACAAGCCAGGGTCTCTCGGTAACAGTACAGGGTCACGCAAGTCACGGGGGTGGAGACCTTGTTCACGACCAGGAATAACAAGGTCGCGTTCTCGGAGAGAGTCTCGCATAGTTGGCTCGCGGTCACGAAAGTTGAGATTTGGGTTTAGATTTGGACTTGGATTGTTGAGATTGGGGTTCAAGTTTGGAGCGTTTGAAGGAGGCCGTTTGTCGAGTGCGGGTTGTTTGGGGGGTTGAGGCTGGTTTTGGGGTGAATGGGAGGGTGCTATTGGGGGGTTAGGGTTGAATGCGTAGTGAGAGGAGAAAAACGGACGTATGGGAGGACCAGGAGCAGTAGTGGGAGCTGTGATTACGTTTTGGCGTTGAACGACTGGACTCCTCTCTATGGATCGAAAATTCATTGAGAAAACAGGAATGAGGTTCACATTCAGATGAAAAGAAAAGAAGACAGACCAACGGGTAATGGCGCTCTGGTAGTTGCAGATACAAGTGGAGAGGACCCCGAAGGTGGACGAGGACCCCAGGGATTGTGAGGGTGAGGGTGAGGGTGTTGGAGACTGGCCATTGGTTGTTCTGGGGGTTGCCTCGGTGTGATGCGCTGTGGAACGAATGGGGAAGGTGGGTAGTAAGATGGCGGTGCAGGGTAGGGGGCATTGGTGGTAGATGGTGGAGCTGTTGGACGAGGAGCGGCAGGATGAGATTGGGGTGAAACTGAATTTGAAGTAGGTTGAGGTTGATTTGTTGGGGCGTTTTGACTCTGAGCAACTTGTTGGGGAACAGGTGAAGAAGAGCTGGTGCTCGTCGTGCCGTCATGCGCAGAAGGGCGTTTTCTATGCTGACTTGGTGAATCTTGAAGTAGATCAGACACGTTCATCGTACTCTGAAGAGTCGTGGTCGTCGTTTTGTGTTTGTATTCTTGTTCGTCGTCGTCGTGGACAGTGAGCTCGATGAAGCAGCCAGTGTAGTAGTGGGAGCAAAAAGAAAGCAACTTGAAGGCGAAGCGATACAAATGAATCACCCCGATCGTGATCTAATACACGTGCAGATCCAATCGGCCAGGTACACTTCTTTCGGCATTTACCGCGGACCCAAACCCGTGACTTTAATTTCGTCATCACACCTCAAGGCAGAAAGTCGAGACCGCACCTGGACAAGAACCCTTGAGTTACCGCTTCATCCAGGGTCAGTGTGAATATAGTCCACTCCACGTTGTCGAAACAGACGCTGCAGGCGCCTGTGAGGACGTTCAGCATACCGCCTTACGCATTATCCAAACCTACGGGCGGTCTGATAAGGTTCTCAAGAGCAACCGACGAAAAATGAAGGGCGCCGTGGCCGTATGCCGTCATGCGACGAATTTGGTTGAAGCCTCTTGATTGTATGTTTCATTTCCTCATCACAATATCCATCAGATTACATATCTTCACTGGACTGCGATTTACAACCTGGCTCAAACAACGAGGACTCTGCAAAGGATCCAACTATTCTTGACATCTCTCATATGGTCAACGGTATGTTTTCAGTGTCTCTACACGTCGTGTCCATAAATATGAGCCTTTCTTCTCATAGATCAAACGACCTGTCGTCAATATCCCGTACATGAGATGCTCGGCCCCGAAATTATTTTCATACTCACTCGTCGAACACTAGTATTCTCGTCAGGTCATGTGTATGCATTGCTGACAGCAACATTGACTACACATAAACCTGACGGAAATATCCACTGTCATCGTCAAATGTCACGGTTTGACCATAAATTTGTCCTTTCTCTACGGGCGACGCAACAAGAATTTTGAATGTCGATCCATTGGCGATTGGCGAGGGTCGGAGAGTCGCACCTCGCCGCAGATCTGCTGAAGAACCAAACTATACCACTAGAGCCATCCTAACGCTAATCATGACTCAACACCTTCCAGGCTGATTGTGATTGCCAATCGAGCGCTGATAATCGGGACATATAAGTATTTACACTAACAAGTCCGCCCAATCCCAATCCCTCTCCCTTTTGATCGCACCATCAAGTGCTACGGGCGCTAGTTGACATGCGCCTCTCCGCAGCCTTCGCATTATTCCCAGTACTGTATCTCGCCATTAGAGTTGGTCTGTGGCCCACCATCCTAGCAATCTGTCGTACTCCCTCTCTACTCTTCCAACCAAATGAACTCTCCCGCATCTTTATGTCCCACGTTTGGAAGGTCTTCGGTAACGGTGACGACGGAAAAACAAGTGACACCAAACAATCGCTCATAACCCTACACGCATACGGCATCGTACTCGACCTTGGCGCAGGTGAGTCTTCCGCTCACTAAGATACTTCCATTTTCATATGAAAATCAGGGCACGGCCATACAATCAACTACTTCGACCATTCCCGCGTCACAAAATACGTCGCTGTAGAGCCTAACATCCACATGCACGCCGAACTACGCCGCACAGCCTCTGCTGCCGGATACACCGAAGACACAGGCACGCTCCTCATCCTCCCCTGCGGCGCCGAAAACATCTCCACAATCCTCTCCTCCCTCCCCACACCTCACCCGCCTATCGATACCCTCATCAGCATCCTCACCATGTGCTCCATCCCCTCTCCCCAATCCACCATATCAGGATTAATCACGGAAGTGGTGAAACCAGGGGGACAGGTGCTGTTCTTTGAACATGTTCTCAGTGATAGTCAGGATGTTATGTGGTGGCAGCGGTTTTGGACGCCGCTGTGGGGTGTCTTTTTTGGTGGGTGTTGTTTGGACCGGCCGACTCATCGGTGGATTGAGGATGTTGGGGGGTGGGTGAGGGAAGAAGGATGGATGTGGGAGCAGGATGGGGAGATGGAGGAGAGTCTGCTTTGGCACCGAGCGGGGAGATTTGTTAAGGCGGGTTAGATGCATACAAATTTGCATCGTAGTGTTATTTGCAACAAGTGTATCATGGCTTTTGTACGGTCTATTATTTCAGTGCTCTCAAGGAGAATGTTAATCTAGCCTCCGCCATCTGTTCCAGCATTGTAGCGCCCATCCATCTGGACTGTCGATAGGAACAGTTAGCAGGCGACCCCTAGATGAATTGTAAGGATGTATGCTGCAGAGTCTCAAACTTGACATCCGTGTGAACAATGGCTTCACAGCTTTGTGCAACGCTACCGCAGCGCCTTTGCAGTACAACCTCTTTGAAGCATCAACCAGGTTCTCATAGAAAGCAGAAGCAATTTGACATGCGATATCATCGTCCACGGACAACACGGAATATTCCATCACGCTGCAGAATTGCGTTACCGCAGCGAGATAATTTATGGCTGTCCGGCTCGTAGGTCCAGCTGAAGTGAGCACATAAGAAGCAGCGTAAACTCGGCGGTCGGACATCACTAGATCCGTAAAGCGCAGAAATACATTTCCCGAGCATTTCAAATACAGGGCCAACAATACTAGTCCAGCGCACGCGTAAGACGCCAAAAATCTTGTTTAATTCAATTTGACGACCGACATGCTCTGTGAAGGACTGACGTGTGAAGGGATAATCGACCTCGGCTACCGATGGTTTTCCCTCCTGCTTTGTGGGCTTTGCGCAGATGAAAATTAGATGGACGTTCGTCCGTAACGTGGCCGCTGGAGGCGAGCATGAGGGAGACGCTGACTCGCTTTCAGATTAGCTGAATGGATATGAACATTGCGGACAAGATGAAGTGGGACTGCGTAGTTGAATGGAAAAACAGGGCAGAGTTTTTAGAACGCGGCAGTGGCTATCAGAGAAACGACGGATTAAAGCCTAGGAGCACGACGAGCGGATATCTGGATGCTGCCATCATGCTGGTATCGCCTCGGAACAACATCGGTCGGAGTATTGTTCTTCCTGCGGTCAAAGTCGACCTGTGAAATGAAAGTCAAAATATGATGCGGAGGACATTGAAAGGGTACTTAGTTGACCCATCCTTTGCTCACTTGCCCGACCACACCCAAAGTTTTTGATGATAGCGCACCTCCCTCGAACGACACAATTTCTGTGTCTGTACATTCCAACTTGAAGCTTGAAAGCCAGTGGCATTTGAATAACATTTGGAGTTGCTCGGAGTAGGTCCAGCAGTTCTTGACTCTTGCGGCATTTTTATAGGACAATGAGACCTGCAGAGATCTTGAACCAGTTCCAGCTGCCAAGCGGTTTGCTTTACAAATTATAAAAGATAGCGCTGCTTTTTGGAGCAAGATGCAGTGAGGGCTTGGCCTCTGAATCAAGCGCCGCTGAATTCGAAGTGGCGATGAGCTAGCATGGCTCTTTCCACCTACACCACTCCGTCAGGTAACTCTGCAGTCCTCAACAAGCGTTTCCCAAGTACTGACATACTAACTAGGCTTCCTGTTGCCGTCGGTTCACTCAGCGCCTCCCTTTTTTACGTACGCATTCCGTCTCAGGCCTTGATCGATTCTTACACCTGCCGGATAGCGAGCAGCCAAACCAAACCACTCAAGCGCATATCACCGAGCAATGGACACGCCTCATCTTGGGATACGCGAGACACAAGCGTCTCTTCGTGCTGCGCGTTGAGGACGCAGAGGTCCCGGGCGGTGATTGGGATGAGATCCTTCGCAATGAGAGGATAAACCGTGCGTTTTGTTTTCAACTTTCTCTTTCTATTCTGCGAAGACTTGATGTGACATCTATGTTTTAGGACGAATACAACCGTCGTATCTATCGTCGTTGATGGCTGCCTTGGTCGCAAAGAATCTCGCTGTTTACGAGCCGTCCAAGCAGACCCGTGCGGTTCTGCTTTACTGGCGTCTACCGGAAGAATGGGCTGATGTCCTCCATTCGTGGGTTAGTACCTCCTTTCATTGCAAGTTAAACCTTTTATCATCCCATACAGGCAACAGCGACTGGCCAGCTCAACACCATCCTCACTTTTTATGAAATCTCAGACCCTCCCATCGCGTCGCCTCTTTCTGGTATTCCTATACCACTCCTACGGCGGGCTATCACAGTCCTTTCACGCTCTAATCGAGCACAAATCATTGGAGTTGCTGATGGTGAAGGTGTGAGGTTCTTTGTAGGATGATTTTTCAAACAGATAATCGAACTCTGATGATGTACGTCATTGTACTTGTTATTCGCAATCTACAGTAGTCTACCACAAAGCATGGTGTGAACAAAAACAACAGTGATGATAGTACACTTTCATCTACATCGCAGTCCGAGCGTCCTTGATGAACTCATGAATTCTTGTCAAATTTACGTCTTGACCCCAGTACCGCAGTGCCCATCAAACGACCCATAGCATCCAACTTTAACGGCATGTCAGGCTTGGATTTGGATGCAGGGGCTCTCCTTCTCAGCGGAGAACCTGCCGTCTGCTTGGAAGACGAGAGTGGCCTCGCATTACCTCTTTCTTCAGTAGCCCTTCCCTTCCCCTTCGCAGGTGCGGCAAGTTGTAACGAGACTTTCACTACCTTGGACGATCGCGCTCCCATGACGGCGTCCTCATCAGTCTTCCGCTTCTTCGTATTAGCTGCTTTGTTGTGCCCAGTGCCGTCACTTTTGAGGTTCCAATCAGAGGTGAAACGAACCGCAGGGTGGTACGGTCGATCTTCGGGAAGTGGTCGATCGCGGTCGTCCACGCTCTCCGTTGTTCGCCTGACTCGTAGCCAGGCACCACCGCGACTTGGTCCTGGCTGATATTCCTCGCCTTCAGACTCATTCTCCTTGCTCGACTCGTTTCCATAATCACTGTCAACATCATCGAGATTGTCCCCTCGAACCTCACACACATCGTCTAGCCAGTCCTCGTGAGCAGCCCGCTCAAGAATGTCAGGGGCGTTTCTATCGACAACCAAAAGAGACTGCTCTTCTGGATTTTCTGCGATTTGTTGAATTTTTTTAAGGCGCGTGTTCTCGTCCTTGAGAGCCTCGCATTTGCTTTTGTGTTTTTCGTACTGCCAGTGCAAGGTAAACGAATAAAACCCGCCATGAATGAATGCGTGCTTACCAACACCTTGAATTTGTGCGCACGATGCTCAAAGTCTCTTGCCCTCTCTGCCAACTCTTTCATTTTGCCGTCTTGTTCTTCGTTCTCCTTTCGTGCTTTTTGCGCATCTCTTTGTGCAGTCTTACACTTTTCCCTCCACATCTGCTCGCCACTCTCAGCTACTTCGTACTTCTTTTGCCAAACGGCACATGAACGCTCGGCTTTGCGGCGCTCACTTTCATGAGTCGTGATTTTACTCTTGAGGTCAGCATGCTGCGCCTCGAGAAGGTCATATTCCCTTTGCAGCTCCTGATGTTGATCATCCAACTCATCGTGCTCCTCTTTCGCGCTTGACAAATTCCGCTGCAGCTGTTCCAAGCGCTTATTCAAGCGTTGCAGTTCCGACGCATTTTCACGCGTTTTCTTGCACAGGCTAATGACACGCTCCGTAGTCGAATCCGGGTCATCCGAAAGCGTGAAGTCAATATCAACACCCGAATCTCTACGGGTGGATTGTGTACCAGGTTGTGTGAGCGACCGATGGGGATTTAAGAATATTTGAAAGGCGTCCTTGCGTGCGATACGTTTGCGACAGGTGGGACATTTGAAAGGCGGAGGTCCGGCTTGGAAGAGGTTGTCTATGCAGGTGGTGCAGAAGCCGTGTCCTAGATACAACCAATGGTGATTTCAATGGGTTGGACATAGTCAGGGTTTGCACGGATGACGGACTGACTCACCGCACTTGAATGTCCGCACATCTTTTAGCGGAACACCATCAAGGTGTATAGAGCATTCCACCAATAGCTCATCCATATTCTGGCGCGCTAGATGGTGACCTTGAAAGATTATGAGCGTGCATTTCTACGCACGTATCAGAAGATCGACTACCAGACTCTGTGCACAATATAAGCTCAGGTAACGATTTGGCGATCGTTGGGTGGATGTTAGTCGGCGAAAAGAAGTAGTAAGTGGTATTCAATTCTCTAGAGGTGATGATGATCCTGATAGTAGTATGCGCATACGTTTATCTCCAAACTATTAGCAGAGTAGAACGCGTTCTCATCAGGAAATCGGCCATGAGATGATTTTGATAGATACTTTTGGTAAAATCAGATCAAAAATCCTCGAATTATATCCAAATATATAGTAACATAAAAGCACCGGCACGATTGCACAGAATGACGAGAAATTGCAAGAAGACTCTAATATCGATGAAAACATGTATGTCTCATAAATACGATACATTGTAGATAAACTGCTGAAAAATGTCCAGCATCTCTCCAAAAAAGTGGTCACCTACTGCCTGCACTTGGCTTTGCGATGGCTGTTCGCAACCTTACTCAGCCGGCAATCAAGGTCTGCAAAATCCTCCTAACACTGACACAAAATGGTCATTGCTGACAGTTGTGACATGTCCACGGTAATGCCTTGTCAATCTTTCTACTCCAACGGTCACCCACTACCTGTAGGTACCACGTTGAACCGGTGTAACTCATGTCTTAATTATTGATTCAGCGAGTCTGTCTCGTGTAGCCAGGGATGAGATTCACGTTAACTTCTAACAGATGTATATACAAAGTAGCATAATGATTATAATACAGAGTACTGGAGTTAAAGACGTGCTCTTCTCACCACGCACCACGCGTAGAGCGTCTTCCATCGCGGACAACAAGGTTGGAGCCGCCAAGGACCGCAATATACTGGCCATGATGCCCAATGAAGTGTATGGACGATATTTTTGGGCATTCCGAACACACTATAGTGAAATAAAGTGCGTTTGATATTGAATCATACAACGCCACAGAGGCGTCGAGCGCAACAGCCAGAAGAGGGCCATCCGGTGGCCAAGCCGAGTCTCTGGGCATCTCAGAACGGAAACCGAAAGACGATCTTGAGGTCCAGGAAACTAACGGGCGGTCACAAAACTGCGGCTTCACACAGAACGTTTGCACATACCTTCTACATTGCCCTTCTTGTCTTTGATACTCCGTATTCTCCAAGTTTTGACATTTCTATCCTCACCAGTAGTCACCAGCTGGATGTCATCTGAAGGACTAAAAGACAGAGAAGTGACCTTGCTCAGGCCATGCGGCCGGTTACCTTGGTATTCAATATCCAAAAAGCAGATTTCTTGTCCCACCACCATATCTTGAGGTATATCTCGCCACGGAATGACTCGTTCCCTTCTCGCCGGTCAATAGTCGCCATCCACTCTCCTGACGGCGAGCTTACCACACGTTCTACTCGCGATGGCTCCAACATCTTGTCTTCTTGTCTTGACACTCGGTTCGAAGGTGACACCTCGAGCTCTGCAACGAGCATGGATGACGAAGGAGAGTAGGTTTGTAGTGAAGAAGGATGAGAAGAGGGAAGAACGAGTGTCGATGATAACGAATGGACTGCAAGTGGTTTGGCGGAGGACGAGGACGCCCAGGCACTTGACGTGACGAAGTCTAAGTTCAAGAGGTAAACACAAGCAGGTTCGTATGACAGATGCAAAGGCACGCACCTAGTTTTATGCGAGAAAAAACTCGCGATAGCTTGAGCGTGGCAGAACTGACAAATGCAAAACTTGCGTCCGCCAACCCAAGAAGGTACTCTTCCTCAGCAGCAGAACCGCGCGAGACCACAACAATTTTGATGGCCGAGCCAACTCGGGATACAAACTCCTTCTTTCCGGAGTGCAGCTGTCATATCACGAGAACAGCTTCTTCACCGCCGGATAGCAGATACGCCCCGTTCGTGGTGAACGCAATAGATGAAATCGCATGGGCATGCCAATGAAGCATAGAGGTTTGCGATCGCTTTTCTACGTTAGTAACTACTGGCCTGCTCTGGTTTAAGCAGTACCATAGCCGCACGACACCCTTTGCGTCTCCCGTCGCGAAATAGTCCTCTAATGGATGGACCGCCAAACACGTCAATGCATCGGTTGAAACGTATTTTGTAAATCCAGACTTCAATGCAGAAACTTGTGCAACATAGGCTTTGTGACCCGCGACCGCAATCAGCCATTCACCGCTTGCAGATACTGCAAGCCCTGCTGTGTACCGGGTCTTGCCTACCGGCGTGACCTGAGATGACTTGTGCCATTTCGCACCTGAAGCGGGATTTTGAGGCTTAAGCGACACACGTAAGATGATACAGCTCTCTTCTGATGGAGCCTTCGCAGACCGGTTCTGTTTTGGCTGCTCTGTAGCAAGAGTGAAAATCTAATCGTGGGTTAGAGACGCTAGCACTCACCATCAGCATTTCCGCTTCCCTTCTTCGCTTTTGCAGTGGCAACAAAAACGTAATCTTTTATCTTTGCATGAGCGCACACGTGATGGATAGGTTGCTCGAGGTTGATCGTGAGTAACAATATGCCTTCGAGAAAATCCCAAATTTTGAGAGTGCCGTCCAAAGAAGCGGTGATGAGTTGAAACACATTGTGTGCACTGAGGATAGCAGATGTGATGATATCCTGGTGACCATCATCCTGTGGCCCCGGTAATGTAGAAACCACCTTGCCAGATGATGTAGAATGTATCTTAATTCTTTCCCCGACGATGGAAAAAGAAGTGGCTGATCAGAGAGTAAACAGATTAATTAGATCGCAAAACATGATAAATACACCAAGGCTACGCACCTCCCGTCTTTCGTGAATATTGGTGGATGTGAATTGGAGTTCGAATCAGTCTGGGATGTCCATGTCAGAGGTTTTAGTGGCTCTAGTTGTGGCACCCCGCTTCCGTGTTGTTCATTCGCATTCTCCCTCTCTTGCTCTCCCTGCTTCTTCGTCCCCTGCACGCCTTCCTAAACTTTCTCCTTCTCTGTCTCTTTCGTCTTGTTCTTTCTAGTTTTCTTCTTCACTGGGGGTGGCGGACTTGTGGATTCTGCGGGACTTGGCGGGAGTGGGACATCCTTTGGCAGACGGGGAACGAAAGGAGTGTGATTTATGACCTTGACCGCGGTCATGAGCGATCGCGAAGCATTAATTCACAGGAACCTTTGCAAAAAATGTCACTGCACTTCGCCGGTGTTTGCCGTTATATGTCCCGGAAAGGAAATCAATCGGAACGTGGTGGAACGCGAAAGAATAAGTTATTATAGCAGAACACCATGCCGCTACAAAACCTCGTATACTAGTATGTAGTGCTACAAAAACATCCTTTTAATCTCGTATAGGAGATCGGCCATGAGCTCGAGGTGATTTTAATAAATATTTGCAATATTACCTAGTCGGCGATCTATGACACACTACCCTAAAGGGACAAGTAAGTACTATCCTCGGCCATCTCCCACATCTTCAGCATATCAACTAGTCAGTATGGGCCCTCAGAATAAGGTGAGTAACACAAGCGATCGCTGATCGGCCACTCACCGTACGAGTAGCAATATAGCCGCTACATCAAAGATCAGACCAACGGGTTGCATGTTGTAGTCAGATTGGTGTCAGAGCGATGGAGTCGTCGGGTGCTGTGCAAAGAGGAGTATCGCAGGTACGAATCCAACTTACCAATGCTCAAGTTCGTTTCTAACGTCAATAGAAACGGGACTTATAACGTGTTGAGCGTTACGAAGATCCGCAGAATTCCAGAGGACTTGCGGACGGAGTCCCTTGCCGCCACTCAGAATCGAAATGAGGCTTTGCGTGGGGTCGATGTTGAGGAGAGTGTGTTGAGGAGTGGGGCGTCAATCTCTTAGCTATGCACATCAACAACATCGGCCTGCAAATGCGAGCAAACGTCATGCCAATATTGAACTCTTCATCCACCCTTCGATCAAGCTATAGTAAGGGTCATTCGGGGGCATCTTGAAGAAGAGATCCGTGAGGTGCTGGTGCGACGTCGCAGCCGAAATTTTGACGGCCGTATCAGTATCTGAATCCCAAACACGTGCTGAAATCGCCACCCAGCCATCCAGGTCTGAGTCTTCGGTGTTGGCAATGTAGTAATCCGGTGATGCCTGCAACAGTGCAAGGATGGAAAGGAGCATAAGGTCCTTGTCATCAGCGTCTCGGACGTGAAGCGCTTAGCCTTGGGCCGAGATGCTGCACGGCGAATAGCTCCATCACTGTCGTATTCACTCAGCCGTACAGAAGCAGTCTGTAGGTCAAGTCGATGAGCCGAGAAGTAGGTGCAATACTGCGGGTACACATTTACCTTGTAGATGCATCTTAAGCGCGGTGAGATGGCGATCTGGAGCTTCTCCAAGGACTGCTGCCAAGGGAGACGGGGTGCCTATAAAGTGGCTCAGTAAAAGTAAAGGCATCGCTGTATTTCAAGCACGAACCTCGATGGACAGGGTGGTAGCAGCCTTGATAGCACAAATCTTCATTGCATCGGACCGCTCAGGCTCCAAACAATCCAAGAACAACGATATTGATTCCTCTTCCGACATGAAACGGAATACAGCGACAAGTGCCTCAGCATAGGAGGTGGCGACATCGATTTCAACAAACGAGTCCCAGAATGGCTTCTGCCCGGGTGACTTCTGCAAGGTCGACTGCAGAGAATTAGTATAGGGAAGATCGGATACCAAAATGTCACCATTACCTTGATTTCATGGGAAATGTCTGCTGCAATATGTCTGAGGGGCATTTCGCCATCGGACGATATCCGAAATCCAGCTCTACACATGTCGATCGCACACACAAAAGAGACATCAGCGAGCTTCGAATTCGTGTTTGAATGCCTGAGTAGGTCCTCTACGAATCGGATATCCTTTGTGAAAACAATGAGATCACATTATACATCACTTCACGTCAACCTCACCTTCCTGTGGCTGGATTTGTGAGTTGGGAGGTTTGTGGAACGACTCTCGACATCGATCTGGTAATCTGGCGACAGGCGCTCAGCAGCGAGACAAGCAAGGACGGTCAACGTCGGCCAAAGCGCGCGCTCTCGGCCGGGCTCGTTCGCGGAGTGCAGGAGGTCGAAGACACGCTCTGGTGCACCCTCGAATCTCCCTCTTGATGTCACTGCCTCGTTGTATTCCTGCAGGCACATTTCGATCCAATTCCAGATTGCCATACGTAACGGGATGGCAACCGCTGTCTGAGCTTGTCGTTTCATGTTCACGAGAAGAGGAGAAAGCTCATGCAGAACTTGAACGAGACGCGCTCTGTCCATCGCACTATGAGTCATGAGTTGCAAATCAATCGTATCAGGGTTATCCTCCGTCGTGTTGGCGAGGAAGTGTATCTTCTTCTGCTAGTGCAGCGTGTACTGCTGTACTGCGAACCTTGATAGCTACGAGTGAATTGAGAGCAGATACTGCCGCCTCGAATGGAACGAAGGCGGCGGTCTCGTATGGGAAAATAAAAGTGTCGTTGTGCCGCCTGACTGCATATAGCATGACGAGCCCTTCCGTCTACATTAGCCTAGAAACGCGAACGCGTGGCATTACCGTGAGCCGCTTTTGTTCCTAGATATGATGTCCTACAAAGGTAGACTTCACATTGAACAATCGGAGATGGAACATGGCGCAGGATACCCACCAATTTAAGCCGGAAGCTGAGTTGAGAAATGATTTTTCTCTCCTGTGAAGGGGACCAATGCAAGCCGTTGCAAGTTCAACGATCGCAGAAACACCTCGTGTTCTCGGTTCGTGAAAATATTGGCCGCTACGAACATATGTGAGTACACCTCAACTCGGAGCATAGCCTTAAAAGTCCCGGACCTGGAGATTTTTCCTGATGCGCTTGTCGTCTATGGCAGTGGTCTGAGTGACTTTATCGCCTAAAACGCATAACCACCTGATTAACTGAGCGGCGAAGAATAAATACATACTTCAACGCCAAGAAGACCTGGGTCTTGAAATCTCGACCTGACGCCAAGTCCTTCGCAAGCTGCATAAATCGATCCTCATACTTGAAGAGCCAGGGGTCCTTCAAGGCGTTGCAAATATTGTTCCAAGAATTTGAATAAGACGATTTCGGATCTGACAAGTAACACGTTCAGTAAGCTACTCATCCACTGTGATGATAGCTCACAGATTTGCATTTGCAGATCTCCTACTGCGTTCCGAGGTGTTCGAATACGTACAGTTATACTGTCGCAGATCATATGCACCGCACTTTGTGCATTAGCAATCAAGACATCGACGAGGCCAAAGACACCTTTCGCAGGCTGATCGGAACCTTTAGAGCGTAGCAATGCACCATGATACCAGCATTTAATGACAGACTCCAACACTTCTGTTGGGTGAGAGCGGAATAGGTGCTCCAGGGCTCTTCGACGACGAGTATGAGTCCGTTATAAATGAGAGACAACGAATACGCCTCTGGCCGCAGGCCGATGGTGTCATGCCACACCATGTCGACCCACACTGCGAGCAACACACGGATGCCATCATGGTGAGATTTATACCCGGGTGAGTGCGACTGTATGGCTTTCAGTGGTAGACTAGACACCAAACATCATCAAATTACTCGCCGTCAGCTGATCTTCGACAACAGCAGATGCGTTGTCTGTAGTGAAGAAGACATCCCAGAATACCTCCCGACTCAGCTCCAGATTTTTCCTGAACTGGAGTGTCGTCCTCTTGTGAATTGACATCTGACTGAGTCAAGTGAGTCAAGCCAAGCACAAGTAACCGCTCGAGCGCATTGAGTATGACGAACTCAGCATCAGTTGCAACCCGAGGATACTTCTCGTTAGCCATTGGCTGGTTTGCCTTCAGTGCATGTAAGAGGAGCAAGCGTAGATGTCGAGAAAGACAATCAGCGATAGGAGAAATGACGCTCTGAAGGGCAGGTTGGAACTGCATCAACACAAAATCTAACCAGTGCTGCATCACAGGACGATTCCGCGGGACCGCAATACCATCTATGATGGTTTGTGCCAGCAGGGAGTTGATAGTGTAAGTCCTTTTGGCGGATTCCTGTGAGCCTTCTGCACTCCGATCCTCAGGAGGCGGGTTTCCGTTGTAGGCGTAAGACAGTTGAGGCAGATATGATGGAGTGAAGGGACCGCAACAACTTGTTTTGCAGGTCCAACCAATGTAGAGGAACAGCTTGCCAATGACCGCTGGTTCGAGTATTTCAATGGCGAGCATTTCAATATCCCCTATGGTTTGGAGAAAACCTATGACAGAGGATTGTATGACCGTGTTCAGTGGTTGCATAACCGGAGCACCTTGGTGTTTGGGTTCGGACTGAAGGACGAAAATAAAGCGCAATCAAAGATAGGGGGTGCAACTCACCTTGACAATACCTCGATGAGTGCATCGAGGTAGCTTGTCTCGGCATCTATCCCGGCTGATGGCAAATCGTTAACACCACAACGGCAAAATTACATCAACAACCTTTACCTAAGCTAAGCCTATGGAGCAGTACATGGTCGTACGAGCGCCTCAGGAAGGTGCCGCGTGCAGACTTGGAAAAACCTTGACCGCCGAACTGGACGATCGAGAGTAGGATCTCGAGCAGATGAGCGACATAGCGCTGGACAAACGACCTCTTCTAAACGTAGCCCCTGATTTCTTTGTCGCTTACTCTGCTACCTCAAGGGATAGAAGGGTCCAGAAGGTCGCGGAGGACAGGTTCCAGTACCCTTTTTGACCCATTTAAGCTTTCTACCCAGCCAAAAGATCTGAAGTTAGCATTACCTGATATACGACCTCAAGCATCGCATCCACGTTTCTCCAATGCGCAGGCTTGGATCATCGTGCTTCAAAGTCTCCAACACTATCATCAATGGCACCTTCAAGCGCACTTCATGGAGCGAGTCATCCTCTGAGAAAAAGTTCAGTCAGAATAACCATGACATATGTTGACTCACCTGACGGCCGCCAAAGTACTCCAAAAGCATGTGGGCCTCGTAAACGTTTCTGGACTCGGGAGAGCACTTGCTCTGCGCTATTATCGATTCTACTTCATGAGGCCGCGACATTGATTCTATGGACCATATGAGGCTGACAGCTCGGACGTGGCAAGTAGCCAAGTTTGCATGGAGGTATCTGAAAAGCTACGAAGCCAAGCTTTTTAGATCAACACCAGATGCGGTCAACGGATACGAAATTTCTTCGCCATGCGACTAACCGGTCTTTTATCCGTCGACAACTTGGGGCTGAGCTTCTGTGCCTCATGCAAAGACAATATCAAAGACACCACCTGGCCCACCAGGGTGAAATTGACAGCCTGAAGATAAATGCATAAATTTCCTGGTCCCGGTCAGAGAACATTGCATGACACACCTCCAGGTCAAGACAATTGAGCATCACCGTCGCTTCAAATAACGGGTGACCGTGGCTGGTGTCCATATAATCGGGGACGGTCAGCACCCCATCATATATTAAAATCTTGCGGTGTCATGGCAGAAGATTCAGTGAGAAGAATTAAGGAACGTACTGGATTGAGACAAGTTGGGCGTGAGGCGCTCCAGCATTTGACCTTGCAATCGAGGTAGGAAGTCTTGAATTACATGACCACGAAATAAAAATAAAAATATAATTACATGTTCATGAGGGCAAATTCGGATCAAGCGGCCTTCGAGATAAAGCCTGAACGACATGACATTGCTGCATGAGTGAGTCAACGGAGCAGTGCTATTTGAAATATCAGTAAACGGAGCCAGAATTTGTATAATCTTTCACCTTTTGACATGGTACCATTCGGCATTGGGCACCACCCAGGGGAGGGTTTGGTCAGCTTAGTCAGCATCTAGAGTTATCACACGAGGCATCAGCTCGTCTGTTCAATGGTCAGACTGGTCAGAGTCCACTTGCCCCAGCGTAACGGTGATTTCCACCGAGGTCATCATCATTGCCCCAATCATGGGATCATGCACCGCCACGAGGTGTCTTTAGATTTACTAGTACCCAGTCACTCAATCTAAGCTGGCCTGGAGAGAAAAGCCTGGAGATGCGATCACCAAAACTAGGGCAGTTATAATATTAGTAAACACAGCTGTTGAACATGTACAGGATCATTCACCTGTTGACATAGTCATACAAATTACATCTATCCCTGTTGAAAGGGGATATACTTCAGATTGTGCTGCTTAAAAGAAAGTTGAAATGATGTGACATACCCTAGAACAACCCTGGGTCCACGAAACAGAATGCATTCGAGTTTGCCAGAGGAGGATAGATAGAGCCCGAAGCCCAAGAACATCATAGCCACTATGAAATGTTCTAGTGAGTGTCCAAGTCCTGTTGGCAACTGAAGGAGACCATCCCAAGCTTCCAGTCCTGCATCGAAGGTGCAGAGATCGCTAGAAAGTCGATCTCAGTACAAGGAGAATGCTTGCAAGGCAAAAATCCCTTGCAAGCTTAGAGAGGTGTGTCCATCATGCTATGTGTCTATAACTGAAATGTCAATGAGTGAATCATCACGAACTAACAAAGAAAGCACGAACTGGGGAGCAGGCGAAGTCACTAGGCAAATCTGGCACAGGAACATCTTGCAGAACTCTACTCGGAGCTTGTCATGGTCCATCTCATGGCGCAATGGAAAACTTACATCCATCCAGCCACAGATCACGGTGAAACGGTCTTCGCTTTCCCTGCAGAGACAAGTTGATGATAAGCCTGAGACACTGGCAGATAAGACGATTCTTCCCACACAACCCACCTTGAGGTTGACTTAAGGAGTCAATACGCACATACAAATACACAGAAATTCCTAATTGATTCACCATGTGAAGATTTATTCAAGGTCAAGTTGAACTTCAAGGCCTTCAAGTTGCTCTCGAGTTTGATTCCACAGAGATGGGTACTTGCATCTCCCAAAAAAATTTATGTCCTCGTGAGAGAACCAAGTGTGCACCATGGAAACACAATCTGTGACGCCTTCATATGCTGATCGATGATTCCTCGCTCCCGCCTATAGTATTAACACTCGAAGATATGTGGGATTGTGGCCATCTGGCCCTGTAGGATACTTCCAGTGCTCGCCATGATCTAACTTTGTAGTTGGAGAAGATAATGATCTGGCAGGTGCATGACGATGTGAACTTGAAATATGTTAATACTAGCTATTGGTCTGGGCCAGCAGGTGAGCAGCTGCGGGCTGTACATCTTGCGATGTTGACGCAAACAGTCTTGATATTCCAATGCCCGTTCCTCGTAACTGTAGATATGTAAGGTGTAAGTGTAGTATACATGTGTATGTAGAGGTTGATAACGACGACAATATGAGCGGTGTTTGACAAGGAAGGACGGAAACGATATCTCATGGAGATGAAAGCGGTTCAAAGTCGGCAGCAACACAATGCACATCTGTGAATGACCTACAGCAGCTGAAGCCTTGGTTGTTTGGCAAACCACCCCGCCGCGGGACGTCATTGGGTTCTGTTATACTGATGATTTTAACGACATCTTCCATTACTCTTCCCTTCTTGTCCTTCCCGTTCGTTCTAGGAGATTTATTCTTGGGGTTTATATCGAGGACGTGTTCATACCTGAATGCCGGTCGTGGTAAGTAACGTTAAGCAGTATACAAAGGGCGCTGACATCATGAAAGGCAGACTCATTATCGCCTCCGTGAACTTGGGGTACTGGTCCGGGTTTGCGTACATAGGGGCGAGCGCGGAAATGATGATTTCGTGCATCACTTCATGCTTCTTGTATGACGTGATGCTGACCTTGTCCGGTCCTTCTCTTAAAATGAGGAGCATGGTGTGATAAATCTGAGTTTGTGTTAGCGCTTGAGAAAGGTTAAAGTAAGAGAAGGACTCACTAATGTCAGCAAGTTTGCAACGGTATCTAGGGCCACACATCCAACCGATGCGCAGAGCTCTTCGGGAAACAGATCCGCTATTCTCGCAGACCGTTTTTCATCAGCCAGCCTGTCGACTGGGATAAGAAGCGCCATCCAAAACAATTCCCTGAAGAGTTGATGCACCACAAGTTTGGCAAGAGCTTCTTGAACCTAAATGACGGAAAGTTTTAAGGTAAATATTTTCAAGCATGAATCTGTCACTTACGGCTTGAGTGTCCCCAGAATTCAATACCGAAAGAATTTGCTTGATCGTTTCCTTTCTCTCGCCCTTTGCACAAAAGCCTGTGATTGGCGACATGACACCTTTAACGACTTTCCTCAGCTCGGACTTTGTGTTATCGAATAGCGAAAGAAGCTGTTCAAACGTGTTAGGAGGGAGCGAAGGCAATGGGGAGATACAGCGCACGTGGGTGCGGATAATCCGCCATCCGACCGAGGTCCTTTTTTTACCGTTCTTCAAGATCACTAATTAAATTGTAAGATAATGACGCGAATCATGAAAACACAAGGCACTTACATGGCTGTTCCCTAAGATCTATGTACGTCTTCCCGTCGATTCGGAGTGCAGTTAGGAAGCTGCTGGTTATGACCATCCGTTCGTCCACATCAGAGATTTTGAACGGGTTCCCGTACATCCCGACCCACAGACTACCCAGGATCAGGGCCTGCGTGAGCTTGATAACGCGGTACCAGCAACATATTTTTCTCCCCAACAAACGAAGGATTTTCGTCTTGTCATGCGCCTCAAGCTTTCCCCACAGATATTCCGAATCTCGCCATTTCAAGTCCGGGTGAAGATCCAGGCTGTTGATGGGGGCTGGTTCGCCTGTGACGACCTCGCCCAGCTCTTCCGAAGGGTTCAGTTCTCTGAGGCCGCCGGTGTGGAGATCGAGAGCCGGCCAGTCGATGCTGCCGTCATCGAGAAGATGCATCATAGTCGATGACTGAACGGAAAAGGGGGCGTGTGGTGCAAGGCCCAGGAGGGTGTCCAATATGTAGGCATCGTCTGTGTCAGCCAAAGGGGCTGGGGGAGGCGGCTGGTCGGTAGCGAGATGTGTCGAGGGCATGGAGTGCCCAGACGTTGAGGCCATAGGCTCGTCGACGGCGCAGCGCGATAGCTCGTGCGTATACGGATTATCTTCGAAGGCGGGATTGGCGGGGTGCGAGAATTCATTTGAGGACAGCGGCGGGTTGAAGGGGATCGACGCTTGCAAGAGCTGGGAGAGCTAACGAAACACGGTGAGTATAGAGAAAAGGGCATTACAATGAGGTCAATACTTACGAACCACATCTTGCCTGGCTTCCCTAGGATGTTGGGTCTACCGTATGGGGTCTCGACAAGAAAATACGAGTCACCACGCTATGTAGATTCCTTTCAGAAACGAATGGCAAAATGTGCGTAAGTCTCACCGTCACTTCAAACAACGGGTGATCGTGGTCGACGTTGAAATTGTCGGGGACAGTCAGCACCCCGACAACGTTGAGCACCTCGAGCCAAGGACTTTGTTCTACGACGGATTGATCGCACTATAACCCAACACCGTGAGATGAAATATGTAGGAGAGACGAAATCTTACATATAAAGCGGATACTTGCCCATACAGCGCAATGTATCCGACCACGACGAACCGACGGCCCTTGAACCCCGCAAACGGGTGCTGAAAGCGCAGATTAAACCGAGACGACGTTCGATGGAGGACTGGCAAACCTCCTTGTGCTAGAAAAAACACGTCAGAACCGCCCACCGCACGCAGCCCACCGCAACTTACATCCAGCTTAACCACGACAAAAACTGTTCTTAGTTTCGTGGTCGTAAAGGTAGGCGTACACCATCATTGACTTGTAGTCTGATGGTGGCGTTAACAGATCATGGATTAGGTCATATAGCAAGGACTCACCTTGCGCTATCAAGGATTGAGTTATGGAGCAAAACGGAAAGTCGCGGCAACTCAATAAATATCACCCACTCACAAGGACCAGCCACTCTGTAGCGATTAGTAGTGGGGGCCACCAGTCAGCGATGGCCAAAAATCGATGATGGCCAGAGTCAGCGATGGCCAAATGAGTCAGCGATGCCAGCAATAGGCGATGGCCACCTAGTAATGGCCAGGACGTAAGTTGAGTGATGGCCAGGACCTATTGATCATGATTAGGGAAGGAAATGACTCTGCGCCCATCCGCGCTGGGGTGTTGTATGTAATTTAATTCTCATAATCCAAAGTGTAGTCGGTGTACATTTCGTCTAGCGCCTCTATGAGCGTCTCCGCGCTTCCATTACGTCCCTGCTCGAAGGGGATTAGTTCTTCGACGCCAACGTGGTCTTCATCCTCTTCATCGGCCTCGCCGTCAGCTGCATGTCGCAAGTGGGCGTTTACCAGGAGGCTTCGTTCGCTTTCCACATTTTCATCTCCGGTCTGGATGGTAGGGTGCGCATCTAAGCTGGGGTTTGCTAAGACACCTACTCTATGAGAATATACGTGCCCAACACCGAGTCCATAGTGAAATCGCATAAGGGCGTCGCGATCAACAAAACTAGTAAGTGTTGTAGTATCAGTAAACACGGCCAAAATATATAGGATCATTCACTCACCTGTTCACATAGTATTCATGCCAGTCGTATTTATCTCCCGCCAGAGGGGAAATTCCATCGCCCGGATTGCGCTCGCCTCGAGAGAAAGCAGGTATTATGTGACATCCCCTAAGCACAGCTCCTGGGTCCACGAAGCCAAATGCGTCGGGATTCGATAAGGGTAGGAAACGAACGCGGCCCAGAGTATGCGTTTCCCAGTCGTGGCGTTGTACGGATTGGTACCACCTAACAAAGAGGAATTCGATTCGGTGGGATTCAAAGACGTTTCCGGCTAGGACAGCATTGACATGGTGAATGCCTAGAACCTTGGCATAACGGTAATTTCCATCGAGGTTGTCATCACTGGGATCACGTCGGAGGAGCATGATATTGGAATGAGGAGTCTTGGGGTTGATGACGTCTTGAGATCTTCGCACATCGTATGATGTGAAGTTAAATCGGGCGAGATTGTGATGGTAAATTCGATTACGTTTAAATAAAATTGTATTGCGGTCATTGTCGGCATGAGTGGGGTTCTCCGCAGAAGATCCGGAAGTCCCAGCGTCAAGGCGATCCAGGATATGGATTTTCAAGCGTGGCAGGAAGTCCTTAGTCGCACCTCAGAATGATGTAAATTGCAAGAAGAAATGAACTACCTTGATAGCAGGGTCTCTCGCGTTATTGCGGAGGTAATGACCTAACTCGTCGTAAACTTTCTCGCTTTGACCGATATGATGGTGGAGGCGAGGATCACTTGCGGTTTCGCTAGACTCCACACGCGGGGCCCGTTTTTGCTGCCGTTCTTTGATACGGCGTAATCGGGTTTGACGGCGTTCGATTTGCGTCAGCTGGTGAACGAAATCCTGTCGGTCAGTTCGACCGTATCTACTTTTCGGTGTACGATGTTCTAACTCCCCCTGACAGTAGTTTAGTTGGAGAGCGGGCAGGCGATATATAAAGACTTACAGGCTCTGTACTGTATGAATCAGTGGTGCCGAAGCGACGTATGGAGGTCACATAATCGCCTAGAGCATGGAATTTGTAGGTATTCAGATTGAACGACCTCTTCCTCCTGGGCTGCCTTGGTAATGGTGCGTCCAGCGGTTGCTTCGGGCTCGCCCTTTGTTTCCCTTCAGCGTTAGTCCCTGCCTTAGGCTGTTGAGCTGTATCCCCTTCCTCCTTGCCATTCATCCCGCCTTTCTCCGCCCGTTTACTTGCTTCCTTTGCCTGCCTACGAGTTCTCGCATCGACTTCGCGATCGAGCTCCTGGGTACTGTATGCACTACACACCTTCTCCTTAAACTGGCGGAACTGGTCGCCAAGTTTGGTCGTTTGCAGGTCGAGAATATCTAAGGTGAGGTCGGAGTGCATCCGAAGCTTGGCAAGTCCGTGCCAGTGCGCCATGGTGAAAAGGAGATCAATCACAATTTTGTTGTGAGAATCGGGGAGAAGGCCTTCGAAGACCGGAATGGAACACTTGTATAAAGTGAGTTCAGAAGGCCTTATGAGAACCATGCTAAGAACATACCTGTAAGAGATCCTCGAAGTTGCGCGCAGCCATGTTTGACATATCAGAGGTATTTGCAGAAAACCGCCTGATAGTCGCAGATCCAAATGGCGGGACCTGCCGATACCTGTCAGAGGTGAGTATGGGTATGCCAGACCATCATCAGATAAGTAGCAGGCACCTTTTATCAAGCTCAGTGGATCAGGTTCTTATCCAAGGCGAAAAGGATTCTCAGTAAGTGAAGTAAGAGCATGCGCCAAACCCCGAGTTCAAACTCGTGCAAGAGGTCGACGACGAGTGCGACAAACACGTCGAATCCAAACGCGCCAAGGCTGTCGGATAAAACATTCTATTCGAGGGTAAGTCGAGGCAGCAAAGAGGCTCATGCTCATGCTCACCGGGGATGGTACCCACGAATCAGGCTTGAGCAGCGACTCAACTCGGGTACTATCTACGCCGTAATTCTCGTTGTAGATGAGGTTGCGTGCAGGTGGTAACCAGCGGACTCCTCGAAGCATCGGACCTCGCCAACGTTGATCGTCGCTGCCTATCGCTGCTCGTTCCGAGATTGTGAATTTGTGCGGTCGGTATGAGACACCTTGGACAAGGACACCCTCCCAGCTGCCGAATCGTTGCAACAAGGACCCTGACTGTGGTGAGCTTCGACTTCCTATGAATAATACCCGCGACTTACTTCTCAGGATAGTCCGCTGAGTAGGTAAATATACGCGGGTAAAACCGGCGTTTGATACCATCACAGCATAGTATTACAATCCCATGCTTGTAAGCCTCTAGTAACTCATCGTCGAGCATGACCTTCCACTGGGCTTGAAATAATTCACGATGACAATGTGTCATGCAATCGCGTCCAACCCCCTTGCCATTGGTGTAGGTCCCTGTGAAATCCTTGAACTGAGTCAGGAAGCTGCAAAGGCATTAATGAGCATAATGAAGAGAATTCATAAGAGTCGCTGTACCTTTTGAAAGTAGGCGACATGGTTACTCAGATTGCAGGACGGTTTGCAACGGCGGTATTTCGATTCATTCCCGAAGTACATGTACACCGGCCATAGCCTCGTGTTACCGAATGACGTCAGGTGCGTGGCATCCGACCAAAACATGAGCGCGACAACCACGCGGGGTAAGTCGCATCCTACCTCTCCGGGGGACTCCTGAAGCTCACGGTGCGCGTCCATAAAGGCCGGCGAAGTGTACAATTCACCTTGAATATCCACTTCACGGGGAAGATGGGGAGCGCTCCATCGTAATTTATAGGGCTCATAGTGGAAATATTCATCATCATGAGAATTCGAGAGCTTTTCTCGAATGATAGAGACGATAGATCTATGGTAAAGATCTGCTGCCGGGTAAGGTCGAGCATCCGGGTGGGCTGTAGTTCGAGAAAAGGGCACTTGGATGGTCACTTGTGTTTTGTGCCAACCCGCATCCTCATCCTCCCATTCATCGCCCCACTCGTCGTGAGTACTCGAACCTAATTTCGAGTTAATCCTGTCCCATGGCGTACTCCGCACATCGTCAGGATCATAATCTGAGCACCCGACGATATCGATCAGCTGTTTAAAGTCCTGATGGGATTTCTGCGCGGTGCCGTTCCAGTACCAGTTACCGAGCTCGAACTGAGGACCGGTTCGGGTATGGGTGAAATGCGAGGTCGTAGGGTGCAGTGGAGGAGTCTGGCTTCGCTGGAGCGACAGAGCTTATATCTTGAAGTGTCACGACTTCTTCTGGGTCGTGAGAAGGGGGGTTGGATGAGAAAAACTGCCGTACTAGTCCGAAGACATTCTTAGCTGTACGGAAGGGAGGGGCTCGAAACGATGTACGAGCACCGAATGGATGTGTCAGTGGGAGTCGCTGGTGGGTTGGGATCCGCAGGGTAGCCGGAGGGGACGGTCGGTGGAGGTTGCGGGAGCACGTCCTCATACTGCCTGTAGCGTAGCGGCATGGGAACATCGACACGCCGGCTCCTCCGCTGCGCCAGTGATAGACCCTGGTCTTCGTCTGTCTCCATAGGTGCGGCGCCGAAATTGGTATTGGATACTGTGGCGGGTGCATTCTCTTGCGACGAAGAACCTGCATGTGAAAGCTCCTTCGGGACTGCCGATGAAATTGAACCAATGTTGGAATGGGTAATGGATCCCTCATTCCAAGACACCATGCTAGGGCGGGCATACGGTCTGCCACTACCGTCCACCCGGGACCGTTTTGTGTTGCCTAAAAGGTCTTTTGCCTTGGATAAGGCGGAAAACAGTCGCTTCTTGCCTTGCGCGCACGAGCGTTGATGCTTGGTATAAGCGCTCTCCTGCGTAAAATGACGTAGGCAGGTGCACCTGAAAGGACTTGGATTCGTGGATGGATCTGCGAGGTTCATGAGGAGCTGAAAAGGACCAGGGTGCGGTTGAGGCAGGATGAAAGGATTTAGGATTTCAGGAGTATGTCATCAACAAACTTTAGCGCTGGTGACGGCCAACACGATTACCGAATCGCCATCATAGCCCGAAATTCCCACAGGCCTGGCTCTGGCCGTAGGCTAAAGGTGGGGAGCTGGTGCACTTGATGGCGCCAAGAAGGGCTGGGTGGGTCATGGTATGGTTAGTGGCGGCCTGATAGTATATGAACAGAGGAGAAAACACCACCTTGCTGCACCGGACTACCCAATGGAACCTCCATCATCACCCTCCTCTACCATTACTGCCCCACCTGACTATCGTGAAAACTCTCGGAGGTTAGCGAAATTGATCGCGGAGGCTATGACCTGCCGTTACGCCCTCCTGCATTATGACAGCGCCTCGAAGTCCATGATTGAATGGTATTGGTGAGATTTCAATTCTGTGTGAATGCTAGGCATGACTGAAACAATGCAGGCCTGCCGATAGTGATGGAGAGAGGATTCCGCCGTCCCATCTAGAGAAGTACCGCAACGGACACGATTTTAAATACCCGTGTTGTCTATGCGCTGATGGCGGTGGAAGAGGGGCGTACATGGAGGCGGCAGTGTACTCTTGGCGGAATGAGATTGCCGGGAAGACTGATTGGATTGCAAGATGTGCATCAGATATATGCGGATACCGTGGTCAGTATTATCCATGCCTAAGAAGCACCAAACTCACCATCGCACAGTGAGAATCGACGTGTATTTCCAATTATCGTCTTTGGGCACCTTCCAATACCCGCAAAGAGGTATGAGCTTGCTTTGCTGTAGCACCACAACTTCATTGACGGATGACTTAGATCCAGAACAACGAATCTTGCCTATCGGACTCGAGTGGGACCACAGAGAGCAAGCAGAATTGTTGAGCAGGCTTGGCTCTGCCGATGGCGATGGGATTCCGGCGAGGGAGTTCCGTGTTCTGTTTAAGCGCTGCAAAAAATGCATGCGAGTCAGAGTAAGGAGGGCAATGAACCGTCATACCTGTTCAAGAGGAGTGCAGAAGGACCGCTGTTATCGATAGAAAGTTAGTGCCTTGCCCAAGTGTCGCGTTTAGCGATATAATAGTTAATAACATACATATAATATTAACATACATCATGATATTCACGCTTGAGCGTGAGTACTCTGAGTCTCGACTCAGACACCACGTCACTGATACGTAATACACCTCTGATATTGGTGCGCCAGCGCGATACAAGTTCGTCAGACTTATATTTATTGTCGACAGTCTGGTAGACATCACCCTCTAGATCTGTAGTGTACTTGTCAGACTTCCTGCTAGGCAATTAAAAAATGTATTGGAGTAGCATATACTCAGCAAATTCAGTGCTACATGAGTGAAAGTCGATCAAACTTCTCAAAGTGCCCCGGTGACCTCACAAGAACATCAAGAACATCGTCGTCAAGCTCCTCACCATCATTAGCTATCACTCCATCCTCCTCGTCCTCCTCGTCACTGCTGGTCACTGTGACTTAGGTATCCACAAAGGCGCGGAATGCACGATCTTCATACAGAAGGGCGGTCAGAAACTTACACGAGGCAGTTCACATACCTGTTCTGTGAAATACTCGAAGAGCGGCGCATATCTCCATCCTTTGAATTACTTTCATTTCGAGCACTTTGTCCTTATTCGAGAGAATGACACGTGGAAGGTCGGTCGTCTGTTGAGGATTGCGCGGGATCACATGAGGCCAAGATGCAGGATATCAAGCTGAGAGTCAGACGTCAAACCTTAAGCTTCAGAAATCTGTTATCTGCGCACACCGCAGTGCGGCCCACAATGTAACAATGTCAAAATTTTGCTTCCGATAATCACGTGACCAATGGATTCACACGATACTCGATACTGCCTGGTGACAAATACTATGTGTATTCCTTGCTACCCCCCACATAGAAAGACACCCAGAATCCCTCGCAGCAGCTGCTGAAGTCCTAGGGCGCACCAACCATCGAGGATGGAGACGCGGATTTTGTGATTGATATCGTTGGAACTAGAGAAGATGGTCACAACACGTTTAACGTCAGTACCACAGGATTATTTTGCATCTGTTACGGTAACTTGGCCGATGAGTCAAACAACAAGCATCAAAGCAAGGGTTCCACATCTTCATCTGGATCAGCGGATCTCCTACAAACCCTCGACTGTTTGTTCGCTGCCCCTTCGCTTTCTCTTGCTATGCGGTTTCATCCCTTCAATCCATTTGTGACTTATCAGTGCGCCTCATGATCACACGATGCTCATCTTTGGTAGGACCACAATCGGTCGTAGTTGCGCACTGGTACATATGAAGCTATCCGAAGTTTCTAAGGTAAGTTCTACGCTTGTGAAAGGCCAACGGGATTTCTTTGTTCGAACATGGCGCTTATGCTTTTTACTATCGCAGTTCTTTCGGGTCAAACTATCTTAATACATCATAGGAAGTGCGTTAATCACCGTCTGCATTGGCTGCTATTGATTATGTCCCTGGTTATCTGACACGTTTTCGATCCTAGCAGATTCAAGCTGGCCTCGATTAATTTATTTAATGCAGCGGCACGAAGCCGAGCGTTCTCGACACAAGTCTCGAATGTGTTGAGCCTCCTCGTCATACTCTCGAGCATTGGTAGGGCGCATGATCAATGGATCGATTCATCAGTACGTAACACTCCACGTGTTATAGGCAGCCGAGACTAGCAAGAGGGATCAACATCAACGGTGTTGAAGATTCTGCTTTGGTCTCGTTATATATAACAGCGGTTGGTCCTTACAGATGCTGGTACGTTCCCGTTACTGTGAAATCATGACCTCTCCCGCTAAAACGAATATTTGCTCAGCAACGATTAAACCTACTCCACCATCGCTTTCCACAGCACAGACGGATCAGATGTTTTGGAAAGATCTCCGATGTCCTCCTATTCCGAGACAACTCCGTCATAACCCTGATAAGCCTTTCCACTTCGGAATGTTGCTCAATGTATCTTTCGGCATAGGCACCACTTTGGGTGAGCCTTAAATACAAGGACATAATTCATAGGCACCTAATTGTAATTGACGCAGTTGTTGCCAACCTGTACTATTGCCAACTAACAAAAAGGGGAAAAAATCTATGTACGTAAGTCAATCTTCACAATGTATGTTTGCAGCCTTGATGAATGTCTCCGAAGTTCAATTATCGGCTTCTTTCTATATCACATATGACGAAGGGGCAAGGTCTGGATACTCCCAGCATATGATCGAGACTTGTGAAGCTAATGTTCCCTCAGAATACCGACGGTTTTCAAGTCCTTATTTAATGTAGCCATTGGAGACATGGCTCACGGCGTATTCCGAATCCAAAGTAGGAGTCCCCTAGCAGCGAACGAATTCGAAATTCAAACTCAGGGCCGGGCCTAGGGCTATAGGCTAATGTGAACTCCAAATTCACACTGTGCAGTAAGCTGAATCAAAGTAAAATTCGAATTTTCGTACCACAGTGCTGATGCAGCCCATCAGAAATTCAGACCTTGGCCAGATTAGGAGTTCCTGTGTGAGTTGGATCTTGAACCACAGTCAAGAGAAATTATTAAAGGGGTCATAGCGAGAAATGACGGTCCGTTTCGAAACATGCGCGGCAAGAAATGATTCTTTGGCTAATTTTGAGTTGCTTAGTATACGCGTGCCACATGACTTGGAAAATCCTGTGTTTTAAAATCCAAACATGTATATAGCCAGTGACTTGAGGCTGCAGCTGGCTGCAAACATATTTTTGAAGGCTTGCGGCCAGATAATTTTAGATGGCCAGATAATTATGATGGCCACCATCGTTTTGATGGCCAGAATTTGATAGTGAGCGCCGCTGAGGTGTATTTGTAACAGTAGTGTTCGACTTCGATGATTTATAGTCACCGCAAATAGTGAACACCCACTTGTGCACTACCAACCATGACGACCTGTATTTCACCGGAACTATTCGATTATTCAAGTGATCGTACAAGTATTTCTCAACTGTCCAACATATTAGGCTATAAATTCATGGATGCCTACATAGGACTCACAGCAAATCAGAAGGTTAGTAGATAATTGTACATCTTTTGTATATCCTGATTTCCTTTATTTTCATATAGCTCCAGACTGAATTATATATTCTATCATACTTGCTCAAAGATCGAGTTTATCCCGATGATCTTTGGCACCTAGTCGGGGAGCGCAGTATAGAGGCGAAGCAAGAGGAAACCTTGGGCAGGCACCAGACCATCTGTCATAGTGGTGACGGTGGAAGGCACGCGGCCGTGGAGCGATTTCTCATGGAAGAGAGGAAGAAACGGTGCAATATGGAGGTGTCTTTATACTCGCAGGCTATCGGAATGTTGGAGCAACTCCGGATGCGTAAGTTTCTTAAACTTTGAGATGCAGAGACGTGGTCCTTACCTTCCCCATTCAATAGCACATATCAGAGCGCCAGCCAAGCATGAGATCAGAATTCCCTCAGCAACCTCGAGGCATGCGGCTGCACGTTTACCATGTGTACCTTTACCCTGTGCACCTTTGGCTTGCTCGATTGCTACGCGAGACACATGTGAAGCTTGGTCAAAAAGGAATGGTACAAATTCCATCATGGCCGCAGGACTTTTTGGTAAATCCTGTCTATTCCCCGCTTCCCATAGGGCAAGGTCAGCATCCGTCATTCTGATGGTCAGTACTGCATTTTTCTGTTTGGCCGTGCCCAACCATCTCTCTACAGCGCATCAGCCCCTCGTTGCCCCTGCTGAGCACATGGGTCACCGCCGAAATACAAGAAGCCTTTTACGATGCATTTCGAATGGAACTGCGCATGCAGGCGGAGCTGATGAAGAAGTCCGTTGCTACTAGGCGTAGCAACGCCTACTTACGCAATCTTGGGCTAGATCTACTCATTCTGCAGGCCAAGATGCGCCGCGCCAAAGCTGAAATTCAGCTCTATACACTAGCCATTCAAAACACCTATGAATCTGACACTTCTGACCGCAGTGAGCACAGACCAACTGGGTTCTCCCCCACAGCTGATGTCGTTGCAGGTTCACAGACATCCTGGGGTCAAACTATCCCACAGCCTCCGCCCCCAGAGGCACAGAACTGCTATGCCGAGGACATCGATGATGTCATAGACGACTGTGACGATGATGGCACAGACGACTGTGACGACGATGACACAGACGACGACTGGCACGGATGACGACGGCGACGACGAAATATGCTCATACCGTTAGTGCACTGCACTCGGTTGGGATCAGTCTTGTTTGAATTATTTAATTTTGACCCTCCTTTAGGAGGGCTCAATCCGTGATGAGCTTTCTTGCGTTCATATCTACCATTGCTAGCTGTCGTATCGCCAATGTAAAACACTATCAAATAGTGTGTTTTTTGTACTTCTGGTGACGGAAATTGCCTTGGCACCATATTGAGAGTGAAGCGTGAAGAAAAATCACCACAGCCTGGTTCTGCTCGAGTAGTAAACGAGCTGATTGAAGTATTAGTTAGCCGCAACTTGCAAGCCGTACGAAACCTTTCATCATGTCATTTTGTAGGAGATGCTTACGGTCAACCATCCCCACAGCTTTTGCTACGCGGGAGATTTTACAACAATATTGAGAATTCGGGGGTGCGTCAGTTACACATGCAACTTGACGTTTGTGAATTCGGCTACTTACAGCTTTAACTGTATAGTCAGTTAGTTACGGAATCCGGATCTCGCCGCCGATCACCGAGTTGAATCACTATGGTTCAATACGTCCTCGATACCACCACAACGTTGCAGGACAAACATAGTACTTGCTACCATACGCCCTCTGCGTTCAACGTTTATTCTTGATCCGAGTCAACTTCGGTCTCGTACTCTGCTAAGCGGAACAGTCAGTTTATTTCAAGAGCATGCGCCAATCCGACATACTTGGAGCGGGAGAAGGAGCGTTCCATACGATCTGATGGGGTGAACAAGTGCTGATTTCGTCTGGTGCGTATTTTTTCAACACCCTCGCCCGATGATTTTCCTCCAACCAGCGCAGTCTGTACTTTTGGTGCAGACTTTCCAGCCTGGAGCACTCCATCTCCGCCAGCTGCAGTCGCCTTTTGAGATTGGTGATGGAGTCTTCCTCGTGTTTTTCATCGTCGTTCACTTGTGGGGCCTCCTCGTTCAGCGTAGGGGGGCCGATACCATCAACATTTGCCTCGCTAGTCTACGATGAGCTACGAGAGTGGTTGACGACGTTGACTGACCTAACACTGGCGAGTTCTTCGCCGCTTTCGTCGACGTTGCCCACTAACTCGATTCTAGATAAAGGTATCAGCATTTCCCTCCGCCAGGTGGGTGCATCAGGCTTACCTCAGGGTTAAGTTGATACTACGTCCCTGCACTTTGAAGTTCTGACCCCGGGATTGTGGCATGTTGAGTTGGACGGACGATTTCTGTATCGACGAGAAGATTTAAGGTCACGGGAAGCAAGGCTAAGGGAGTTATATACTGATGCGGCGTCATTCTTCTAGCCATCAAATTTCAAGGGTACAAAGTTGATATATTCTGTACGCGCCAATGGGCGAGCCAGATATGCCCTGGCCAACCGTTTAACCGCCATTTATGGTGGGCGCTGTTTTGGCTGCATTCCATGGCCACTTGTTGCCGTCATTCACCGTGGTACCGATTAGCCGCCATTCCCTATGGCCATCCCTTTGGCGCCATTCATCATGGCCCCTGCGTTGGCCAGTTTCCGTGGGATATTACGTAGCGCAGCGCCAGGGATAAAAGCTGCTTGCAGTATCTGCGGAGTCTAACTTATCCTTACTCCCCAACCCATTCCTTCCACCCCGGCTTTCATGGCTGCCGAAGATGCCACCTCCAGCGTTCCGAGCAAACGCGGCTCCTCAGCCCTCCAAATGGGGCCTCGAAAAAAAGCGTAAGCCTTCCCTGACCACATGTTCCATAGTCTCACCCCGTCTCCCAGCTCCTCATCCGATCCGCTTGTCTCCCACGGACGCCACTTTGGTCGAACGGTCTTCGCGCTCTGCAATTACCCTTCCTTGCTCACCAACGGTATCTTGAGACTAGAACAACTGGAAGATACCCCGTTGGAGGATATCTCTGCTGAGTAAGTGACACTAATCCCTGCATTCGCTATTCAGCTGACGTGCTTCACAGAGAGCGGCGGGAACATCGCGTCTTTGAGCAACTTCTAGACTCTTATCCCGGCCTCCTTGAGCGGCTAAAAGATGGTTCTGAGGAGGAAATCCTTCATGTTGGAGAGCTGGTGCATCCATTTCTGCTCGGCGAGAGTTAATGCTTACGATTGATCTACAGATTGGCAAAGGAGCCGCAGGCGCCAGAGGCGACGACACAAAGACGTTGAAGTCTGCGGTGCTTGATTGGATCTCCCCCAGGGGAGAAGCAATACAGCCTCCGTTACACAGAAACTCCAAGATCGACCGCGGTTTCAACCACGAACTCACCGGATCTCTCCTCTGTCCTGCTGGGTTAGACTGGACTGACCCTCGGTATGTTTTAGTTTTCTGGTATCTGTGCAGTCCTGAATATTTGTTACCTCTTTTTGTAACAGGATGAAAGAGAACCTCCGAAGTGGCGAAATGCTGGTCTGCGGGGACCAATGGCCGATTTTTTTGTATGCTAACCATGTTTATGACCCCGAAGACCCGTGGTGCGGTCTTCTAAGGAGCCGCTTGCTAATATATGTGAGTGCGCACTCGTGTTTTCGCATAATTCGTTCACTTCATGGTAATCCACCAGGCCTACAAACATGTTTTCACGTCCCCGAGTTCGGTTGACAGAGAGCCGAAAGCCACGCGGTCCGGGAACGCTCGCCTCCATGGCATGAATTCGGTCACCATCGCTTCCCTGGCTTATATCGCAACTCAGGTTCGTCGAGCAACCACACTTCTGTAGCAGGATAGTTTTGATGTCAGGCTGAAGGTGCGGTTCGCTCTAAGCTCGTCCTCGGTGTTCTCGCGGACCGATACAACCACAGACTCAGAAACGTTTTACCATAGCCTCCTCGACCTCTTGGAAGACCCGGAGGAATGTAAGGAGGTTGATGAGCTTCTGATTTGGTGGAACCGGTATGTTTAATAATCCTTCACCATGTTGCTAAGGCTGATTATCAACATTGCCACTTATGCAGCCAAGTTTTTCCCGCCTCCTCTGCTTCCAAGAGACCTATCAGTGCTAACAGCGCCTTATCCAAGATCCGACAACGACGCTTTGCCCTCAAACAAGCTACAAATTCCGATGTCGTCTTATCATAGCTATTTTGATATGTCTATCCATATATAATATAATGACACCTTTAATTGCTTTGGCTTTTGTAACACGCTAGCTCAAATTTTTTAAAGCTGAGGCGAACGCGGAACAAAAATGTGGTAGCTGGTTGTTGAGTGTGCCGCACCCGTCCACCCTCTCTGCAATTGCCATGTCATGCGATATGATATCGTGAGATCTTGGACCAACGTCATGCTTGCGAACGAAAATAACAAGCAAGTATTGTAGGGCGTTCGAATATTCTATTTCACTACGTCGTTCAGGGAGAATTTGCGGAGTATTTTTTGGCTGGCTCAGCTTGCATGTGATGGGCATACCTTACCAATCAGCTGATGCAGTGCACCGCGCCGTCATGCCTCTGCACGGTGAGACTAAAGCAACCCCCGCCCAAAAAAGCCTAGCCTTGAAAGACTCCAACATCTAGACAGAAGACGCAGCGCATAAAACGACAAACTATCCTTGCGTTTTGTTATCACAGCTCATCGAGGTTGGGCCGAATGTTAATCCGCTGCCGCTCATAGCCTGAATTGTGCGCTTAGCAGGCTCGAGCATCGCAAGCTAGCGTCACAACTACGTGCCTAATGTCAGCACTGGGGGGGGGGGTTGTCGATGGCGCAATGGAAAGCTCTGATTGCATCACCCGAGCACACAGGCACAACTTGGTACTGTGCTGCGGGCACTTGGCGCCCTTGGGCTGTAGGCAGTGTAGATCAGTGCAGTCCGGCCATATAAATATTTACCTAAGGACAGCGTTTATTCAGTGATTGGGGAGCATTAAATGTCGAACTAATTGTGCATACGGCTATAAATCTCACCGAGGTTGGGTAAGATGACAGTGAACTGTCGCATGTCGCCTGAATCGTGTATGTGGCAAAACCGAACTTAATAGGCTAGCATCACAACTGCATACCTATTGTCAGCATTGAGGGAGTGGTTGTCGATGGTGAAATGGAAAGCTCTGCCTGCATACCACTGTGGGCGCTTGGCACCCTTGGACTGTAGGCAGCGTTGGTCCAACGCAGTCCGGCCATATATATATTTACCTAAGGCTGACATTGGTTCAGTGATTTCGAAGGAAGCAAAAACAGCCGACGGTTGCATGTCACAACCAGCGCGGGGCAGAATCATAGCGTATTGCAAGTGATCTTCAAGTAGGCGACCGTGGTGGGTGTTGCCTTATATGGTATCTCGGTGATAAATTGCAACCAGACTGTCACAATTACGCATTTGGTGGATTCCGTCTAAGTAAGTCCGGGTATTCAAAGGTTTATCATGTGGGGTATAATTCTGATAGTTTTTATATAAATTTTACGCTAGATAAAGCTTTCTAAGAATTTATCTTTTTCGGGTCGGTTACCTGATGCTGGTGCAGGTTGAAGGGCAGAAAGTGTCACGGTCACGGTTAACGTGACTGTTACTGACGCGTTAACGCGTTTTTCGCCCCAGTTCTATGTTCTTTGTTTTTCCAGTCTCCTAAGTTCTAACTGTTCAGTGTTACACGCGATATGTCTTCTGGGTACTCCTATTCAATCCTGGCACGACGCATCCATCCCACAAATTCAAACCAGTGAATTCAATTCGCTAGTTACGACACTGCGGAACCAGTTTACGGGTCGTCAAAGGCAAAATGTGCATCAGCCCCAATGATTCGATCACGCTAAATCAGACATCATCTTTCAGCTGATAGTGTTGAGATTTGAGCTTTAGTGCTCTTTCTTTCCCTTGCCTCTCCATTCTTCGAGTCATTGTTCTCCCTTCCTCAGGGCCTTATTCCGACCAGGAACAGAAGGATGGCGTAGTAGTCACCCCCATGTCCGAGGACAGCAAAAACCTCGATTCATTTCTCAGGTTTTGCCATCCATCAACACTCGCAGAGGACCCTCCCCTCGGCAATCTGACGGATGCCCTACCTGTGCTCGCATTTGCGAGCAAGTATGTTCTAGACCTGATCGAGAAAAAAGCGTGTCAGGCTCTCCTGGCTTCGAAGGTTCGAGAGAGAGAGAGCCTCTTCACAACCGCCAGGAAAGCACTGCTCGAATCTGAAACCATCCTTGCTGCTAGAAACACCCTCAAATTTTGCAGAAGTCGCTTTTATCACCGCATTTGACTTTCTTGCCCTGTTGATATACCGCAAAACTTGCAGTATCGTCGTACAATCTTTAGCGAACGACTTGAGTTATGACACTCACGGCAGGGTCCCGGAAGTACTGTAACAGTGGGGTGGGTACCGACCAGAGATTTCGACCATGGGATGCAACTCCAGTTACACGGTGGGCAAAATTTATGCAGGTGACATTCGAGTTATTGAAGGATACCTCGTCCGGCGACACTGAGGACAGCAGCGGATGAAACAATCCTTCATTTTGCTCTGGCCAGGTGATGGTGAACATGACGAAGTTGAGTGACCTTTTTTTGCTCTCGCAGTCGAAAAGGCCGTCGCTCCGGTGTGTGTCTTGATATAGATCACGAACTGATTCTGACACTTCTCGATAGGTCGAGCCGATGGTGAACTTTTTTGTCGCCGTGAGTAACGCAATATACAATGCTAGGGCAAAACAGCATCATCGCGTCCTTCGGCAGGAGTGGGTAGTACTGAACCGCCCCCTTGTCTACATTGACTCGGTTTCAATCTCACGACATGGCTTATCTTCCTGCGTATCTCCTTCTTAATCACCGTCACGTACCATATCTCGCTTTGCTATTGCCCAGGTTCATGAACACCAACGTACAAAACCGCCATGAGGTCAAAGAAGACACTGTGTGCGTAAGGAATGCCGAATGCAGTGGTCTGCGCCCTAACAGACGCCCTAGCGCATAGTCAGTTCGGTTCTCTTATCTTTTTCAGAGCCTCTACCATCATCTTCAAAGCACATCCCACAACTTTCAAGTTTCAACTGGTGTGTTCAACTCATTAGCTACGATCTGCCTTGCTAATGACACCACAAAGCTAGATCACGAATCACTGATGGAAACTTGTGCTCTAGCCCCATTCGATCACGCTAAAGCAGACGTCATCTTACGATCAGCTGATGGCGTTGAGTTTCGAGTTTTCATGCTCTTCCTCTCCCTTGCCTCTCCGTTCTTCGAGACGTTGTTCGGCCTCCCTCAGGCACCTGATGGGGCTGCCGATCAAGAGATGAAGGATGGTTTAGCAGTCATCGCCGTGTCTGAGGACAGCAAAACTCTAGATTCGTTTCTCAGATTTTGCTATCCATCGACGCTGGCAGAGGATCCTTCCCTTGACAACCTAATAGACGTCCTCTCTGTACTCGCAGCTGCGAGGAAGTATTCACTAGACCTGATCGAGACAAAAGTGTGTCAGGCTCTAACGAATCCCAAGGTTCTCGAAACAGATCCCCTTCGCAGCTTCGCCATTGCGAGGAACGCACGGCTCAAACATGAAACCATCACCGCTGCCAGACACAACTTACGGCAACCCTTGATTCCTGCGTTGTTTGCAGAGATCGACCTTATCACCGCATCCGACTTACTTGCCCTACTGACATACCACAAAAAATGCATTATCGCCGCACAAGCCCTAATGAAGGACTTGACATGGATGACAGATCATTACGGCAGTCAGAATGCTTGCGGCTGGCTGTTTGGTTATCAACCCCACTACGGCAATCAATACTGCTGCGGACAGGGCACCGACAAAAGATTCTTTCCTTGGGGTAACCCTCCACTTACATGGTGGACAACGTATATGCAGGAGTTATATGAGTTGTTGATGGATAGTCCATCTGGCAATACTGTCAGGACAGCAACGGATAGGACAGTCCAACAGGTCAGAAGTGCAAACTGTTCTACTTGTTCTGGCCGGGTGAAAGAAGCGATGGCGGAGTTTGGCGACTTGCTTGCTCTGAAAGTCGAAAATGCCGTCGCTCCGGTATGTACCTCGCTATACAACACGGACGCATGCTGAGATCTCCTGACAGATCGAGCTGGAGATGGACTTCTGATCGTGACTACCCTCATCCGTAAGGCAATGTATAATACTGTGCTATAACAATTTTCTCAATGTCATCATCAGGCAGATCACGTCTATCGACGTGAGCCAAAGTGTAGTATCCAACCGTCCTAGTGTCCATAATCATGACTCGGTCAGATCTAGCAGTTGAATGAGTAGTAGGAAAGGGTATTTCTACTTAGGGGTTTCTTAGGGGGCTGACGCAAACCACCATGCCGTAGTTGTATACGTATACTTGACTAGTCTCGAAAATGGCGAATATTTCTTCTCCGAAGATCTTCTACAGCCAGTAACCTTGAGCCTGATTCTTGATAAATACTAGTAGATCATATAGACGAACGTACTGCGGCCCTATATATAACGTATCCTCTGGGCAAAATCTCCATCGAACACCTTTTTTTGCCCTTCCTGAAGTGACATCGTTCATTATCGGTTTCTCTAGCATGCTCAAACGTAAGTTCAGTTCAACCTATTGCACAAAAAAATCTTGCTTGACCATGCTATTCATAAAAGCGAAGGAACATCTCATGGTAGCCCCGCCATTTTTGCATACCAAAGCAGATATCATCCTTCGATCATCTGATGGCGCTGATTTTCGCGTGATCACGCTCTTTCTGAATCTCGCTTCCTCGTCCTTTGACTCGATCATCGAGCAAGCGGCACGATCAGGCCAGATCGAAGGTCATCTGCCTATCATATCCGTGGAAGAAAACCACAGAGTCCTTGATATCTGGCTCAGATTCTGTTACCCGTCTACTCTTGCGGAGGATCCTCCTCTGGATGAACTTGAAGATATCATACCTGTCCTTGAGGCAGCCAGGAAATATTCTTTGAAATCGCTTGAGCATAAAGTTCGCCAAGCGCTTATTAGCCGTACGGAGAAAGAGCCTTTGAAATGCTTTGCGCTTGCAATGCGTGCCCAGTTAGACACCGAAGCTACGCTCGCTGCAAAAGATAATCTCCGTCAATCTCTCATTCCTGCAAGAATTCCAGAAATCAACCTCATCACAGCAAAGGAACTGCTCGCACTACTTACCTATCATCAAAGGTGTGGCATATCGGTCCAATCCTTGGGCAAGGATTTATCCTGGATTACCCATTACTACTACAATACGCCAAACGCAAGCTACCAATGGATCATCAGCGGCGCCTGTAGCTGCGAGTCCGGCAGTCAATTCTTGCTCAATCTTCAACGACCAGTGAAATGGTGGAGTGATTACATGGAAAAAAGTCTGACGTCCTTGCGCGACAAGCCATCTGGCCACACGGTCCTTCTAGAGGTTGATGACGCAATCCGGGGCGTTCGAGCTGCTGGCTGCTCGCATTGCTGTTCAAATATCCTGGTTAATATGACAGAATTCGCTATGTTGTTTAGTAGGATGGTTGATGCTTTGACGGCAAAGGTGACTTCGTGGTTTTTTTCTTTTGCTAGCAGCGCACTTAACTCACAATATCGCACTTGAACTCAAGGTTGATCTCGACACGGAGTTGGTTGGGCCCTTCGTCCCGGCTACCTTGTCCTTTGCCCCGGTTACCCCAGAAACGCAGCGGCAGAAGGCTGGCGGGAAGAAGAAGAAGGGAAAAAAGTGATGAAAACTTTGTATTGGCATACAAGTTGGCAAATAGTGGCTGCTGCTGCAGTCATAGATGTTGCGGGGATTTCACCGACGACAGCGGTTTCGTGGTGCGGTGACGGGCTGAAGGTTGGCTTTGAACTTCTTGCTGGGCAACTTGGATTTTGCTCTTTTTTACGTGGTGGGGCAACATATAAAGTCTACGACACAGATTTGAACATCGAAGATTCGGAGGTGTTCAGCACAAAGTTGCTTGCAGCAGATAATCCTGGCCAAAAAATCGTTTACATAAACTTGGCGGCGATTGAATTGGACAATTAGCGGATTACTGTGGCACACAGTAAACGAACATCACCGAGCTTGATCAACAGATACTGTACATTTATTCGAAGACTATCGACACAGAACACAAAACCTAGGAGGAAGAAAACAAAGGGAAATCAGACGTTTCGAATTTTACAATGAAGAAAGTGGTTGATGAAAACCGAATCTTGACATACTAAACATGCGGCGCAGCCTGACTGTAAACACAGATCAACGAAATTATGTATGACCCAAGGAGAGAGAAAACCACTGCGAGATGTTCAAAGCAATCCGAGCCAAGCCCAATCCCCAAAGATGCTCGACGAATCCTTCAACCAACTCTCGATAAACGTGCCCTTTCCACGTTCTCGAGTCTTCTGCTCCAACCGCACGATCTTTTTGGTAGTGTCCGCTCCGTGTTCCGCACAGAGTTGCTTCAGGATGATGTCCCGACTCAGTCCGGGACAGCCGCTCATGATTTTGAGCATGTACTCCCCCACAGCTTCAATACCGGTATCAGAAGTCTGCATCATGACCATACCGCGGTTGATCCGGAAGATCATTTTCGCTCCTGGATTATCGATCACAAAGCGAATTGTATCACCACTTGGAGTGAAGAGGAAGTAATCGACATCTCTGTCAGCTTCGAGCATCTCGGCCTGACGCTCCGCAGCAGGGGAACGTTTGCCCTTGCAGGGGTTTACGCCAAGGTCTCTGAGACTCGTCATACCTCGACCATTTTTCGTTTCGGAGTTACGAATCATCTCGGCGGCGGGATTCGAGTCGTCGAATGCCCAAAGTGAGTCTCCCTTGGTTCCCCTCAGACCCTTTGATACTCTCTTCTTGCCACAAGCCCGTTTGTGAAGAGACCAGTCTTGCTTCTGGCAGGATCTAGCGAATGCAAACATCATGAGGGGATATGAAGACAGGATTATAGGACTACTACACACTGAGAACAATAATGTACCTCGAAGTTGAGTTTCGTCTTGCAAACACTGCACACCATGAAGCGAACACCTTGTCCAATGTCTTCTGGCGTCTTCGTGCAGTTGTCGCAGCGGATAAGGGGTTTATCCCTCAAAGTCGTTTTGGCCATTGCTAAAGATCGAGCGATATATCCTTCTGTATTCTCCATAACGTGTAGGACTTTTTTCATCCCCTCGCTACGATTGGTAATGTCATGTACAATTGAGAACGTCGAGCGCAGGACAAATTGCGCTGATCATTGATTGTTAGACTCGCATGATGTCCGATGAAAAAACTCACCAATAAACAAATTCCTATTGGTAGTCGCGACGTCGAACACGAGCTTTGTGCTTTGGGATGTCTCTTTTCGAGGTGAAACATCCGAGGCCTGTCCCCACCATGGATTTGGCAGGTTCGACGCCTGTTCCCACCACGAGTTTGGTAGGAATGCTGGTTTGACGGACGACTCGAAGGTCTCCAAGACAAGAGTGAGAAAATCGATGAAGCCCTTCCCGCCCTGCGATAGGAAGTTCGAAACTGTGACCTCTGGGCAAAGAGCACGACAATCTTGGCCCCAGAACGTAGGAGCCACAGATGCGCCCTTCAGGCCTTCAAGGATATGTCTCCTCTGCTCAGTGGCATCTAACAACAACCAGATGGTGTCAAAGTGACCTTCATCAAACAAGCTGCGCAGGATTCCAGCTACTTTATCTTGAAAGCTGCGGAGATTCTCATGGAGGAACTCTATGTCGTTGGCCTTAAAGAAAGAATCATCTAGGAAATGAGTAATCTCCTTGAGGACGTCTGCTGCAGTCGAAGATGCGATCGCCGCCTCCCACTCCTTATTCCACTTGAGGACGTCTTGCTCGATAGCAGTGATGTTGAATTTCTTGGACAAGATAGGAGGAAGACCTTTAAATTTCTCTACAGCAGTGTGGTCCTCGATTGCCGATGCCATGGTTAGATGATGAGTGACTTGTTTGCCGCTCAGGTAGAGGGTATGCGAGATCAGGGATGTCGACCAGACGCGTTTTAAACCTAACACCCATCATGATAATCGGATGCTGTCATATCGATGGTCGAATTGCAATTGAATAGCAGTTCCATAATCGATGATCAATTGTAATAAGTAGTCTAGAAGGAGAATACCATCATCTTCCAGACGTAAAGCACGCGTTCTGTATGAGGTAAACACTGCGTGTTATCAAAAATTTCAGCCGTCTGAAACGAGGGCAGAACCTGACCCTAGGGTTAGGTGTCAGCCATGTCAGCGCCTTCGTTGGACACCGGCGTCGACATGGCGGTTTTACCGCATTCCCTCCATGTAGAAGTCAAGGTTTCGCCCTCTCGTCAACACCAGCTGAAACCATGGTCTATGCTCGATAGGGCGACCTCGCGAGGTTTAATATTTGTATACCTCTAAATCAATGTATATAATATTAATATATATATACCTCGATCGTGCACGCGCGGCCGCAATCGATATTCAGCTAGCCAGGTTAAATCAATGGTATATTATACTCGCGCCGTGCACTGCTCAGTGCTAGCTAGATACAGGCACAGCTATATAGATACATACAACAGACTCGTATATAACGCGTCCGAGTAATGGACAATGAAATCGCGCGACCTTCGAGAGCAGACGGGAAACTAAGTGGGCGCCGGATGCATGCGTAACGACGGAAGACAGCAAAACCTGAGTATGTAGACCATCAGCATAATATTCAGGATAGATATTTCGGCAAGATGTTGTTACGCATGAGGAAAACGCGTGGGCCCATAGAACCCAGAAGCGGGCGATCTGTGCTGGGAACAAGTCGAACTGCCTACGAAGACCGCTAATCAGCTCGCAGGCACTGCGGTACCCTGCAAGGAACGATGGAGCGTATGGGCTGTTCATGGAGTTTGTGGGGTTGTTTGATACAGCTTCCGCAAAAAAGCATCGATGAACATATAGCAAGGCTGCAACGAACTCAGAAATTACTTTGATGTCGGACTATGCCAGGGTCACTTACTAAGGTGCCGGTAGTTATGGGGCATGTAATGCTTCATTGCTTCCCCAAGTTCGGCGCCTTCTCTGGAAGGTCGCTGAGCGTATTTCGGAAGCTCCATGTCGCGAATCTTGCGATCCAGTTAAGGCCCTGATAAATCGCGAGCAAAGCCAACGTCTGAATGGTTGCTACTGATGTGGGACTTACTCATGCCGCTTCCAAGACAAAAGAAACACAGAGTACGTGCGGGATCCCAACCAGGTCTGGGCTCATGATCTTTCACGAGCTAGGGGTCGGACATGTTGCAGAAAATGACATGGAAGAAGCATTCAAGGTTCCGCCAGTGACAGCGAGAGTGTGATTCGGTGAGTGTGGCCATACGAGAAGACAGGAGGGATGAATGAAAACTTGGCGGTAGGCGAGTTACACGGTGATGTGCTGGAGAAACTGCTTGACACGTGCAGCCGTCTAGGATAGATAGCTTTTAGCCAGATCCAAGCACCAGGAAGCAGAAACTGTGGAGATAGAGTCGGACACTGCCAAAATGCGGATGAGTCGTCGTGGAAGTCAAGAACGAAGGTGGTTTCAAACTCCGCGAGTGTTACTACTGACTGTACCGCACTGCGGTCTAGCGCATACATTCAACTCACTGCAGAGCGCATCATGCATCAGAGCGCAAACAAAGACCAAGTTCGAGTTGCTTTATTTGTCGGATAAACCCTAGCTATGGGTTAACGTTATACGTACTAATGTGGTAGGTCTGCAACTGGGTATGCGTTGAGGCGTGTTGAAGGGTTGAGTCGACGCCGTATATACCAAGCGGAAATCAAGGCGAGGAGGCCCGATAGTATCCGCCATCGTTGCGCGGAGCGTTGACTTAGAGTATTAAGTTGACGACTCAGTATTGGCTGGCTGATACCTGGTGGCGGTGACGTGGCTGAAACTTTGGGGACCCCCCAGAATCTCCGCCAACTCTCAGCCGTCGGAATTTTTGGACAACACGCAGTGAAAGCACTTATAACCTATCACCGAGTATATTCCACTTGAGCAATGAGCGCGTCTTGCTTTAAATCACTGATGTTGAATTTCTTCAACAAGAGAGGAAGAACACCATTAGGTTTCTCTCCAGCGGCGGCGTGGTCCTCGATTGCCGATGTTATCACTAGAGATGGCTGACTTGTTTGCTCGGCCGGGGAGTATGATAGACGCGTTGTAAGCTTACGCTCTAGCATATCATGATAATCGGATACCATCATATTGATGGTCAAATTGCAAGCTTGGGCAGTGCAAGGTAGTTCATGATCAACGATGATAGTCTATAAAGAGAAGGTCATCAGAATCTCCCAGACGTAAAGCCTGCGCTCTGTACTATCTCGAACAAGAAAACTTGCCAATTTTGGTAGTCACGAAGAGAAGGCCACCAATTTCAAGTTGAAGCTTGCGCTCTATATAGTTGCGGAAAACTCGCCAATTTTGGTGGTTGCACATGGAGAGAAGGCCGATTTGAAGCCTGCACTCTGTATGAGGTTAAAGTACTTACTTATCACCACCATGAGGCTCCAACTTTATACAGTCTCGTGAGTCGTGAGTCACGAATGTTCCCCTGAACGTCGATGCAGCGGCCTTATGACAACATGAAACAGACATGTTCGTAATATCATAGCATTTATTCATTGTTGGATTAGGAGGGTAGAAGACAGGAAAGAACAATGCAAGGATAGTCCCTAGAAACAGAAGCAGCTGCCTTTTTGATTAGTGGTAGCCACTGTCATATTCAACGGACGCGCAGAGGCGAATAGTACGATAAGAATCCACCAACGGGGGATTTGACGACGGCGATGCCACAGGTTGGCTTTGAACTTCTTGCTGTCCTTCGATATGAGTGACTTGGGTTTGTTACAAGGTGGGGCAACATGTAAAGTCTACGAAAAACATGAGCACCAGAGGTGTAGCGAACAGATACCCTTCTGTCCTTAGCGGTCGCAACTTCCACGGAGGGGGATCGGCGGGAGGAAGTTCAAGTTGTGTTGCATCACGGTCAGTGGGAGGAGAGCATTGGAAGAGCGAGGAGAGGCGATTAAGGGCCGCACGTGGACATGGCCCCTAGGAGGCAAGAGTACTTCTGCGACGACGTGCAGAGGGTTGAGAATGGGCATGGCGCGCTGTAGAATACTGAGAACATGGAGGTCAGAACAAGAGCTGGTCGATTGATATGACGGCGAAATACCGTCTTGCGTATCATCAAAAAATCCTCCTGGTTCATAGGCATCCTCGAGCTGTCGCGTAGGCATCGGCCTGGAATAAGTTTACGAGCATCGAAGATGTTGACAAACACGTCACGTACCTCCAAAAACGAGTTGTCAACTACATCCTGTGGGTGGGAGATTAGTGCGCTCTATTATTGAAGACTCATTGCGAAACAAGGAGATGGCGAATTGTTGTGATGGCGTTCGAGAATGGCGATCTGGTCACAGCTGCTGGCATTCATGACCGTGTCGAACTTCTTCAAGTGAATATCCTAATTGAGCCAACATTTGATCCGGAGCCTGAGATTCACTTCCTTCCATCCGACGTCCAGGTCCTACTGTAAACTGGTCGACTGTGCTCTACCGTAGAGAGCAGCCTTCCCGTGTCGGTGTCCCAGAATTACATTAGGTTCTGCTTGTATCTACCGGCCGTGATTTTTTGGTGTTGGGCGAGGAGCTCACTGCGTACCCAAAGCTGTGGTGCTTGATTGGGCCAAACAAAATTTCACCGCTCTCGACATCCCAAACCCTTGCGGTGCCGTCCTCTGATTGACTCACAACTCGCTCACCAGTCGGACTCCAGCTCACTGACCACACGCTCCTTGTGTGTCTTGTCCATTTGGCAATGACCTTCCCGGTCTCGACGTTCCACAACCGCACTGTTCCATCAATGCTACCGCTTGCAACAATGTTGCCTCTGGGAGATAACACTATGGTGATTACGCCCACTCCGTCCTCCTGATCTCTCCAGTCGTCGCCTATATGTAAACGACTCTCCAATATCCCACCCTTCGAAGCGAGCCGTCGTTCGAACATGTGATGATTCGTTGTCCGCAAGGCAGGCGCACAGCACTTCATACTCACTCGATATAGTCTCGCACCGTCTGGCTGGGCGTTATCCCTGATGTCTCTTGTGTCTCGCTAATGGGGGAAGAGGGTATCATTGCTGATACCTCTTGCGTTTCAACGATGGGGGGAGAGGGTGTAATCACTGATGCCTCGTGCATTTCAATGATTGGAGCAAAGGGTGTAATCGCTCGTGCTTCTTGATTGGGGAAGTGGGTGTTATCACTAGCGTGTCTTGCATTCTTCTTGTGGTGCAAGACATTGTCGGCGTTTATGGGTGTGGACTAAGGAGGAATATCGTGGACCGGTACGCGTAATACGTCGACTTTCTGGGATCTTAGGACGGTCGGCCTTGCAGAAATGCTTGTTTCCAGCGGTTTACAGGGCCAACCCCTGTGTCAACCCTTGTCAATATAAGCGTGATGGACAACGCTCACGAGAAGCTTATCGAGATCAATTCGAACCTGACCCACAGGACTATTTCGGTACTATGGAGGCAGGGGCTGCTTGCTGGCAAAGTCCTATCTTTCACAAGGACGTGCCAAGTCAAGTATCGTTGAGAAGGAATTTGGGCAAGGGTTCATTTGAGCGTCCACTACACTGAGGCGCGTTCAATGCATCATCCTCATGTTTACTCTGTCATTTGATACTTTGCAGGTGAGGCGATCACGCGCATCTTCCGAACCATATACTCATCATTTTAGCGACTTCCTTTGATGGTCGTGACCAACATATGATAAGGTGCCGCACTTCCGTTCCTCAAGGAACTCCTCGAACTTCTTTGAAGGGTGGTGCCGTGGCGTCATACCGCAACGGGGCATGATGTGCAGTGAAAAGATAATCTGATTGCTTCGAGGCGGTTCAACATTAAGAGTCTGGCAAGCTTCGTCGGATCCTCGATGCCTCGATGTACTATCAGTGGGCAAGGAACTCTAATCCAGCCTACCCGTTGCCCTGCATGCAAGGGACTATCGGGGAATCGATCACAATAGTATATAGGTAGTTCTGTATTCATCTCGAAATCCACCCATTGGAACGCTCGCATCTAGAGTTGAATTGAAACTCTCAAAAATTTGCAATCTCAAGTGAGTGTGAATTTCTGCCAAATTTCTGCTGATGGCACAAGCATCTTTACATAGTCACTTCAATGATCATGTCTACCTGCGCACCATCGCCCTTTGACCACCCAAAAGCTGACATTATCCTGCGGTCCGCAGATGGTGTCGATTTCTGTGTCTTCAAGCTCTTTCTCACCCTCGCCTCCCCGTTCTTCGAGACCATGTTTGAACTCCCCCAACCAGCAGATGGGACGGGTGACGATACGAAGGATGGTCTCCCTGTCATTCCTGTGCCGGAAGATAGCAAAACATTAGACACTTTCCTCAGATTCTGCTACCCCTCCACATTGGCAGAAGATCCCTTGCTTGATAGTCTGGCAGACATTCTAGCCATCCTCGGAGCTGCGAAGAAGTACTCGTTGGACCTGATAGAGAAGAAAGTATGTCAGGCTCTAGTTAATCACAAGGTTCTCGAGGCAGAGCCTCTTCGCTGCTTCGCAATCGCCTATAACGCACGGCTCAAACATGAGACCATCACCGCTGCCAGATACACCCTACGACAGCCCTTGATTCCAGCGTGGTTTGAAGAGATCGAGCTCATCACCGCGTCTGACCTTCTTGCTTTACTCACTTACCACAAGAAGTGCGCCATCGCAGTAGCACCGTTACGGGCCAACTTGGATTGGGTGACCAACCATTATGGCAGTTTAAATAGCTGTAAATGGTTGGTACCTGAGATGCAAAACCCCAACCGCTCATACTATGGGACACCTGACCCCACCACCTGCAGTTGTGGACGGAGCACCCAAGCCGAATTTATGTTGTGGAACAACACTTCGGTCTCTTGGTGGGCTACTTATATGAAGGAAACATTCGAGTTATTGAGGGACACTCCTTGTCGCGATATCGTGAAATCAGAAGCAGAAAAGACGATACAGAAGGTCAGAGGGGCAGGCTGTACTCTTTGCTCCGCCAGGGTCAAGGAGAACATGGAAGAGTTCAGCGAGTTACTCGCCCTCAACGTTGAGAAGGCAACTGCTTCGGTACGTATCTCTGTATAGGCCTAGCAAAACTTCTAAAATATTTCGTTCACAGATTGAACTAGAGATGCACTTCTGACCGTGACTTGTCGCTAAGTACGTAGGATATACATGTATTACGTTTCTGAAATTGTTCAGTTTGGAGAGAAATCTAAACACAAGTGACTGCATATCTTCATAAGTACAAACAGCGATGTCAGTGTCAGGGTGCACGTAGTGCGCAAAATATGAAGTTACATGGGATTCAAGAGGAGATATTAAGGAGATGAGCAGTAAACGTTTAAACCATCAAGTTATTCACCGTCACTCTGGTCGCCCAAAAAGGCCATTCTGGAATGCTTGCGCCTGCAGTTTTCTAAGGAACACCGTGATCCCGAAAGCAAGGACATAGGAAATGAGTCACGAACCTTCCTCATGACTGGTGGGCCCTCGTCCTCGCTTCCTGATCCTGCCAGTCTGACTTCTGGCGTCCTACAGTCAACCTAGAGTTACTTAAGCTAGGAGGGGTCAGCATCTTGTAGCGTGTGTTTCACTAACTAGAAACAGGTAGAGTCAACGACCAGTGTCCACCCAGATTTAGGAGCTTAATAGTCCTCTATCTTCACCTCCATAGCAGACCTGTCAAGGGGATCTTTATTCGGTAGTTCCCCTTCTCTCACTTTGCAGTGACACACCCATGTGATTCTCCACCTCGTTTATTGCTACTTGTTCGCGTCATTAATCATGGCCTGTGCGTCGCTGGCGCTGGCGAGTTGGGTTGAGTTTCCTGCGTACTGTGAGTAAGCCACCCAATTCACCAGTATCAGAACGACAGCCTGAGGCGGCGTGCACAACCACCTAGATACAACAACTCATGTGCGCCTCAATTTGGAATGAGACAAGGTACGTACTTGAGGTCAGAAACTGGCCAGCGTCGGAATTGGTGCGTCGTGTATGTCGTTGGCACTGGCGAGTTCGACTGAATTTCCAGTGCATCCGCGCGCATCAAAAGGCGTTGAACTCACCAACACTAGAATGTCAATTTGAGACGTAGGTGACCACCCGGGTAAATCTTATTTGAGTACGGAGTTATAATCGCATAACAACCCCTAAATGCGCCAGGCTATTGCATACACAAAAGGCTAGGGAAAGAGAACGTACTAAGTTTCAATATGGTGATTGATCTTCATGACGGAGTCTTTGACCATCGCACTAGAGTCATTCGCAGAAGCGGTAAAGTCAAAACAATCCTTGCGAGACTAGCGAGAAATGGGCCGCACGCGTGTTCATAGGGCGGGGTATCACAGCACAGGGTGTCCCACTGGACCAAATCTACGTGCGAGCAAAGTACTGTGACGTCCTAGATAATTCATGAAAGGGATGATTTAGAATAACGTCATGGGATAACGTCAGCTAGGGTGAGCACACGCGAGAGGATGATAATCCGAATCATTCAAGTTCGTGCTGTGAGGGGATTTGGCAGATGCGCTGAGCATCGCAGATAACATAGAAATAATGAGTCGTGGAGGATACAGTAGTGGATTAGTGTACATGAAGTTAACTGCCACTATGAGCACCACTACGGCTGCTACTAGCGTTTGTCGTGCCAGCCGGGCGGGGTTCAACACGCTGCAAGTGCCATCGAGGAGGCATCCTCGGTCTGCCGTGCGACCAGCACGAGCAGTAGCACAGGAACGCCTTGCACCAATGCACGTCTGGGAGCGAATCAACGTCAGATGAGTCGATATCCTGCGGCGCCCCAGCCTGCTGTCCAGGCGGATGTCGGGTGTCGTTTACTTTCCTGTATTCTGGTAGTTTGGCAGCAAGCAGTCGCTATGGGGCACAAATCAGCTAAGAGGCGATGACAGGTAAGAAGATGTAGGTTACAGTGACCTTCCGCCCTGGTGCGACTTCAACGACTGATGGCCCATGGCTGTGTCTTGGCGTGAGGAAGGCAAGGTGCTGTAGTAGGAAATGCGAGACTGGAGCGTTCGAGGGGGGAGGCGGAGAATCTATTTCGAACTGGATACACACTCAGTCATGCATCAGAGGCCGACTGAAATTGAACACTGACACGATCAAACCGAGTTGCAGTCTGCCCAAGAGAGGGGATGGTAGGGGTAATGTAGCAGAGACCTGTGGTGCCATCGTCGAGTCAAATGTGAAAGAACTGAGATGAATGACCTACATCTAGGGGATTATGAGGTTGAACAGGGCGCACTGCATTCGTGCGAGAAGAAAAGGGAAGAAGTTTGCGGAGGTGATGGAAAATGGGTTTCCGCGGCTCAATTGTAGGCGGAGAACTCTGGACCACAAGTGTGTCAGGTGTCGGTAGTCTGTGGAGCACGGCAGGACGACGAGGAGTTGCATTAGACTGCAACAATAGCAATGGATGAGTTGTGTAATGAGTCAAAAATGAGATGCGCACATTTCGCAGATCATCGAGGGTTCGTGCCCTGGCCTGTAAGGGAACGTCAACAAACGGGCAGCAGATGGTTGCGGGGAATGCGTACACGGGCCTGAGCAAGGACTTCGGGTGGAGTGTTGCAAATGTAGATATTGTTATCATCATAGGTGGATGTTGTGTAAGCAAACTGGCACGAGTCGGGTGAGAGGACAATGGTAAGGGAATCATGGACGTTGAAGGAAGCGAGGAGTTGGCGGGACTCGAAGGCCCAGAGTTTGATGGTGTCGTCGAATGATGAGCTGGCAAGGAGGGTGCAGTCGAATGAAAGTGCTAGATCGCGAATGGCTTGAGTGTGTCCTTCGAAGGGAGTTCCGACAGTCTTCAGCGTCGACGCGTCGAACTCGTAGATTGTCCTGGAATCGTTGGGTGTGAAGCTGAATAAGGTTAAGATGTTTTTGTTGTTTGTTTGTCCAGAAAATTGGCGGACATGCGTTACTTGCGTATGCTCCGGGAACTGATTTCCCTCTGCTCACATCCAATTTCTGTTTTTGGACATCCCAGACCTCAAGGCACTCCCCGACAGATGACTTGATTGCAAGCTTCTTCGAATCCGTTGAGAATCGAACTGCGCCCACCCAGTCAATGCACTCGAATGGACCGGCTACAAGTTTGCCGGTGTCTAAGTTCCATATTCGCGTTGTCCGATCCAAGGACCCACTCGCCAGCAGTGTGCAGTCCGCAGAGATATCAATGCATCTGATACCTGAGTGGCCTTCGAATGTTTTCACAATCCCCGTTTCAACCTCACAGGCTTTCAGCTCCCCACGAGTGGTTATTCCACCACCAGTGACAACCCATCGACCATCCCTTGATACCGCCACTTTCACTACCTCCTCCTCGTAAAATCCTTGCTCTTTCTCAATCTCCTTACCCGCCTTCAAATCCCATCGCCGAGCGGTCTTGTCCATAGATCCGCTGATCATTCGCTGGCCGTCCGGAAAATAAGATATGGATTGAATCATATTTACGTGACCCTTCAAAGTCATTGTCGGTTTCAGAATCGATTTCTTGACGGCTGCCTTTGTCGACGTGGAAGCCATGACTACGTCTATACGACTAAAACTGTTAAGCGGGGGCAAGGTGTTCTTTGGATGTGGTTGAAGGACTTGTGGTGGGCTCTCCTCGTGTGCTGTGGGCCTGATGTTGGTCATTTTGAATGTTATCAAGAGGCAAGCAATGATAGAGAGGGAAGAATTATACAACGTGAGCACAGGTGTCGTTCTTGCAAGATCCGCTATTTCTCAAATATCCTTGCTTTCGATTCACAGCCACTCACAGCCATGACCGAGGTTCCTGTGTTAGAGCGTCAATCTCGTTTCAATTTCCCACCCGCCAGTGTCGTTTGCTTGTGAACGGCGATCCGGATGGTCCGTTTCAAAATTTTAACTGTAGCATTAAACCATTCTCAATGCAGTCTTGCTTTCGACGCCAGTGGACGCGTGGTTAACATTGTACAGAGACCACATGGTGACTCCCTTTCCATAGTCACAACCATTATCGAACACATGCTCGTCCAAGTGTCGTTACCCGAGACCCGCTCTCCAGGAAAACTGCTGCGAAGCTGATGTACGACTAGGGCACGTTCACGGAACAAACTCATGCTGTGCCCGCGCGACTGCATTAGCCTCAATTGTTCGTCGCGACGTCGTTCTGGGCTTCTAACTTGCAGAGAGACTGACCAGAGATGGGTAAACACAGTGAGAAGTGGTTTACCGTGATATTTCTCCTGATTGTTCATCCGCAATTTTTTGGTGTCGGGCGAGTAGCTCACTGCGTACCCGAACCTGTCACGGTGCGCTGTCTTCATTGGACCAAACAAAATTTCACCGCTCTCGACATCCCAAACCCTTGCGGTGCCGTCCTCTGATCAACTCACAACTCGCACACCAGTAGGACTCCAGCTCACTGACCACATGCTCCTTGTGTGTCCTGTCCATTTGGCAATGACCTTCCCAGTCTCGACGTTCCAGAACCACACTGTTCCATCACTGCTACCGCTTGCAACAATGTTGCCTCTAGGAGACAACGCTATGGTGAATCCCCCACTCAATTCTCCTGATCTTTCCGGTCGTCGTATATCTGTAAACCGCTCTCAATCCTGCCGTCAGAGCGAGCCATTGTTCGAACATGTGAAAATTCGTTGTCCACAAGGCAGGCGCACAACACCTCATATCCACTTGGTATGGTCTCGCATCGTCTGATGGGGCGTTACCCCTGATGTCTCTTGTGTCTCGCTGATGGGGGGTAAGTTATTTCTGATACCTCTTGTGATTTAATAACGGGGGTGCGTAATCTCCAACGCCTCTTGTGTTTTAATGATGGAGGAAGAGGGTATAATCGCTGACGCCTATAACATCTCACTTGTGGTGGAAGACATGGTCGGCGATTAGACGTCTACTAACGAAGAGCATAGACCAGACGCGTAAGACAACAATTTTCTAGGATCATGGGACGATTGATCTTGCAAAAATGAATATTACAAGTGCAACCTCGTGTTAACTCATGTCAATAGAAATGCAAGTTCCATCCGTTATCTTTATCATATACTTGACTGATTGGTGCTGCGCAGATGAGGCGATCAGGCCTCAGGACTGGAGCCACGCGCATCTTCCTATATAATTTTCTGCGGACTTCCTTTGATGAGTGACTGACATATGACAGGCGCCGCCTGAGTACCGCACTTCTTTTCTCAAGGAACTCTTCAAACTCCTTTGCAGAGCGGGGCCGCGGGGGCATGCTGCACCTTCGCATGCTGTATAGCGAAAATATCACTGATGTTATGCAGGGACAAGATCTGTATTCCATCGGCACGAACTCGAACCAGTGCAACATCAAATTTTGGCAAGCCTTCTTGAAACCTCAAGGCCACAATGTGCGATCAGTGGGCAAGGAAGTGCAGTCCGTGCTAGTCATCACACTGCACGCATTGAATTATCGAGGTAGTATATATAGGTGGTCTCAAAGTCCACCCATCACAACACTCGCATCTATATTTCACTCTAAGCTCGTGATAAATCGCACTCTCAAGTAAGTAAAGTTTGAGAATTGTGCTGAATTTCTGCTGATGGCACAAGCATCTTTACACAGTCACTTCAATGACCATGTCTACCTGCGCATCATCACCCTTTGACCACCCAAAAGCTGACATTATCCTGCGGTCCGCAGATGGTGTCGATTTCTGTGTCTTCAAGCTCTTTCTCACCCTCGCCTCCCCGTTCTTCGAGACCATGTTTGAACTCCCCCAACCAGCAGATGGGACAGATAACGATACGAAGGATGGTCTCCCTGTCATTCCTGTGCAGGAAGATAGCAAAACATTAGACACTTTCCTCAGATTCTGCTACCCCTCCACACTGGCAGAAGATCCCTTGCTTGAGAGTCTGGCAGACATTCTAGCTATCCTCGGAGCTGCGAGGAAGTACTCGTTGGACCTGATAGAGAGGAAAGTATGTCAGGCTCTAGTTAATCCCAAGATCCTCGAGGCAGAGCCTCTTCGCTGCTTCGCAATCGCCCGTAACGCACGGCTCAAACATGAGACCATCACCGCTGCCAGATACACCCTACGACAGCCCTTGATTCCTGCGTGGTTTGAAGAGATCGAGCTCATCACCGCGTCTGACCTTCTCGCTTTACTCACTTACCACAAGAAGTGCGCCATCGCAGTAGCACCGTTACGGGCCGACTTGGGTTGGGTGACAAACCATTATGGCAGTTTAAATAGCTGTAAATGGTTGGTACCTGAGGTGCATAACCCCAACCGCCCATCCGGTGGGTCGAACGATAAACCCACCTGCAGATGTGGACGGAGCACCAAACTCGAATTCATATTGTGGAGCAGCTTTCCGGTCTCTTGGTGGGCTACTTATATGGAGGAAACATTCGAGTTATTGAGGGACACTCCTTGTCGCGATATCGTGAAATCGGAAGCAGAAAAGACGATACAGAAGGTCAGAGGGGCAGGCTGTAATGCTTGCTCCGCCAGGGTCAAGGAGAACATGGAAGAGTTCAGCAACTTACTCGCCCTCAACGTTGAGAAGGCAACTGCTTCGGTACGTATCTCTGTATAGGCCTAGCAAAACTTCTAAAAAACTTCGTTGGCAGATTGAACTAGAGATGCCCTTCTGACCGTGACTTGTCACTAAGTAGGATATACATGTATTACGTTTCTGAATTTGTTCAGTTTGGAGGGAAATCTAAACACAAGTGACTGCATATCTTCATAAGTACAAACAGCGATGTCGATGTCAGGGTCAGGGCGCACGTAGTGCGCAAAACAAGAAGTTACATGGGATTCAAGAAGAGTCATTAAGGAGATGAGCAGTAAACCGTCAAGTTATTCATCGTCACTCTGGTCGCCCAAAAAGGCCAGAATGCTTGCGCCTGCAGTTTTCTAAGGAACACCGTGATCCCGAAACCAAGAACATAGGAAATGAGTCACGAACCTTCCTCTTGACAGGTGGACCCTCGTCCTCGTCGTCACTTCCTGATCCTGATTGTTCATCCTCCGATACCCCCTTTTCGTTCCCCATCTCTCGCCGGCGGTTCGCCTCTGCGAAATCTTGCACATCCTCTATTACACAAGACCATGAGCTCACATTTCAAATCGAGTCGTTCCAAGTACGTACTAAGTTCCTGTGCGAATTCTCTCTGTGCTTTGATGGCCTTTGCTTTCTCCAGAGTGAGACGACCAGTCATCCCCAAGTCCTTGAGGATTTCTTTCAGTCGTTTAATTTGCCCTGACGGCGTGTCCAAATCAGCGAATTCTTTTTTCCACATCTTGCGTACGCCACAAGCAACCACTATAGCCTGAGCAGAAATCAAACCGCGTTTGCATATGTTAGATAAAAGAAGAGACACTCCTACCTTGAGTTTGGAGACAGTCTCATCATCCTTAGATGACCCTCCTGTATTGCTTTTCCGCGCCTTCTTACGTTCTGTCGGGGCTTTCTTGCTCGAATCCTGTATCTTGTCAGAAGCCGCATAGAACACCACTAGGAACGCCAAAAACCTTGTCCTGTTTCTTCCTTCTTTTCTTCGGGGGTTCATCGATAACCGCAGACACATCAGAGTCGTTCTCCTAGTTGCCTGTTAATTGTCCGAAACCAAAGTTATGAAGACGGAGCGTACGGGTTCACTGCGGGGACGAGCATGTTTCAGAACCTTGGATTCCTGAGGCTTTGAGGTAGAAGAACTTGCTCCACGCTCGAATTCGTCGTCCACCTCATGTTTCGCATTTCGCTTGGTGGATGACTGGTGAAAAAGAATGATTCACACCGAACACACAAGCGAAACAAACATGTTTAACCTTGGGTTTGGATAGAGACTTCTCCTTTGAAGGCGATTTCTTAGGTGACAGCATTTCTTTCTTTTGAGACGTCACAACAGGTTCGGACGGGCGCTTGTAATCGGCCTCATCGCCAGAAGACTCGACAGTAGACTGGATGTAGTAAATAAGGAAGACAGGTCGCAAGAGAACGGAGCTTCAACTCACAGCTGATTTATGTTCCTTTACAGCGGTCCCGCTGGTCGACTTCTTAGATTTTGACGCCTTTTGGGAGCGCTGTGTGCTTTGAGTGATGTAGGCATTTTGAAGAAATTGCCCATACTTTAGACGCGGAGGGCTTGGCTTCGTCCTCGTCCTCACTCTGCAGTTCTGATGCAGCTTTATTTTTTGAAGCCTTAACCCGTTTTTTCCTAGCTGGAACTTCGTCTTCAGATGTGTCGGACGCTTCAGAGTCCACTACAGCCTAGAGGTAACAGAAGGGAGTTCGTGTGGCTGGACATAAAGGTATGCCACATGAGCTCACAGAGGACTTGGGCACCTGCTTTCCCTTCTTGCTCTTTCCGGGCGATGCCTTGGGCGAGGCACCTTTGCGGGGTTTGACAAGTTCTTTATCAGTTTTTACCTTGCGTATCTTTGAGGGTTTGGGCTGAGTTTCTTCCTCATCTGCCTCATTCGGCGGCGTTGGAACATTGTCCTTCAGAAAGACAGCGTTAGAATTAGGGGAGCAGGTCAACGCCCGGTTGTGAACTTTGCAATACCAGATAGTCGACGACCGTTTTCTTGATAGACGTCTTGTACTCTTTTGCGTCTAAAGACCCAGGTGAGAGCTCCAGCCTTGTCTCCAGCCTCTCTCGAACAATGCGTACAGTGAGCTTGCTGCAATGGGCATGAGTTGCAACAAATTTCCGGGACACGGGACCAAAGTTTAAGGTATAACATACCTCAATTGCCCCTCGGCACGAGCTTCTTCCAGTAACTCCGTCGTGGCTTGCTGCAGCCTATCAATACTAGGTACGACCATTAGTATGTAATATGATTTTCGGCTCGCACTGGGCAGGAAGAGTGATGCTTTGCGGGTGAATGAATTGATTGTTCGTTGGCACGTCGCGACATATCACGAATCACGTGGTGCCCACACGTGCGCGCAGACTGATCCGCGTTACTGCAAGAGACTGCAAGTACTGTGGTGATCCGGGGTATAGCGCATGATCATTAATTGATCGGGCAAGTCTGGAATCTACATACGCATAAAAAGTCAAGACAGAGAAAAGTCGTGTTCACAGTATGCGGACGCCTGAATATATATCTCAACAACCTATAGTTTTGCTTTAGCCGACACTAGCGAAGCGCCGTGCTGCAGTATCTTCACTGCATCTGACACCATCTCATCCACAATCTGCTGAGCAGGCAGCACCTCGTTGATGAGTGCTGCAACTCTTCCTATCAAGAATGTCCTAGCCTGCAACGACTTCTCTGGGTGTTGTTCAATGTCCCAAGCAGCAGGGATAATACCCTTGGATGTCAGTTCCTTGATCTCGGCCTGGCGATTGTTATTCCTGGAAGATATATTGAATCAACGAAGCTAAACAACGTCAAAGTGGAAACCTACCAGTCCTCTACGTAGGGCGTTCTCCTGACTCGGAGAGGTCGACCGGTAAAAATCAAAGTCGTGATGGCGTCCTCATATCCTGCGGAAATGAGTGCATCCTTGTGCGCCTTGGGTGCATTTGCTTCCGTTGCTGCAACGAACCTGGTGCCTACCCAGACCCCTTGTGCTCCCCACGCCAAATTTGCGGCGAGTCCGCGCCCATCGTACACAGCACCAGCACCGATGACGTACACCGGCTTCTTTGTCAGCGGAGAGACATGTCCGCGACATGCATCAACGACCGCGGGAATAAGAACCGACGCGGGGACGTCGCCTGTGTGACCGCCACCCTCCCCGGCCTGCGCGCAGATTAGATCAACTCCCATGGCGAGCGCTTTCGGGACATGTTTGGGATGTCCGACCATCTAAGGCATTTCAGGTGAGCTCGCCTCCCTGATAATTTTAAGAAGAAACTCACGTTCATGACGGGTATACCAGCGGAATGCAACTTATCGACTATATGCTGTGGCGGCACACCAACAGCACAGACGAAAAGCGACGCTTTCTCCTCAATGATGATATCAACGAGCTCGTTCAGTTTCCCATTCTGGTAATCATACTGTAAAAGATTGAGCGCGGGGAGACTGAAAGGTAGCACTACGCTTACGTTTGTTTTCCTTGCATTCCCGCCGACCTGGGGGATGAGTAGGTCAACTCCAAATGGACTGTTTGGATCCTTCAAGTCCTTCTTGATGGCTTGAATCTGACGCGATTATGTTTAAATAATCTGTGAACCCAACTCTGGCTGCGATACGCACCTGCTGCCTGAGGACCTTGGGGGTATAACCGTGCCCACCAATGACGCCTAGTCCACCTGCATTCGTTACCGCGGCTGCCAGTTCCGGACCAGCTGCGACATTCATGCCTACAAAGCCATGAGAATCTCATTAGGATAACACTAGAACTGAAATACGTACCTGCCAGCAATATGGGATGTTTGATCCCAAAAAGCTCGGTGATTGGTGTAGAGATGATAGCAGACATCGTTTGAGATGGTGGAGGAGAGAGATGATGGACTTCGGAGGGAAGGAACGTGAAACTTATTTGAATCAATAACAAGGGCCTCCAGGCTCCGGTAAGCACCCCGGGCTATGCAATATAGTAATCATGTGCATGTAGTATATATCGGAAATGTAATGTCTCCGGTTATGTATTAGTAGCCGAGTCGACCGTACCAGTGTGAAACCTTGGTGACCACTGCACCCTTACGCACACGACTTCGGGGCGAGCATTAAATGCGGCCCAGCAGCGGAAATCATGCGCCATGTACAAGTCAGCATCTGAATTTATCCTAGTAGGTATATGACAGCAGGGCTAGAAGGGTGTAAAATATGCAAAGTGTGAATGAGTGTGTGTGATATACATGAGATGGCTGTCCATGTCAGTGAATAGGGCCCCCTGGACAGTCATACGACGCAACGAACGGAGAAATCTAGATCAGGGAGGCGGGTTTTCGGTGTCAGGTGGAGGGGACTTGGTACCAGACTGCATCAAACGACGAAGGCGAGCCAGCTCACTCGCCAAAGTTCTGTTTGAACAAAATTCGTAAGCGCAAGATGTGAGGCAGAAAATAAACACTGCATACCTCGCCGTTTCAACTGCCTCGTCACTTTGATGAGATTGAAGTTCAACTTGCGCCTTCAGTTTAATGATCTCCTCGCGGAACTCTTCTTCAACCTCTTTCCTGATTTTCTGGTCCTCATTTTTGAGGTCCTTCACGAAAGCTTGCTGACGCTGCGCCTCCTTCATCTCATCTGCGAGAAGTTTATACTTCTTGCCAATAGATTCGGCTTCTTTTTTCAGCTTGTCCTCGCGCTTCCGCATCTCTTCACGAAGTTTATCAGTGTCATGCTTCCAACTCTCGGTCATACTTTTGATGCTATCGCGCAAGGTAATATACTCGCGTTCAGCCTTCTGAGAAAGCGCCGTTGATTCAGCAAGAGCAGATTCCATCTCGCGGAGGGACTTTTTGGAGGTCGCAGTCTCCGTTTTCAGTGAAGATTTCAAGGTTGCTGCCTCGGCTTCAGCTTTGCGGGCTCGCTCAAGAACCTACAATGGGTCAGTAGAAGAAAAAATAAGACAAGGCAGACTGACCTCTTGCAGCAACCTCTCCTTTCTAGCCACAACATTGTTAAGACCTTCGTTTTCCAGTCTGAGGCGTTCTCGACCTTCTTTCAAATCTTCAGTCTGTCGTGTCAACTGTGCAACAGTCCGTTGTGACAGCCGAAGTTGAGACTTGGTGTTTTCCAAGGCGTTGCGAGCATTTATAACACCGGCCTGAAGATCTGCCAATACTTTGGTCGTCCCTCCAGGCGTAAGAGAGATACGTCTATTGGGAGATGATGGGGCTTGCAGCGAAGAAGTGGAGGCATTTAAAATGTGTGAGTTATTGCCAGCATGAGGGTCAATCGGTAAAATTGCTGGAGGGGAGGTACGAGCTGGAGAGAGACCATCGTCGGCTAACGCACGGGCATTCCCTAATAGCATTGAGTCACCAACGTCCACAATGAGGGAAATCCTGGTCGCAGGGGAGGGAAAGAAAGACTGACCTACAGAAGCCACAGGTATCCCTATCAACGAAAAAATGTTAGTACAAAGACTACAAAGACGCGAGTAACATACGACTCAGTGTGCGCGTCGGACTAGACATCCGCTTGGTGTTCAGTGCGTGACTGGGACTGCCGCCGAAATCCATGGGGATACCTTCGCGGATTCCATCACGTTTTAGGATTGGTGTTGCACTTTCTCTCCTCGGGAGCGGAAGATTTGACTCGCGACCAGCGAGGCCTTGCAAAACATCAAAACTGGAACGACGTTGCATTTTTGGAGTTGAAAAGCTCGTGGTATATGACACAGGACAAGGACTTATATCCAAAACATCCTCTGACGAGGGATGTGGAGAATGAGAGGGTGCCATAAAGCCAGGTGGTAACGGACGTGATCCGCGTAAGATGACCTTATTTTCTAAGCTGTGTAACTGTGCCTGTTGATGTCGAATAGAATGCTTCAAGGTCGACATCTGATTACGAACAGCCACTATGGAAATAGAACGAACCAAGATGCTTGAATGAAGTCTGAATTGACGGGTGAAGGAGTAATACCTGTATCGTTTTGTGTTATTGACGGGCTCGAAGCGCGTGCAGAACGCACGGAGCCACGTGAAGAAGACCTCGAGAGGGGACGAGAAGGAGAGTGTAGAGAAGTAGACATGCACAGACAATATGGATATCAAAATGATCGTGATGGAGCCCTTGTCCACCAAAAAGGACCAAAATTATAGTTGTTTCAGTGATTTAAAGCGCTGCTCGTCAAACAGCAGGTCAAGGAAGTCCCCGTTGATGTTCTCGAGAAGCAGCCAGAGCTGTTGTAGCCTCGGTTGAGTTAGCGCTGCCCGAGATTGGAGGGAAGTCCTTATTTATCCATGTTGTGATGCGCCAAGCAAGACGCGGTCATGTGACTGTGGACGCGTTTGTATGTCTACTTGAAGCAGCTTGTTTGACAATTCTCTCTTAATCTAAGCCTCGTCCGTACTACTACTAATCTCTGACAAACTGCTCTAACATGGCTGAATGTGGAATCTGCTTGGAGGATATCAAGAAGCCTGTCTGCATTCCATGTGGTCAGCCTTGCTCGGACTACTGCATGTGATGACCTGTTCACTCTATCTAGGACACGTTCACTGTGAAAAGTGCCTACGCGCCCATATAAATTCCGGAAATGATGCTTTGAAATCTTCATGCCCATCGTGTCGAAGCGTATTTCATATTGGTATGTCTCACGGTGCCTGCGGAATCCTTTGCTCAGACTATCGATCATGCAGCAATGCCTGATCTATCTTTTGTTCCCAAAAAATACCACGACTTCATGGCTCCCAGCGTGCGCAAGTTATACTTAGACATTACTTCTCCTGCTCCGTTGATTGCGGAAATCGAGCAACTCAAAACACGCGTCGCTGCGTTGAGTAGGGATCGAGATGCTCTAATGGAGAGATGTGAGGCACACATGGCAGCCTCTCGCCAGTATGCTGCAAATGAGAAAGATGCTCGCTTGGAAGCCCAGGCTGCTCGGGACGCCACCAACCGGCTGCGGATGAAGTATGATGCTTTGGAGGCAGAATTCCTGGACCAGTACGTCTTCTACGAATGAACTTGTCATCCTGTCGTTAACTCCCACTAGTTCAACCCTGTCCCAAGCATCTCCCGATGGCCGAAAACGCAAGGGCAGGGAAAGCGTCGAAAGCTCGCGTCTTTCCTTCCATGAAGCACAACATCCTTCCTTTGTCTTCAAGTCAGACGTGAAGCTTGAAGAGCTCCCCGATGAGATTGATTTTGTGCCTTCACGCCTTAAGCGTGCACTTCCAAGGTCAAGTGTGGCTTCATCCTCGCAGCTCGAACAACCTCACGATCCGCCTCCGCGGTTTATAAAGCGTCAGCGGCGCGCAAGACATTCAGACATGGGCCCGGGATCGCACACTCAGATGCCTGAACCGTGCGAAGGTTGTGAGGCGTGTCACGACCTCTACAGTCACTAATATCACCCAGACAGGACGACATATATCCTCTTACTTCTCTGTCCACAGTAGATGCTGGTGCACATGTATTGATATCTTTTTTGCAATTATAATATTTGCTGATTGGGCTATCCCACACATCACACTTATTATTGGTTGGACTGCCATAGAGCCCAATACTACCAGATCACAGTATCGACTATTTAGTGAGTGATCAATGCAAACTAATGCATGAAGCTTCTAACACACATGCTTCAAGCTTGAAGTGGCGTTGATAAGAAGTCTGCTACCGTGCGTGAACCGAATATCAAGATCAGCTTTATATGTGAAGATAAGTAAAGTGCATCCGAAAAGTTCACTCACGCAATTGACTGAATCCACGGATTCGGAGATCATAGTATCCATTCTTAAGCTTCACCCCTGAGAAAGCTAAATACTTCTTGACGATCTTCTTTTTTTGTCCATCGAGAGACTTACTCGATGTAGGACAATACATACTTGTCTGTGGGGCCCCTTCACTGGCCCTGAACTGTCGCCACGTCGCAAATGCCTCGGTGCGAAGCGTATCCTCACTAGTCCGCCGTTCCTGCCGCCGTTTTAGACGGCAAGTACATCGACGATGAGATGCACTTCAATAAGTATGTATACCCGCGGTATCCGTTATAATCAAGTTCTTGTCACGGGAGTAGCTCTTCGCTTGGTTCCTCGGCTTAGATCTTATCGATATCTTTCACATAGAGTTCTCTTAGGGCTAAGCGGAACAGGACCCCAGCCACCCCACCCTTCGCGTGCCATGTCCCAACTTCAAGCACTTTGTCGTGACTGGAGACCCGTGGCATGCAGTAGCGTCCGGACGGTCGCAGAGACTCGACCCTCATGATTCATACCCTCTATCCTGGGATGGTCGACGTGACTACGAGAAGCTAATTGAGATCGTCGCCCAACTGGGCGCGACACGCAGGGTAACGTACTTCCTATCGTCACGGTGGCGGTACCATGATGCGGTTTTCATTGTCAATGCGAATAGCGATCCGTATGGCACTTCCTCAAACACTCGATGACGATGATCTGCAGCCTTCTGCAGCTTCTCATGCATTCATACCAATATATGTGGTAAACGATGTGGCAAGTTGCTCGCGGTTCTCGCGATTTGAACCAGATTGAACACACATATGTATATATATAAGAACATGCCGATTCTACAAATCAAATAGTTGAACTTGTGCCACGTACAGGTGTTTTGATTCTTTGAGGGTTGCAGGGAGTCAGCTGGACTACGTCTACGTCCAAATAGCCGGGGTCCCTGCTCCTCGGATCAGCCCGCTGGGACAGTTCTGGTCACCATCGGACAACTTGACAAGTCGACCAAGACTTGTGACAGAAATAATGGACCCGATGGTGCGATTTATGGGTGCAGAACCTGGTGGAAGAGTTGAGATGCGGCCACTGCGATTTCTCCATGCCATTTTTGACGTATCGGTCTCGACGTTGACAATATTAACGCTGGAGGGGGGAAAGGAGTATATAGTATACGCCGGGTATAGGTCTTTTACAACCTTGCCAAGCGTTCTGCATAGGTTATGTCGCTAACGAATTGCTATAGCTATATGTAAGCGGCTACTTGATTTAATTCGGAGTAGTGCGCACTGCGCCCATCGCGCAGTTCCGATAAGATCCGTTTTTAACTGGGTAAAGGACAACATATCCTTCAGATTCGCGGGAAGTCTAAAATTACAAACAATGAGAAGGCCTTTCTTGCACACTATAAGAATATGAGCTGGAGCTGCAATGCGTTTCTTGCTGTGCCAAGAAGGGAGAAATAAAAGGATACACTCCGACGTGATAAACATAGCCATGATGAGAATGAAGTAATGAAGGCCTCAAGGCAGGGTCCTTGGAAGCGAGCCAGGCCCCCCTATGGGTCTGAGGCGAATTGGGTCATACAGGAACGCAAACCTGTTGCCAAATCCACTAATTCACTCTTCTGCTCGCATCCAATTATGTATAAGATTCCGAATTGCCTTCTCGTCATGTTTCCCTTGCCTTGTTAACTCGCCCTCACAATGCCCAGCGAAGCCAAAGCGCCATTCAACAATGCAAAGGCAGACATTGTCCTGCTTTCTTCTGACAACGTCAACTTCCGTGTCTTCCGCTGTATTCTCGCACTTGCCTCCCCATTCTTCGAGGCCATGTTCGACCTTCCCCAACCACAAAGAAACCACTCTGCCGATGAGACGTTCGACGGTCTAGACATGATTCAGGTATCGGAGAACAGCAGGACGCTCGACATGCTGTTGAGATTCTGTTATCCGGCAGCCGTAAAAGATCCCAGTTTAAAGGACACGAATGATGTGGAGAAAGTCTTAGAGGCAGCAATGAAATACGGAATGGAAGAAGTTGAAGAGAGGGTGAGGAAAGCCATGGTTGCCCCGTCCCTTCTAGAGAGAAATTGCGTGCGCATCTTCGCGATTGCGTGCCGATATGGTCTCGAACCGGAAGCCGAGACTGCAGCAAGATATTCGCTTCATCATCCAGCCCCAACACAGGATACTTTTGCCACAGCACTCCTTCCTAATCACATCAGTCAGGGTCTTGTCACATATCGCTCGAAATGCAGCCATGCCGCTAGAACGCTTTGCGACAATCTGGACTGGCTGAAGCAATCACAGACGCACAGCTTCTACGAGTGGTGGACAAACTGTTGTCCATGTGACTCGAAAGCAGACGTCAGGTACCTGACGCATGGCACTTATCCGCGGGATTGGTGGGCAGATTACATGGACGAGACATCCGTTGCCTTGGAAGAGTTTCCATGTGGCGCAGCATTGACGAAAAACTTGGCAAAAGCTGTCGAGAGGGCAAACAGTTGTCCCTCATGTCGACGGCGTGCGCATAGCCAGATGGTTCAGTTCACCGGGACTTTTGCGCGGGAATTGGACAAAGTGATTGCCGAGGTGCGTGGATGGCTAAATTGCTATTGTCGTAATCTAAGTTCTCTTCGCAGATTCCTCTAGGTATTGCCATTTGATGGAGAAACCACCTGTGCTGTGCACTTGCGCATCAAAAATCAGTGGGGGACCGCTAGGTTCAGCTGTTTCGTTCCATCACCGTCACAGCTGAACCAGCTTGAAGTAGAATCACCCTGTTATCAAGGACTTACTAGTAGAGCCAGGCACATCTGCTGGCCGGATAGCGCATAAATACTTCTCGTAAGTTAACATAAATCTATAGAGAACTTTCCATATAATGACAGTCAAAAAACAACTACTTACTTTTGGTATCGCACATCATGATCATCGTATGCCAATATAAACACATCCACGCTTTCCCAAGAAAAGCGACCCATATGCAACAGCATCGATCCTATCTGGAAGGAAGTTCATGGGCATTGACTGAATGGGCGGTGAGAGATCAGGTGTTTGTTGAGAGTTAAGTTCGAGAGTAAGTTCGATTTAAGTTTAGACCATCCCAAGCAATCCCAAAGGGGAACTTGTTCGAATTCCCGTCCGTATCAGTGTTGTCTCAGACTCCTTCCACACACATTCCAGTGATTCATGCTGGAAATGCTTATCGCAGGAGTTACTGCAGGAAAGTTGTAATCTAGCTCTCACCAGAACCCTCCCACAATGGACACAACTTTGGGCAAGTACGCCAGCATCGAAGATGAACCACGGCAGATGCCAGTCGACGCCGGAGCCCCCTTTGACAGAGGGGATATCATATTACGCAGTGCGGACAATGTTGATTTCCACTTTCACAAGCTGTTGCTGTCCCTAGCATCATCTTTCTTTTCGAATATGTTCTCCTTACCTCAGCCAGGCCCTCTCGATGATGCTGCAGACCTAACAAGGCATGGTCTCCCCATTATACCAGTGACGGAGACAAGCGTCATTTTGCGGAAGCTGCTGAGCTTTTGTTCCCCCGTCTACGACACAGACGTACCCGCTCTCGAAAACTTAGACATTGTCATGTCCGTCCTCGATGCCGCCGATAAATACGACATGAAACGAGTCGGTATATTCATCGTTAAAATGATAACGGCTCCTAGGTTTCTAGAGAAAGAGCCTATGCGAGTCTTTGCTATCGGATGTCGCTACCGTTCGGAGGCAGAGACTCTCATGGCGGCGAGATATATGCTGCGGTTTGCGGTGTGGGAGCCTGCATATGTCTCTGAATTAGACTTCATCTCTGGTTCGGACTTTCAGCGGTTGGTCAAGTACCACGCAAGTTGCGGTCAAGCTATGACCCAACTTACCCGTCTTTGGCCAACGTATCCCCTACCATTGCTTGACTGCAAGTTCTGTCGCAAGAAGGGTGTTTCTCGCTTGTCCCTCAAAGAATACCAAGATAGTGTTATAGAAGCGCTCCGCATTCGACCATCTGTGGAAAGCCTCCTTAATCCTGAATGGATTGACAGTATGGTGAAGAGGGCTGGAAGCTGTATTGGCTGTAGAGAGAGAGCGCCGAGGAAGTTTGCTGAATACGCAAAAGAGCTGGCTTTCCCGGTGATGGAAATCATCCTAGAGGTGAGTTCTCTCGCAATTAACTGACTGACTATGATTTACCTGCTCTTAGATTCGCCTGGATATTGATTTTCGCTAATGATATTTATCTCGCCGTGTACTGGGGTCAGAAAACAGTTTATGTATGTCACACTTGCTTAACTGTATTGTAATGGGCAGGTACCCTTTGTAGATTTCCCTTGCATGCAGTATGATTTGGGGCACACCCCGGACCGAAGGGATTGCTATATTCTCAAGACACATCGATTTGCAACCGTGAGCCAAAGTCTTCACCTGTCTTGTTTCGTCATTTAAGTCATGCACCTTCCCGAACTGTAGAATTCTAAATAGTACACGGTGATGCGCGGGGCGCAGCGCGCCCCAGGCGTGGTCCAGGTACCCACCGCCGAGTCCGAATCGGTTAGTGCGCCCCTGATAAGTTGCTTGACGACGCCCTTCATTCAGTAAAAATACACGCCATCCTTGTCACGCGCCCAACTGTCGTTGCGGCAGAATTAACCATGGAACTACTGCAGCTGCTCTCGCACTGCATCGATAACGATGGGGATGTTATACTGCGACCCTCCGAGGACTGATAACGTCCAATTTTGTACCCCTGGGTGTTCTTGTCACATGCAAGTCCTCGATATCAGGGATAGTTTCAACATTGTCCCGGGAAAATCTTGGTGTGGCGCACTTATTCCGAAACTAGGATGGTCTACCCAAGGTATCATAAATACATAAGACTGTTGTGAGAACGAAACGGTAAGTTGCTCTCCGTACAAAGTGAGTCCCAGATTGCCATTTCTCAATTCCACGTGTGCATTGACAACCAAACTTTGAAAATAGCGCTGAAATTTCTGTCTTCTCTCTGTCATAACTATCATGTGTTTGGATGCTGCCTGTCTTTCCCCTGCATCAAGATAATCACTGTTGCATTATTTAAGAGGTTTTCTGTGCCGGACAAAAAGACAACGTGAGCATCTCGTTAGCTTCACAATAGTTAACATCAATGGGGGACATTGAAACAGCCGCGAGTTGAGTCAAATGACCTTCTATCTAAGTTCTGGTGTTGTGGCCAAATGAATGTCTCGTCATAAATCGCCCAATAATTTCACCAGGGCGTCTGCGGAGACAATATAACAAGAAGTCGAAGCACGAACGGGAATGAAAACGACGTGTTGTTCGTTTCAGCCGTGTTCGAATAAACCCTATATCTGCTGTAGGTTGGTTCAGATCTCAAAGCCAAAGTAAGAAGAGAACGGCGTCGAGCCGCAGCTCCTTGTTAAAATTGGTTGTGCAGAATGAAAAATTTCACTCGCCCGATCGTATAAGTCCCAGTGTTGTTGGCAGATTAACATTGGGTTGTCCCTGGCAGACGGCAGAATTCAGGAGCAGGAGGGTGCATAGTGTGGCGAAACTCCTTCCGAGACTCGCAGAGAAATAACCTAGAATATAGTATATGGTTCAGTTGCAGTCGAGGTCAAGTATCCTCCTGTAGGTTCTCGCATTAGAGAACACGATAGACATATGAGTATGAAGAGCCAATAAGTACTCCTACATCGAAAGACGACTCGGATAGTCGTTCCTCCTGTACTAGTAGCTGGCACTTACGAAAGCGTATACTGACCACTGAGTGATCCTCAAGCTCCTTCCTACCTCCATTTCGAATTTGACGCCTTCGGAATCAGAGATGAGAAGGAGCATACCCAATCCCCCGCCAGGAAATTGAGTACGCTCCTTCTCATCTCTGCATCTGCTCAGTGCTCACAAGAAAGTTTACGAACGTTCTCATTGAAATGTATTTGGCCGTGTAGTGGTCAGCACGTGATGAAACACGGTCACGTGGTCTGTAGCCACCCTAAATCGAGCGTCGTGATCTGCAACAACATCAACCTCGGTAAGTCGTTATCGTGTGCATCAAAATTAACGAAAATCTGAGCACCAAAAGGACTCTGAAGATGGCGACGCTTGAGACACCGTCTCGAATATGGCGCAGAATTCAAGCTGCAGACGAAGGAGAGCCACCTTCTCTTCCGTCCTTACCTGCCTTCGATTACTCTGCTGCACAAGACTCAGACTCGGACCAACATTCAACTGACGATGACTTTAATATATTGCCTGTGCACTCCACACCCGCCGCTGTCTCAGCGCACACGGCGACCTCAACCATAAAGCTACAATCAAGTACTTCCAGCACAGCACGCTTTGCAAGCTCTCTCGCATCACGCTCTGTTTCAGCAAAATCGTCCTCTGCCTCTAGAACATATCCATATCCTCGGAGCCCTGTACAAAGCTTCGAAGCGAGCGCCATAACCTCCCTTCCCCATGAGAGCGACGAGAATACAGAGCCAGAAGACTCGCCTCTCACACGGAGTAGCCGCAGTGTTCCAGAGTCACATTTGCCGCCAGAAGAGAATGAGGTCGATGACATGTCTTTGGAGGACGCACTACAGTCCGTCAGCCGCTCCAGCTCCCCGTTTCTTCCCGATATCCCTCCGGAAGGTCCTACGCCGAGGAAGAAATACGACTACTCAATTTCATTACGTACTGAAGCTCAGGTGAATGCTTTGCTGCTTACTTCTCATTTTAGTTGAGCTCAACGTATCCCAGCGTTCGCCATTCGACAAATTCCGTAATGTTGCGCTACGCAAACCGCTCGCGCGGACGAGAACACCGTCCCTTTCCCGGACGACGCCCTCTCCTGTCTCATCACCTCCAAACTCCACACCTCGCAGCAATAGATCCATTGCACTACCTATAGAAACACCGTCTCCCACTCCTGGTGTTTACGTTCCCTTACCTCGATCGAGAACAGCCTCTCCGGCTATCATGTCACTCCCAAGCGTCGTGATACAGCCTCCAGAGGATGAGAGCAATGATGAACAAGAGCTTTATCCAGACCATTCCCAGGATTTTCCATTGGAAAGTGACCCTGAACCTGGGCGGGAGGACTCTGCCACCCAATCGGACCGCGAGCCAACATTCTCATCCGCATCGTCTGATCCAAGCAATCAATTCAACAACGACCGAACCATAGGCGCATCTTCAACAGCATTTCCATCACCCGCTAGATCAGTATTGGATTTCACACCCGTCCCGCGGCTTCGCACGCAGTTCAACGTCCCACCCGCATACAATGAACCAAGTACAGACGCAGGCGAAGAGCCCCTCACACCTCATGCCCGCAGGCGGTCGTTTCTTCTTTCAGTGATCAATTCCACCGCCCGGCCCCGTATAAAGTTCACCCCTCACCCCCACAATCGGCTCGGTGCTCTCCCTGTATCCCAGAGCTCAAGCGGGAGCAGTGAAAGCGCATCCGGTGTCGGCGCAACGCCCGCCGGTCCCATGCGCACCGCATTTGCTGGTATCACTCCTCGGCCTGGGCGGGGACGGGGACGCATGTCGCACCCTCTTGCGCAGGCTCATCTTCCAGATAGCGCATCCTCTGCAGGTGACAGTGAACATCTTGCCTCCCCCTCTGACGTTGATTTCCGCGGTGCATCGCCCGCTTTCAACATCTCCACTGCGTCCTCACATGATCTCACCACACACCCACGTGCAAACACCTCGTATGACCCTGCGTTGGGCACAGGTCAGCGCGGTGTGGCGCGTTTCGACGCGCCGAAGTTGAACCACTACCTGCATACACTGAACTCGAAGCTGCAGGAAGAGAACAAGACACTCGTTGACCGGTTGAGGAAGTACGAGGAGGTGAAGGACGCTGAGCAGCGACGGCTCAGTTTGGAGAGTATGGGATCTGAAAAGGGTCGAAGGGTCAGTTCGGGGAGTGCGCTGGGCGATGTGGAGGAGGCGGGGGAAGAAGGGTGGGCAGAGGAGAAAAGAGATTTGGAGGAATTTATCGAGAACCTGGAGGCTCAGCTCGATAAGCTGGCAGGGGAGAAGGAGAGCGTGGACCAGGAGCTTGAGACTGAACGGCATGAGCGTGCACGGGACAAGGAACGTTGGCGGGAGCGCATGCACGAGGTCGAGAGTGGCGTTGCAGAGATCGTGAGCGACTTAGAGACGAAGATCGTGGAGAGCGAGCAGGCCCTGGAAGAAAGGACCAAGGAGGCGGAGCGCATTCGCGAACGACTTCAAAGTGAGCGCGACCTTGCACTGGAGAGGGCTGGACAGGCTGAGACGGCAATGGAGAACGGGAAGGAGCTTGGAGGCGCACTGAAGGAGGCCAACAACCGGATCAGCGTCCTCACAGTTGACCTCCAGAATGCGACCGCGCAGATCAAGGATATGGAGGATGAGATTATCTCGAGCGACAGGCGTGTTGACGAGCTCGAGAAGGAACTCAAGAAGGAGCGGCTCTCCGCCAAGCTGGCTAACGATGATCTCCACGACCAGTTGAGCGAGATAGGGGCCGAGATCATGCGCTCTAGTGCCCGGACATCTGAACTCGAGAAGGACGTGAAAGCTCAAGAAGCTGCCGCAAGCCGTCTCCAGCATGAGCTGGAAGCAAAGACAGATGAGCTCACGGAGGCACAGCAGCTTCTTGCACGTTCCGACAAGGATACCAACGAGGAAGTTCGCGAGCTGAAGACCTATACTGCCGAGCTCGAAGAGGCTGTCACAGCTGCGACTGAACGCATCCAAGACCTCGAAGATGAGCTCGCCTCCGCTCAAGACAGCTTTAACCAGTTGGAGGCCGAAGTACAAGAGGCTAACGATCGTGTCGAAGCGCTGGAAAAAGAAGCCGAAAGGTCATCGCTGCTGGTCAACCAAATGGAAGACGCTCTTGACGCTGCCGAGCAGAAGATGAGCACCGACCAAGAAGCCATCGCAGATCTCAAGGCCAAGATTTCCACCCTCGAACGAGAAAGAGAACGCGAGAGGGAGATGTCTCGGCTGCTGAAAGGCCAACATTCTGACGAGAGCAATGCTGAATTAGAGAGTGTACTCGAAGCAGAGCTGGAAGATGCGCACAAAGAGATTGCAAGGCTCAATGAGCTCCTTCAGCATTCTCCTGCGCGGAAAGCTATCGAGGCTGCGAAGGATCAGAGGATCGAGACCCTGGAGAATGATAAAGAGCAGCTCCAGGCACGCATCAAGGCCCTCCGATCGACCAGCTTCGAGACGACAACTCCGAACAAGGTGGTCAACCTCAGCGGGATCTCGCCCATTCATCGACATGTGTTATCGATGTCTGTTAGGGCTCCGAAGACACCCGGAGGCCCCTTGAAAGATGTAAGCTGGTATCATAATGTCCGAAGGTTACTTTCTAAATGGAAACTCGATAGCTTTCCTGGTTGAACAATACCACTGGCGATCCCTCAGTGTCCCCGTTATTAACCGAAATCGCTCGTCTTCAAGGCGAACTCGACCTTGCCAACGACAATATCGATCAGAAGCTCGATGAGCTGGAAGATGCTGGGCTGGGAGTCGTGTCCCTCACGAGAGACCTCGAGCTTGCCCGATCCAAGATTTCTCAACTTGACAACGAGATGGGAAGGTTACAGAGACGCGAGGAGCGTCGGCTTCACCGACTCCAAAGGCTCCGTTGTCAGAAATGTATGGTAAAGGTGGACACATCAACATTGCAACGATTTTACGACGCCGATGAAAGGTGTGATTTATAGCGCGTTCATGGTGTATTACCCTGACACAAGATTTCTCAGTTCTTTGGATGTGTCGTATAGTGGCCTCCCCTCCAACCCACCGACACCTCCGACGAAGACCAGCGAAGCTCTTAAATTAGACCTTCAGGCAGTAAACAAGGAACTTGACACGATGAAACAGCGATGGGAGGAAGAAAAACGTCATCTTCTGGGAGAAAAGGCGGTCCTCCAAGATGCTGCGAACAGGATGGACATGGAAGTACGAAGCGCCAAGGACGAAGCGAAAAGAGCCACTGAAGCTAATCGACGATCGAGAGCTGATACTCGGGAGGTCGAGAGGGCGAAGGCTGTTATTGCTGATCTCGAGGCTGAACTGCAGGCCGAGAGGACGCGTCTCAGACAGATGTCCACGGAGCAGAACCGCGTTCAGCGTGAGAAGAGTGATGTTGCTCGTCAACTACAAAGAACCGAATCAGTGCGTCTCTTGACTAACTTTAGACGCTTTTTAACCCAAAAATTATCAGGATATCGACGATGTTAAGAGACAGCTGCAGAAGGCCAAGCGCGAAAATCATGAGCTAGAAACCGAGTTGCGAAGTACGTACATTCCCATCTTCCTATCCTCGATCCTAACTGGAAAGTAAAGCCAATGCCACGATGGAGCAACAAGCTCGCCTCCTCGAAGGCAAAGTCAAAGAAAATGCAGAGACAATCGATCAGCTGCGGCAAGAGCGGTCTCTTCTTGCAAAGGACCACAGGGAACTTCAACGGCAGTTCACTGAAGTATCAGATGTGAGTGCCTCTTAATGTAACAATATAACATTGCGCCGACACACGAACAGCGAGTCAACAAGCTTCGAAATGACTATGCAAGGTCACAATCATCGCACAACAACCGCCGTCATCAACTCGACTCACATCTCGGTGAAATCGATGACCTGAGGCATGCGCTTTCCAATCAAGCCGACGAACTACAACGTAGCGAAGAGGAGAAAAACCGCATGGCAATAGAGAAGACCGATGTTGCACGTACCGTTGCAGCCCTTGAGTCCGACCTCAGACGCGTCAAGCGAGATGCCGAGGCGTTTGGACGTGATCTTAAAACTTTGCGAAAGGAGAAGGAGAAGGTGCAGGAGAAACACAGGGATGAGCTGACCAAGGCGGAGCGAGCCAAGAAGCAGGCCCAAACCCAGATACGTCTCCTGAATGAGCAGTTCGGCAGCCAGCAAGCGAAGTTAAAGACCGCCCAGGAGAAGCTCAAGAAGTATGCGTTTGCTACGTGGGTGATGTCATATTTGTGTGCTGCATCTTGGTGCTGAACAAGTTTTAGTGATGGCCACCAGCTTGTCGAGCTGAAAAAACAGCACAAGGAAGAGTGCAAGGGCCTTGTTGTCCAGATTCGGTACCTCAAGGCGAAGTTCACCCGCGAGTCTACCTTGCGAGATGATCTTGTGTACCAGAAACAGTACCTTCTTGTTCTCCTGTCAAACTTTGGGGCGAGGTAAGGGCATTTCATGGATCTTTATCATGCTAGAAGTTTATCTTGCTCGACAGTGAGAAGCGCATACTGGCTTGCATATCTCGGATAGGATATCCCAAGCCTAAAAACCCACCAGCGCTAGTGAAGAAGCCACGCTCAATAAAGAGCGTTGTACTGAGTGTCGTATTTATACGCCGTGTGAGGTAGGCGCCCGGTCGCATCCCAGTTTCTATCTTGATTCATGTCTTTCCAGGCAAGTCAGTAAAGCTTGGCGAGAAGCAAGTGCAAACAAACAAGCGATTTCTGATGCACTACAAGAAGTTCGTCGACGAAGAACCATTGCAACTACATCATAGCTTCCCCGCTCCGCGATGTCTTCCCCTCAAGCCAAACTGTTGTTATCAATATGTTGTATCATTATTTTGGTATCCTAAATCAAGTTCTTGTACGCCCTGCACCAGGCCTTGGCAGTGCAGGAAACCTAAATTGCACGTTATGAAGACGGAGGCCTCTTGCGCGTCTCCGAGACTATTCGCACGGCATCCTTGGAAAATACATAGGACAGCCCACTCCAGACCGTTGTTACAGCAACCAAAATTCTGAATATGTCAGGGGAAGAAGGGACACGAATATATGACTGGCTTACTGCATTTCGGGTACAAACAGGGTGTACTGCGCGGGCAGAATGGGTGTGACGGTTGTGGCACACATTAAAGCGAGTTGAGCAAAGGTGTTGTACTGCGAAAGAAAACTCAGCAGATCACAAAATAAGGTGCAAAAAATCCTACCTTGCTGATTGTGGTAGGCCGTACTTCAGCAGATGGTATAGAAAAGTCCCAATATCGAGCGAAGGTTTTCTGCAAAAATTGATGAGCCCATCCCTGGTAGAAATTCATCTGACACGTACTGGTGCCGGGAGCGAGGTATAACGAATGTAAAAAGCGGAAAGACTCAGCAACACATCACGCCCGATGATTATTGAGGCCAGCGAGACTAGGGATGGCGTCAACAGAATACAAATGAGCCTCTATTGAGGTTGCTTACCAGGAAGCAACCCCTTCATAGCCAACGTCACCGTGAGGGTGGTCATGAGAGTTTTGTCCGCAGCAGGGTCAAGAATGGTCCCGAGAACTGAATGCATGCTGAAGCGTCTTGCCAGGTAGCCATCGGCCTTTACTCAAAGCTCAACTTGTGATCAAACTAACCATTCGTTGGGTACCCACTAAGTCAGACAACCCGGCATAGACCAGTAATCCAGTCGCGAGGAAGAAATCGTCATGTAGTATGGACCAACCGAGTACGGGACACGAAAGTATCCGGGAGACAGTCAACAGATTTGGTATGGTGTATATATTTTCGCGCAAAGGCGACACTGCAGCAGAGCCTTTGGTGTCGTCGGCCTTCCTGTCAGAGTACCTGACACAAGAGGTAGAGAGGGTTCTAGTGATTGCGGTAAAGACATTGACGCGTCTGGCTTTGAGCTGGAACGGATTATACAGTGAAGGTTGAAAAATTGGACGACATGAGGCCAGAGCGAGGCTGCGAAGAGGAAGAGCAAGAAAATTGCGGTGCACGGTTGAGTACATCACTCTGGAGAAGCGGCAAAATTGTGGAGAGACCAAAATGGAAATAGTTGTACATCGGGACAGGGGCTGATGCATATGTACCGGCGAGTACTTGAGTGCAGTGCTACAACGTCGCTTTGGCCTAACATGCGCAGTAATATATTGATCTTTTCTCAATGATCATTTCAATGCCATCACAGCCTCTATCAGCCACTGTCGCCAACTTACTACAGTACAGCCTAAGTATCCTACACAACGCCAGCTATCGTATTATGCAGAACACGACGGGAAGGAATTTAATCAGAAGCCTCCAATCTCACCTACAAAAGCAAGGTGAGCGTTGAATCGACCAAGTAGCAGGAAAAGCTCACAGTCGCAACCACTTTTTTAACTTGTGCGATATACAAAACACGGAATCTGTCCATATTCTCGACGACCGTGCTCCGGCAGTAGATGCACTCAGTCGCTTTGGTAATAGCGCGATTGTAAGACGCCAACTCCCATAATGTCGAGTTGCATGGTTTTGCCAATAACTCCTTCCCACTTGAAACCAGATACTCATAGAACCACGGGGCGACCTTGATATTTCCGAAGTCTGCCTGAACTATCATGGCATCCGTTCCACTTCTGCAACTGCAGTGCCTCCACAGTTGCATCTGTCTAGACGAAAACCCTAGCCAGGAAAGAGAGCTTCCGACTGCTTGAGCAGCGACACCGCATTTATAATGGTATTCGAGGAGCCTGTGGTGATCCAAAGCGTTGATGTCCCGCATACCATCAAATTTATTGCTGGGCCGTCCTAGATTTTTGATCGTAAGGGCCTGTGTAGCGGCTGTCTGCGCATGATGCTCCCACCCGAATCGACAAGAGAGAGCGTATAGCTCGAGAAAGTGGTTTGGTAAAAACTGGGCCATTGTGATGTCTCCTGCACGGCTGAGAGCCGCTTGCATGTCATACTTCCTAGCTGCTTCCATCACAGCCTTTGCATCATCCAAGCCGTCGAAGGTTGGGGTTGTAGCAGGATAGCAGAGTAGAAGAAGTGATTCGAGGGTCGTGCTGCTCTCAGCCACAGTAACGACAGGTACGGACGATACGTCTGACTGTGATTCGCTCTGTGGTAGCGTGAACATGTCTTTGAACACGGGTGACACGAGCGCAAGAATGAGCTTGAAGACATGGAAGTCGACACCATTGCTTGAACGGAGGATGATGTCACAGTTATGGTCATCGAATGGCGCTTGAGCAGTGGTGATTTCCTCGGTGTCCGCCATGACTGACGACGAAACCAAGGTCATGTACGTGGCAGAAGTCGAATCGAGCGGTTCTGTATTTCAAAATAGTCTTACTAGGACAACAAGGGTCAGCCACATGAGAAATTCAACCAGTTCCATCGTACTTACGATGTCAATCGCCCTTTCAACCTCCACAGCGCAAGTGTTTCCAAAAGAATACCTTGAGATCCAAGTATTCGGAAGGCAGCCGGTCGACATGTTGGCCAGGTAGCTAGATGTGCAGCCTGCTGCGGGGCAAGGCTGAGCCTGATCCCGGTTCATCTCACTGAAGAAGACAAATTTGAGGAGAGACTAAAGTAGAAATTGCTGTCCGGCTGATGCGCTCGATTGTGGAATGGATTGAAGGCCAGCTATTCATGGGACATATCGTTTGTGTCTCTCTATGGGGCATGCAACCCGCTCAGGTTCTCCTCCGAGTTGTAGCATTCATCCGCATAAAACCAGGGGGCTCCTCATTGACACTGCAAGAAAGGAACATAGCAGCAGGCTGAGTAGGAACCTATATCTCTTTGACCCCCTCGATGCAAAGCTGCGAGATTTTGAGTTACGTAAGTTCACACGCTTTGCTCAGCAACATGATGAACTTTCGGTTTCAAAACATTGTTGGTCTGCGATATCTGCGTTGTTTGACTGCGGGACGCCAAACTTGTTTATGCAATTTCCATGCCTTTTTAACGGACAATCAGTGACGGCGCGCTCCGACCCGCTGTTTCGCCGCCGCCAGTCGTTATTACAAGGCCCTGGTTCGTTCCAGTGTGTGTGGTATGTTTTCCACGCCTTTCAATACTGGAGTCTACACTGTGGAAGTGGAGGACAGCGGTGCTCATGAGGAGGCCGCTGATGCAATTCGGTTTTGCTGTGCAACATCGTGGACACTGATAATTTGCATCGACGCATTGTCACGGGATGATGCCGAACGTGCATTTGTTCTTAGCCGTTTGTATCATGTGTTAATATTTTAATCCCAAAGTGATACAACTGGACGCTGTGATATCGTCCTGCAAGTTGCAACCGTCAGAGGTTCTCTACCATTGAAGGCAGATCAGAGCCGAACGGATGTGTGAGTCACTGTAGGACCGTGCCAAAGCAGATGGCGTTGACGCTGGCAATATCCTCCAGATGCTAAAGATCCTCGCCACACTTCATCACTGGTGAGATTATTTATAATATGACTGAGAGATGAGGACGACAGCGGACAGTATGGCACGCTGCGTAGCCATTGCTATGTTCACTTAGGTCGTCATGGGGTTTCTATTGCATAAGGTTCAGAAGTGTAGGATCTCCATAAAACCCGGAGGCCGTGGCGAATACGACTGTCTTCGTGAGTCGTCATAATCGACTGCAGTACCCCCTATAATTGATTATCATACACGCAGTACTGATCTGGAGTATGAACGTTGAACTCTGCTACCGTTGTATCCCACGTGAGATCTGTGAAATGAAATCGCGGCGACTGGACAAGACCACAGATCAATATAGAAGCCGACAACCACACTATGATATATACGGAGGACAATTGTAGGTGTAGATGACCGCCGTGCCCAACACTAATAGGAATCGTTTGCATTCCCAGTATCCCTTACCCGTATACCCTTACAACGTACCCGCACCGGTAAATCTCTCACTGTTTCTGGTAGCGTACCATCCGGAGCTTCCTGTCTGAAGAAGGTGAGCTGTTCAAGAAAATGATACGGTATAACACGTGGGACTGATGAAAACACACATCAATTTAATAGTAATGTGAGAGGGAACGAAGGAGGGGTAGGTGGCCTCACCGCTTGTCGAGCCCAACTGAATCTGCTGACGTAAAATTAATACTGTTCAGCGCATCTTGAGACCCCTCTCCCACGAACTGTGAACGGGGTTGCCCTCATACTGCCAAGTGAATTGTAAATTCCTGCTGCTCATTTTCAATTTTAGTGAAATTCTTGAACTCGTGCGCGCGATGGGGGTGTTACTCATATCGCGACGAGGGGGGACGTTTCATACGTGGCTAACTTGAAGGTGGGTGTTCAATTCTCGTTCGCCAGCGCATATATAATGGGCCACTGAGGTATGGTATTATTCTCCCTTTCGAGAGTCATGTTCCCCCCTACATCCTTGTTGACAACTCTCCTTCTAGCTTTGTCAATCGCGGCATCGCCTGTTGAAGTTCGCAATTCTCCCGTCACCCTCCCCATCGTCAGGAAGCTAAACGTTTCCGATGGAACCATCAATCTCTTGAAGCGTGATAAATCTTACGTTGTTGCCATTCAGGAACGCTCCTTTAGCGCGCTTGACCGCCGTGATGATAGCGTTCCTGTGACCAACGATGCTGCGGTAGGCTCCTACATCGTACAAGTTGGCATTGGCAGGCCTGCCACAACTTGTAAGTTTAGTAATACTGAGAAAGCATACGGCTGCTGATGATTTGTTACAGACAACCTAGTTGTCGACACCAGTAGCTCAAACACGTGGATTGGAGCCTCCACTCCGTACGTGAAGACCAGCACCAGCGTTAACACTGGTCAGCTTGTGTCGTTCGGCTATGGTTCTGGCGCTTTCTTTGGTATGTCATACAAAGATGTTGTAAGTTGTTATTTACGATTATCTATAGGAACTGAGTACACCGACGCTTTCACTCTCAGTGATGGGCTCATCATTACCGACCAATCCATCGGCGTTTCTTCTCCTTCTATGGCGTTCGGCTTCGCCGGTGTTGACGGTATCCTTGGTCTCGGGCCTGTTGCCTTGACAGAGGGTACCTTGAATAATCAACCGGTGACGCAGATACCGACCGTCACTGAGAACCTGTACAACCAGAACATCATTTCTCAGAACGTCGTCGGTATCTCTTTCGATCCCATCACTTCGCTGACGGGTACCAATGGGGAGCTCACCTTCGGTGGAACTAATCCTGCCAAGTACACCGGTTCCATTGCATATACGTAAGTAACTTCAGCTCCTAGATCAATCCAGACTGACAGCAATTGTTCCAGTCCTATCACCGCCACATTCCCTGCAACCTTCTACGCGGGCATCAACGGGAGCATCACTTACGGCACCACGACGCTCTTGTCTGCAGCTGGTATCGTTAACACTCGCACCGCCCTCATTTATGTTGCTACCGGTGTGTATTTAGAGCGCAGCGAGTCATCATAGTCTAATCAGCGTTCGATAGACGTCTTTACTGAGTACCAGTCTGCAACCTGCTCTACTCTGGATGAGGCGACTGGTCTTCTTCGTATTACCTCCACCCAGTACAGTGCCCTCAAGAACCTGAACTTCGAAATTGGCAGCGTACGCCATTTTTATTTCGAGGTGTTAATGTCCTTTGCTTACCGGTTCTTGAGCACAGAGCACCTATGCTCTTACACCAAACGGCCAGATCTGGCCTCGTTCACTCAACACATATATTGGTGGTAGTAGCAGCGCTATTTATCTCATTATTAATGACATTGGCTTGCCCAGTGGTCAAGGTATCGACTTCATCCTCGGCTACACATTCCTCGAGCGTTTCTACTCCGTGTTCGATACCACCAACTCCCGTGTCGGTTTTGCCACAACCAAATACACTAATGCCACAACCAACTAACGTGGAATTAGGGTTTCCTGGCCAACTATTATACATAGGAAATAAAAAAAATATTGTCCACACACGCCGACTACTGGGAGCATTTCGGGACCCAGCAGTCCAGCAGTCAGGAACAACTTGTCGTACGACCTTTCCGAGTTGCAAGTATGGAGTTTTTGGATACTCCCCTTGCTTCGTGGCAAAACGCCGGCAAGCCAAACAATCTACCTAATATTTTTGCCTGGCATAATCATACAAGCAATCCGTTGGCCTGCGGACGGTCCCACATGATTTCAGCTACAATAATAATGTTAAGTAAACTACATTCGCTGTCTTTTTTTCCTCATTTCTTTGTTGATAATAACGCCTGAATGTTGTGTCCATCTCGCGCACACTTTGCTAGGTAGTATGATGTAGGGGCCAACTAGGCGAGCTTCCATTACGCTTTCGAGCCTCAAAGGGGGAGATCATCATGTCCAACCGTTGTGCCGAGAGTGATAAAGCATGCGAGTAGTATCTTCTTTCTCAGTGTGATCAACCATATCTAACATATCTAACATATGCAAGGACAGAGCGTTTGATCCCGCGGAACCAATTCGTGTCGCCTCCATGTGCGCGTGACACTTCGATGTTCCAATCTGACTCGCGGGCGTAATGATTGCAGATGATGAGACCATCCGCAGGTGAGCAGATCGCTTGTATTTACATAAGTGTCCATACCGTACACTGTACTATAGCTAACTTGTTTTCCACCACAGCCTGGGTGTTTTAAAAACCAATTGGCGATCGCATGTCCTACACTCTACAACAGCAACACGACAGCAATACGACAGCGTTACGGCTCTTCAAAAAGTCGTCAATCTCACCTACAAAAACGGGGTGAGCTTTGAATCGGTAACGAACCAGTCAACAGGGAAAGCTCACAGTTGCAACCACCTTTTTAACTTGTGCGATATACAAAGCACGGAATTTATCCATACTCTCGACGACCGTGGTGCGGCAAGCGCTACAGTCAACCGCCTTGGTAATAGCGCGATGGTAAGCTGGCGACTCTAATAAGGTTGACTCGCAAGGTCTTGCCCACAACGCCTTCCCACTCGCAACCAGATATTCATTGAACCACTGGGCGACCTTCTGGTTTCCGAAGTCTGAAACTTGGAGCGTCCTATGACCTGTGCCACTTCTGCAACTGCACTCCTTCAGGCCCGGGGTGTTGAACCACATTGTCATATTTTTAGATGAAGTTGTTGACTCTACCCAGGAAAGAGAGTCTCCGATTGCTAGGGCTGCGACTCCGCATGCATGGTGGTATACGAGGAGCCTGTGGTGGTCCAGAGCAGTGATGTCCTGCATCCCATCAAACTCAGTGCTGGGGCGTCCTAGATCTTTGATCTCAAGAGCCCGGGTAGCAGCTGTCTGCGCATGATGCTTCCATCCGAACCGAAGAGAGAGAGCGTATAGCGCGAGAAAGTGAGTTGGTAGAAACTGGGTCATCGCGAGGTCTCCTGCACGGCTCAAGGCTGCTTGCATGTCATACTTCTTTGCTGCATCCATCACAGCCTTTGCGTCATCCCAGCTGTCAAAGGTTGGGGTTGCAGCAGGATAGCATAGTAAGAGCAGGAATTCGAGGGTCGTGCTGTTCTCAGACACAGGAATGACAGGTATAGACGATATGTCCAACTGCAAACCGTTTTGAGGTAGCATGAACATGTCTTTGAACACGGGCGACATGAGCGAAAGAATGACTTTGAAAACATGGAAGTCGACAGGCGTAAGGTCGGCGGTCGAACGGAGGATGATGTCACCGTCAGGATTATCGAATGGTGCTTTAGCAGTGTCAACGATGATGATTGGAACCTCAGGAGGGTCCATGGTGACTGACGATGAGGTTGTGCACTGTGATGGGCTAGATAGCTTGAAGTTCGACAATACCTTTGTCTGTATTTAAGGGTTGCAAAGCAGTCAACACGAGTTTTCTTTGGGGGCGATCCCGGATCTAGGGAGGGAATGTGGCAAATATTCTGCCGAGAACAACGAGAACGCAACGAGCAAGGCAACCAGAAACAAAGGAAAAGGGAGAGACTTGTCTGGGGCAGTTCGGTTACAACGTAACGTTAGTATAGAAGCACATAAAAAGAATCGGTTACAACGTCCTACATGGTTACAACTTCCACGGCGAAGTGTTCCCCAACGAAGACGTTGAGATCTGAGAAGGCAGCCACACGGGCTGCCGCGGGGCAAAGTGGCGAAAATCGAGGAGAGACGAATCAAAAATCGCTATACATTTGCGGGACAGGGGCTCAGCGCTCAGGCTGGACAGTGCAATGCTCGATTGTGACTTGATTCAAGGTGAGTAGAGTACCTTCAAGATTACCAGTCTTCCTTCTCGCAAAGCTCCGCAGCGTCCATACACAAGTATCGACATGGGCGTTCTAACAGCCACCAGTCAGCAATCGTACAGTATCCTACATTCCACAGCAGCAATACGACAGCGTTGCAGCGAGTTAATTAAGAAACTGCCAATTTCTCCTACAGAAGCGAGGTGAGATTTGAATCGGTAAGGAATCAATTAGCAGGGAAAGCTCACAGCTGCAAGCACCTTTTTAACTTGTGCAATATACAAAGCACGGAATCTATGCATATCGTCGACGACTGTGCTTCGGCAATCGACGCACTTTGTCGCGTTGATAATCGCATTATCATAAGATTTCGACTCCAATAACGTCGACTCGCAGGGTCTTGCCGACAACTCCTTCCCACTCAAAACCAAGTATTCATCAAACCACGGGACGTTCTTCATCACCATCCGTCCAATTTCGCGCGTCCTGAAGCTAGCAATGCCCACTTCTCCAGACGACAGCTGTAGCCAGGAAAGCGAGGTTCCGACTTTTTGAACAGCATCCCCACATTTATAATGGTATACCAGGAGCCTGTGGTAATCGTCGGCGGTGATGTCTTTCATGCCATTAAACCCATTGCTGGGCCGTCCTAGATCCTTGATCTCAAGGGCGCGGAAAGCGGCGGTCTGAGCATGATGCTGCCATCCGAATCGACAAGAAAGTGCGTATAGCTCGAGACAGTGATCTGGCAGGAATTGAACGATGGTGAGGTCCCCTGCACAGTCGAGGGCTGCTTGCATATCATATTTTCTTGCTGCTTCCATCACAGCCTTTGCATCATCCAAGCTGTTGAACGTTGGAGTTGTGGCAGGATAGCAGAGTAGAAGGAGTGATTCGAGGGTCGTGCTGCCCTCAGTCAGAGGAATGACAGGTACGGACGATACGTCTGGCTGCGGTAACGTAAACATCTTTTTGAACACAGGCGACACGAGCGAAAGAATGAGCTTGAAGACATGGAAGTCGACACCATTGCTTGAACGGAGAATGATGTCACAGTTATGATCATCGAATGGCGCTTGAGCAGTGGTGATTTCCTCAGCGTTTGTCATGACTGACGATGGAAACAAGGTAGCGCACTGGGGCTAGCTAGATAGCTAGAAGTGAGTAGGATATTCGTATCTAAGCGCTGCAACGCAGGCAACACGAGTCGGTTTCTTTGGGGTCGGTCCCAGATTTAGGGATGTGGCATAAAACAAATTCGGTTACATCGTGGTGTTTTGTATTTTAAATAGACCGCAGACTTTTAGCTAGAACGGGATATCAAGCTCCACCTTAAGACAGCAAGGATCAGCGCACACAAAAAAGTACCAGTTCCAATGTACTCACAGTATCAATCGCCCTTTCAATCTCCAGAGCGAAGTGTTCCCCAATAAACACGCTGAGATCTAGGAACGCAGCCGGTCGACACATATGGCAGCCAGATGCCGCCTCTAGACATTCCGCAATCAAGAATGGATCTGCGACGACCTTGGCACAAGGGCGCTCACGAAGAGCGTTTCTGGCGCGCTCCATAAAATCGATAAACCACGCATTTACTTCATATATCTTCCCATCAGAAAGAGGCCACGATAGAGGGTGATGAACGCAGTCGTCGCATTGGAACCAAACCCAACGTGATGCGAAACCAGGAAACCAGGAGAAGTCGGCCGTCAGTGAGCATGTAGCGACACTGCACTTTCGGTGGTACTGGAGGAGGCGATGGTAGACAGAGGCGGGGATGTGTTCCAGCTCTTCGACGTAGGGAGTGAAGAAGGGCTGGCGGACTGTATACTTCGCAGCTATGCGGGCTTCATCATACAGGCCATAACGGTATGCGATGGCGAATACGCGTAGCGGCTGTTCGTTCAGGAACACTTGCTGTACAAGCGAACCCTTGGCTCTGTTCATCAACCCCTTCATCCCGAACTTTCTCATCATCTCCAAGACGGCCTGTACATCGTTTAGGCTGTTAAATACCGGATTGGAGAAGGGGTAGCAATATTGCAGGACCCATTCAGTTGTCTGAGCGTCTTCTTCGAGTTTAATGATGGCATGATTGCCATCGTGTTTAAGGACGAGCCCTTCAAACGGCGGGCACGGTGATGACGACCCCGAAGTTAGGAAACGTTTCAAAAGCGGAGACGCGACGGTGAGGAAGATCTTGTGGACAGCGAACTTTGCGTCGTCTGAGGTATGAATGATCAAATCTGCATCTGCGGCATCAAAAGGAGCACGGAAAGAGGAAACTTCGACAGAAAGAGGCGCAGCCCCCACGAATTGGGACATGGAGAAGTTTCTGAAACAGAGTGATCAGAGGAGAATGTAGATGGTATATCAGACGGAGAAGATATACCCTTCACGTTGTGACTCGCGGATATGGCATGCACTTTGCACGCCTGATCTCCATGGAGGATCTATTGAGAGCGCAACACTGCTTCACGTTATTTGACGTAAGTATTTGAGCGCGACACATGAATCTCGTGCACGTTCACGAGGCTCAGAAGTTGCATTGACCAATGATCAAAAGGCAGGCTGCTGCGTGTCATGGAGCTTTGTTGGGAGGGCGGTGCCAAAGGGTATCAACTGATGAAATGTATGCAGTGGACTTGCAATGGACAAGGTTTGATTGAGGTTCGAGCATTGGTTTGAGGTCAACGTTGTTATGAAGCTTAGGGAGGTATTATTGAGGCCATCTTTAAAGTGAGTTGTGGACGTGCGAGATGCATTTTGTATCATGGACTCGGAGTGATAGTGTCTCATGGTCCATGGACCGATTGATAACTGTCACTTTGTTAGAACGGCGATCTAAGTTTGTAGCGTGATGCAAAGAGTCATTGAGTCACCTGCCTGTACCATGCTGATTACTGACATTGTGTGAGTTACTGGTCTATACAGAGCGTGTTCCATTTCTTATGGGACAATGATAAGGCAAGGCCACACTGGAGCCTCGTGCCCTCCTGCCACCAAACGAGCGCCCACTGAGGCCCACTGGTCGTCTTTCAACTGCACGAACCCGAGGCTCTATTCAAATTCAAGCCTATACCTTGCAATTTCGATCAATTCATAGTATGGAGTTTTATTCGGTGCCCACCGGTTTAAGGACTCATCATTGTTAGACAGACCTGGATATACTACGCTGAAATATCGTTTCACAATTTCAGTAGCCACCCTCAAAGAAGCTTAACCTGTAAGCTGCGAGGCACTAACCGGATTTCCAATAACATCGTACTCGACTAGTACTTCTCGGAGACTCGGAGTCGTTTAATTCCATCTCACATCCTGTGTCACGATTCATCATCAACCCTTGTTAAGGAGTCGATGTCAGTATATCCATCTTTTATCCCCTCTCTCGTTCTCTGACCTTGGTAACAGTTCCCGTATGTCTGAAGGAACTTGGGAGAAGTTATCCCAAGTCGCTGTGAAGGGTGCTGAACATGACTCTGGTGAACGCCGGCCCCATCCGAAATGTTTGGAAGGGACTCGGGTGGTCCTTCTCAACCATATCTACGGGTTATTAGACACCAAAGAGAAGAATCGACTCATTTGGCTTCATGGTACAGCAGGCGTCGGAAAATCTGCTGTTGCGTTCACCGTAGCCGAAAGGATGAGAGGTCTGAAGATGACAGAGGAGACGAAAAGAGAAAAGCGGCTCGCAGGAACATTCTTTTTCTCCCGCAAGCACACGAAACGCCGCACGACTGGTTATTTCTTTGCGACACTTGCCTACCAGCTGGCCGTGAATTTCCCCAGCATCAAGACGTACGTGAACAAAGCTATCCTGGAGAATCCTGCACTTTTAGACCCCGACAAGTCTCTTCGCGACCAGATGGAGGCGTTGTTTCTACAACCTCTGCGAAATCTTCAATCCAGGCTGCGCGAGTGTCCGCCTTTGACATTCGTTGTTGATGCCCTCGATGAATGCACATCAGAATCCCTCGATCAATCCACATTCGACTCCGATGAAGACAAATACGAAAGCGAGCTTGCTGAACTGATCTCCCTGCTCGCCCAAGCTCTTCGCGATCCTGATCTGCCTGTGACCCACATTTTAGTTACGAGTCGCTCAGAAGCGCATATCTGTGAAGCCATGGAGAGCGAAGATGTGCGCCCGCTGGTGTGCGAGATACCAGTGAAGATTTTTGGGGAGGGTGTCGCTGCCACTATCTCGCTAGACGGTGCAGATGTTGACGCAGATATCTATCGTTTCTTGGAGCATTCTTTTAGAAAGCTACGAAGTCGCTCTTCCACTTTCCCGTTGCCAACGAAGTGTCAACTTGAGCAGCTGGCGATCCGAGCGGGCAGACGTTTCATTGTGGCGTCTACAATGATGAAGTTTATCGATGATCGACACAATGATCCCCGTGACCGGCTTCAGCTCATGCTCGAGCTAACGAGTGAACTGCTACCAGGAACAGAAGTGTACAAGTTATACGACCGTATCCTCTCCACATGCGCTGACCCGAAGTTGGCATACCAGCACTTGTCCGTTGTTGCCGCCCTTACAGATCCTCTGCCGATTTCACAAATCTCAGAACTTCTTGGTCCTGGTCAGGGCAGGGACGCTGAGAGAGTGCTGGTGCAACTACGGTCTATCATAGATGTCCCCATCGACAGGACTCTTCCTGTGAACATTTATCACTCATCCGTTCGCGACTATATTTCCCACCACTCCAACTGCAGCCTCCCTCAAGTACAATGTCTCACATCACCGCACTCCCTACTCGCACTTTCCTCTCTCCAATTGATGGTGCGCGATATTCCAGAAAGCACTGCGCTCCTGGATGCGCTCTCAGAGTTGAATGGGCAGAATCAAGCTATGGAACCCCAGGACCCCCGGAATTTAACACACTCATTATCCTTCACTGTCCAGCCACCGGAGCCAATACAAGCGCTTATAACCCTGCTATGGCTTCGGGGAAATCGCAGTTTAGAGTTTCAATTCTGGCTAGATACCCTAGACGGGCGTGCCTGGCTGGGCACTCACAGCGCGAGAGAATGGTTACAGACCCAGGGAGGGCGAGACTGGCTGCAAACCCAGGGAGGGCGAAACTGGCTGCAGACTGAAGGAGCGATAGAGTGGCTGCAGACTAAAGGAGCGAGAGAGTGGCTGCAGACCTGGGGGGGAAAGGACTGGCTGCAGACTGAAGGAGCGAGAGAGTGGCTGCAGACTGAAGGAGGGAGCGAGTGGCTGCAGACCTGGAAAGGAAAGGACTGGCTGCAGACCGAAGGAGCGAGAGAGTGGCTGCAGACTGAAGGAGCGAGAGAGTGGCTGCAGACCCGGGCGGGAAGGAACTGGCTGGAGAGTGGAGGGGTGAAAGAGTTGCTGCAGACCCGGGTGGGAAAGGACTGGCTGCAGAGTGAAGGAGCGAGAGAGTGGCTGCAGACCCCGGTGGGAGAGCACTGGGTGTGGAGTGAAGGAGCAAGAGAGCGGCTGCAGATCCCGGTGGGAGAGCACTGGCTGCGGAGTGAACTTGAAGGAGCGAGAGAGCGGCTGCAGACCTTGGGGGGAAAGGACTTGCCGCAGACTGAAGGTCCCTGGCTGCAAAACGCAGGTGGGGGAGGCTTGGTGCAGCGCTCGGGCAGACGAGACTGGCTGCAGGCCCAGGGTGGGCGAGATTGGCTGCAGACCCCAATGGGACACTGGCTGCTCCATGGCGGGCGGCACTGGCTGCAGAGTCAGGACGGGCAAGGCTGGCTACAATCCCCGGGCGTGGAAGACTGGCTGCAGACCCAAGGCGGGAAAGACTGGCTGCAGACCCAAGGCGGGAAAGACTGGCTGCAAACCCCGCGTGTGCGAAACTGGTTGCAAACCCAAGGCGGGAAAGACTGGCTGCAGACCCCAGACGGGCGAACCTGGTTGCAAACCCAAGGCGGGGGAGACTGGTTGCAGACCCCAGACGGGCGAGACTGGTTGCAAACCCAAGGCGGGCAAGACTGGTTGCAGACACCGCATGGTCAAACGTGGCGGTTGACGACTGTCTGGGTAACAATGGAGGAATTTTCGAACACATTGGAAGCAATCATGCAGTATATAATTATCCCAGAATTGCCTCTTCAGCCAGCTTTTCAAGTCATCCAACAGCTCAAGAACCTGCCGGATTTCTTGTTGTTTCCAGCGTTCCTCGGGTTAAGGCACCAGGACCACCCCACCTCTGCATTTTCACGACGTTGTTTTCCACCAAACATAGGGATCATTCATTCAATGCAGGCCTTTTCCAACTTCGCAAACGACGCACGCGAACGAACTCGAACAGCTTCCGACGTTCTCGACTACGCATGCCAAAACTGGGCCGTCCATCTCTCGCGAGCTCCGAATCCTTGGGACGAGAGGCTCGCTCATATATTCAAGTCTTTCTGGGATCGTCATCTCCTCTCCTGGCTCGAAAGGCAGTGGTGTGTGAAGGATCTGAGGTCTTGCCTCACTATTTTATCAGAAGGCGAGAAACTTGCAAAGGTGTGTGTTCACAATGGTTTACTAGACTCACAACCTGACCCGTGCATTCAGGACCATTTCCGTGAAGCCCCTGTAACATCTTAATGACCAGTCTGAAGCTGCCAGATGTTTGCAACATGTTACACTGTCTTGTTATCGTGCATTGATTTCTTGCTGTTAGCCATTTTCTTACAGTCAGATCTCTGTAATGGTGTAAAGTATTTCCTAGTGCTCCGCTAGTACATGTTTGTGACTTCATTATCATGAGACGCTCGTAAGAAACATATCACATAGAGGTTCACTCGTCCCGAATTAAATAGCAGCACGATGCCTTGCACTTCATTATTGAGGTCCCGACGAAAGAAAATTATTCGTAAACGAGCGCGCTGTCGGCATATCCATGTCCGAAGGGGACATAAGTCATGACGCAGACTCAGATTACGAGGCACGGACTCCCCGATAGTCCGAATACTGCGGCGGAAGTTCGACTACGCCATTGCTATCTGGCACAACATCCTCAGCGTCGGTATGCACAAGGATTCGAGCCGGAGTTTGATAGTCTGTTTGACCGAGTGTGGAAGGGTCGTTGACTGTGACATGGCCGGCAGGCGCTTGGGCAGAGATGGATTGGGATCCGTGTTGAACGGGCGGAGCAAGGTAGATAGGGTCTGTCTTCCGTGGTAACGGTGATGCTGGTCTAGCCCCTGCAAACGCATTCTTGTCAACAGATGACATATCTGAACTTCGAGCGTCTCCACTGTAGACAGTAAAGTCTGTGTTAAAGCTCCTGCCTGACTCGGAAGGCTGTGTCTGATGGAAGGGTGCGGGAACGTCCCTAGCCGCGAAGTTGCCGGCAGACGCATTGAGAGGAGGTGATTGGGGTCCGGATTGAATGGGCGGACCGGAGTAGCTACTGGGATCTGTCTGCCATGGTGATGGTGATGTTGTTTCAGCGACGGTAGCCATTCGTCTGTCAACGGATGACATAGCCGGACTTCGAGCGTCCCCGTACACAGCAAAGTCTGCATTTGAGCTCTGGCGTGAATGCAGTGTCTGGTTGAACAACGTGGGATGGTCGCTGGCTGTGAAGTTACCAGTAGACGCATTAGGAGGAGGTGATTGGCTTCCAGGTTGAATGGGTGGAGACAGGTAGCTGATAGGGTATGGTGATGGGTAGGTTTGTGATGTCGGTTGAGTCGCGGCCATACGGTTGTAAGCGGATGACATGGTAGTTGAACTTCGAGCGTCTCCGTAGATAGGAAAGTCCGTGTTAGAGCTCTGGCGCGAGTGTTGTGTGTGACTGAATGGTGTGGGAGGAGCGCTAACTGCGAATGTGCCGGCGGATGAACTTGTCATGTCTGATTGAGTTCTCAGGCTGCGTTGAGTGGGTTGGGTATGGTAGTTGATGGGGTTTGTCTTGTATGGGAATTGGAATTGTGGCGCAATGTCACCTTGAGGGATGGCTTCGTAATCGGGATCCGTACGCTGCAATTGGCCTGGACGGCTTTTTGGAGAAGTTATGATGTCCGGACTCAGAGAGCGAGACGCTTTTCGTTTACGCCGCAACAAGCACATGCCGAGTATGACCAATGCAGCAAGGGCCGCCGCACCGCCGACTGCCGAGCCTGCGATAACAGCGACATTGCTGCTCGTTGAACTACTTGGATTAGATGTCGATGAAGCCGAAGTCGAAGCAGTGGCCGTGGCCGACATGCTTGAAGTGGATGACGGCGAGTTGGCGTTGAGGCACGAGGCATTGCTCGACGATAAGACCTGCTCGAACCCAGAGTCACCACCTTGTCTGCCCGCAGAGTCGGTCATAAGAAACATGAGGTTCGTTCCTGTGTTAACATTTGCAACCGAGGTAAACGTGTTGCTATTCACTGAATTGAATACGGTTGATTGTCCACCAGGAATGAGTTGCTGTGGCAATGTAAGTATGTTATTTTGATAGAACCAGCCATGATCTGACCACAATAGTAACGGGTAGAGTTGCACCAGTATAGGAAAGGGTAAATTGACTGCAGTATTGGTAAGTCAGTGCCACGAAAAAGTAGGCGAACCAAGCTTACCTGCATTGCAGGAGTTGGAGTGGCGACAGATCAAACGTGTAAGGAGGTGATAAAACTTCAGTGTTGCAGTTGTTATTTGCAACAGGATTCCCAACAGTTAACTGGTTTGTCGTCCCGCCCGAACCAAATCCAGTGGCGTCCGACATAGTGAGCAGAAATAGTGTTCCCGCCGCCAATGTCAATGGTGATATTGAATAGGAGCCTTTGCCATTGCTGAAGGCTGATGCTGGTACAGATATATTCTGGAACGTTGCCAAAGACTGGAAGGGACAAAGATTAGCGCGCGATGGCGTTTGAGACGATAACGCCGACGAACAGGAGTCAAGAGTATCTCAAATGGTGCTTGCCCACCTGACAATCCCGACAAAGTTCAGCGGGAGCATATACAACGTATTAGATATGCGCTTACCAGTCCATGAAACGGTGAGACTATCACATTGAGTAGGAGTCCCGACAGTCACACTGAACGCCCGCGCCACAGAGAGACAAGAAGCAATACATGTAAAGAAACGAACAAAGTGTGACGATCGCATGTTCAAAAAAACGAAGAAGAGCGTAAGAAGGGACACGGGCGTGGTCAAGGGATATGTTGAAATGGGAATCAGGAATTTTCAGACTCAGGTGAAGAGAAATTGGGTCCTGGATAACATTGACCTGGTGAGAATCGATCACTATATAGCCATCAGTGAAATACCGTTAGCTATGACATGAACCCTGCCTCGAGGCTGTTCGTGGTCATTAGCACTACGCCACCTTCGGAGTTCTTCGCCTTCCAAGGGTTCCTTGCACCCCCACAATTCAATTTCAATGTTTGAAAAACACGGAAGCAAGAATGAGGGCCCTGAGTTGTGTCCTAAGACTGTCTGGTGCATTTCGTAGAAGTGAAAGAGGTAAATGGATGACGTATTAATAACCCAAGGGTATTGCCGTACTTGAGTGTTCGCTGGGCAGCAGATGGATAAATATAACACGGTTTTGATTGACGCACGCACGACACTGAATCCTTGGGTCTGACATTCTACATTCCGAAGTCATCTCTACGCCGGGGCCAGCCGAGAGTAGCTCTGAGTGATGAGGTGAAACATATACTGATCTAGGGTGTGGATCGCCGCGCCGCAAACGCCAGCGCTAGTGGCAATTGAGCGGAGGTGGGGGTCGACGTGAATGGGTTCTCTCTTGAATAATATCTGGGACTCGGGAGGACACCCCGGAGGCACCCAAGCGCTGTGATGGGTTTCCTGCCAGCTGCGGACCTTCTGTGTGAGGCACATCGAGTAGGCTGTGTTAACGTGAGCGCCGAACTCTGGGGAAAGCGATGCAGAGTGCTAAGAGACTCTCACCTCAACAACGCTAAGCAACCTTAAGTACCCCCTTTCAAAGAGCTGTTGCCAAACAACCGCCAAGTAACTTACGTGGCATTCTCAAGCAACGTCAAGAACGAACAAAAATCATCATTCAAGCTGTGGTCCACAAAAATCAAACAAGATAGTGATGGCAGACTTCCCCATACCGCAGCCTTTGAAAACTCCTCGCATCCACATCCATACATGAACGCTTCGCCTTCATCAACGCAACGCGAGGCGCCAAGGACCGCAGAGCTGCTTCAGATATCGTACCCAGAACACTCTTCTCCTTGCAATTGAGGACCGCAAGCTCCGGCGACGAGGGAGATGTGGTATGCGACGAAACGTCAGAGGATTCACAGAAGTCGCAAGACTGGGTAGTCGACAAAGGGCTTTCTTGGACAAAAGGAGATGTAGATGAATCGGGGGCCGTTTGTGGCGACTTGCAAGACCAGTAGATCGACTGGTTACTAGGAGATGGTCTCGTCGGAGTTGATGTACAAGGGTCCCCCTCAATATTGGCAGACTACATCTATGAAGTGAGCACAATTCGCATGGCTCACAAGGTGTATGCTAACCTTGAGCGCCTCCGCAACTGTGAGTCCTCCACGCCTACCAATAGCCTGTGGAGACGGGTGTTGAGGGCTTCTGGAGGAAACTGGGACAGCTGTAACCTGTTTCGGCCAGCGGTTGTGGAATACCCGGAGTAGCCGCGGTCGGACAATACACCATGGTCGGCGGAGCAGACGATTGTCCTGATCGGGTCGTTCGAGGTAACCACGAACGTACAGTTCTTCTCTGAAAGCCTCACTTGCTAAGAGTGGGAGATTGGAGACGTGGATGCTACGGCAATGCATGTAAGCATGGGATAACAACACAGAACAAAGCGATGCAGACAGCTCATCTGCGGTGACAAACGTATCGTCGACGTCTGTCGCTGCCAACGAACTGAGAGAGTGGATGGTCTCCAAAGCCTCAGACAGAAAGATATGAGGTGGTGGGGCACAAAGGGATACAGGCTTCGTGAACGTAATGGTGCAGAATGATCTGATCTTTGTGAGGTATCGCATCGCAGTCTTGCCAGGTCGGTGGCTCGAGTTCATAGCTTGCTCCTGCTTGCGTTGGCGCCGCATCTGGTGCGAAATTATTGCCTCCGTTGCCGCGAGAGTCGGTTCCGACAGCGAAATACAAAGCTGGTTGTGGGTGATCGGAGGGTGGTTGGTGTTGCTGAGATTGCCGGGTGGGTAGCAAGCGTCCGAAGGCATTCTCACAGATAAGATGGAGGAAAGGCGGACGAGAGCGGTTGTGAGTGTGCGTTTCACGGCAGCTGGCATGATAGAAATGTGGTTTCAACCTGAGCAGAAAGTACTGAGGAGGCGAGTAGCAGGTTGGCTGACCATTAGTGTCCTCGTGCATGGAGGCTGACCAGCTGGAAACTTGTACGACTTAGATAGTCAGCCTATACCCACAGGTGGTTGGTAAGTCATTCGATCGCGAGCTAGTGAGGAAGTGGAGAAAAGTCGCCATCGATTAGTAGCCAAAGTTAGGGTTGAGTTGAAGAGGCACAGATATGATCATGAGAATTTTGATGACATGATAGCTTGGCTATTGCACCGAGGGTTGATATCAGTTCATCGCGCCACATTGACACATAAAGCCTACTCTCGAAACGTGTTAACCTCTATTCTCCAATCGAAGACGTGAAGGCGACCCTCGTTTACTAGTATCATCGTGATAACGATACCACTTAAATACGTCACGAGGGAGCGGTACAACTTGAAGGATTCGGATGTGTTCTTGAAAAAATGAGGGTCATAGCCTAGGGATCGCAGGTCGTACGAGCAGTCTCGGAGTCGGAGAGGCGATAATAGATGAAATTGGGATTATTATGGTGCCATGGGCCGGGAAGAACCCATGTTGTCATAGCCCATCTGAACCGGTGTATAATCCGTGGCTATTCGCAAGAGCACAGTGTATGTAACATTGCTCATCGCTTCCGGTCTTAAACCGGTCCATCAGAATTGTCAATCACAGCGAAGCATATCTCAGAGCAGAATGGTACCACTGAAATCAATTCTTCATGGATGATGAGACCAAGTCTCACTGAGTCGTGTCACCAGACTGCCAGTCAGTGAGTCGTCCGATTGAATGACACAAAGCGCCGACTTGATTAAGACAATGGTCGACAGCGCTTGGAAAGACTCGGAGCAGAAGAGGAAGGTAGGTGATCGCCGCCAGCAGACCAGTTTTTTTTTATGAAACACGCCATAACCGAATCGTACCATAAATATTTTCAAGAAAGATTTAGAATTAAACGTTATATTATCTCTATATAACCTCTTCCCCCTTGCCTCCTTCATATTCCACAATTCATCCCCTTCGTCCTTTCAAGTCTAACACTATAACAATGGCCATTTCTCCTGCTTCCTTCCTATCCTCCGAGCAGGAAATGCCTCGCCCAAAGGATGTCGGTATCCTCGCAATGGAAGTCTACTTTCCCCACAGAGTATGCTTCCACCCATTCTAACCATCCCAATCATATCTCATCTTACGTCACTTTAGTGCATATCTGAGGCTGACCTCGAGGTCTTTGATGGTGTACCAGCAGGAAAGTACACCATTGGTCTCGGCCAGGAATTCATGGCCTGCTGTGATGACCGGGAAGACATCAACTCTTTTGCTCTCAATGGTACGTGTCATCGTCTCACTGAACGCGTTTAAATTCACATCCTCCTCTTTTCAGCCGTTTCCGGTCTTCTTGAGCGTTACGATATCGACCCAAAGTCCATTGGTCGCATTGATGTCGGAACTGAGACTATCATCGACAAATCCAAGTCCGTGAAGACAACCCTCATGGACCTTTTCGCCGAATCTGGTAACTTCGACATCGAAGGTATCGATTCCAAGAACGCATGCTACGGTTCCACTGCTGCGCTTTTTAACGCAGTCAACTGGGTCGAATCCACCTCGTGGGACGGTCGCAATGCTATTGTTGTCGGTGGTGACATTGCTATTTACGCTGAGGGTGCTGCACGCCCAGCCGGTGGTGCTGGTGCTGTCGCCCTTCTCATTGGTCCCAACGCACCTGTCGTCGTTGAGCGTACGTTCATTTCATTTCATTTCGGATGTTATGGCTCGTTTCCATGACGTTCCTGGATTGAGTGTCTCAGATCTGATATCCTCAATTTACAGCGATTCACGGTAATCACATGACCAACACGTACGATTTCTACAAGCCCCGATTGGACTCGGAGTACCCCGAGGTTGACGGGCCTGTCTCAGTTACCACCTACACTTCTGCATTGGATAACGCATACTCGCGCTTCCGTGAAAAGACTGCTAAAGCTAAGAAGGCTCAGCTCAACGGCCACGCGAATGGCAAGGAGTCTCTGACCTCCTTCTCCATCGATGACATCGACTACGCTGTCTTCCACAGCCCATACGGCAAGCAGGTCCAGAAGGGTCTCGGCCGTCTATTCTACAACGACTTCCTTGCAAACCCCTCCTCGCCTTATTTCGCTAACGTCGCCAACCCCGAATCTGTCCTCGCGACCTCATACACCGCTTCCCTCACTGACAAGAACCTCGAGAAAACCTTCATTGGTGTCTCGAAGGCAACATACGCCAAGAAAGTTGAGCCCGGCATGGCCTGCTCGAAACGCCTGGGCAACATGTACACGGGTTCGCTTTACGGCTGCCTTGCCTCTGTCCTGTCTTCCGTTGCACCTTCCGAGCTTTTGGGCAAGCGTTTGAGCATGTTCGCTTTCGGTTCTGGCTGCGCTGCCAGCTTCTTCACTCTCCGTGTCAAGGGTGACACGTCAGAGATCCGGGAGAAGATGGACTTGCTCCCTCGCTTGGCAAGCATGAAGCTCGTGCCTTGCCAGGAATACGTTGACGCACTCACAGTAAGTCCAGCCTTGATTCTGTCTAATGGGATTCAGCTGATTCGATCTTCCAAAGCTCCGTGAGAAAAACCACAACGCTGTGAACTACACGCCAGAGGGCTCCGTCGAGAACATCTGGCCTGGCACATTCTACCTCGAGAGCGTAGACAGCAAGTTCCGTCGCAAATACGCACGCGCACCCAAGGCATGAGTCATTGCGGGCTGCGTGTCATCATCTTATGTTTTTGCTTCATGATATCTGTTTGGGTTTTGACTTGCATTACATTTAGAAGCATATACCTCATCAACGCGCCGGTAGTATGATAGTGTTTGTATATTTGTAGAAGAAGATGTTGAATTACTACGGCGATAATACAATTCATTCGCACGGAAGAGAGATTTGCTAGATCATGGCCAGCTCACCCATATGTAAATGTCTGTTCAAGTAGCAAGGTGGTGGTAAACTCGGCAGACTTGAATCAGGCAGACAAACACAAACACAAACAACACGTCAATAAATCCCTGCTAATCGGCTTTTCTTGATTGGTTACTTACCATTTTCATGCCAAGCTTAAGCACAAGGTCCACGAAAGCCATAAATACCCTTCTTCTTTGAAAGATCGACAAACTCGACCATATGTTCTCATTGATAATTTTGGGTGTTTGAGGCTGAACTTAATTTATGAAGGTCTCGAGCCAAAGCGAAATACGACGTCCATTACCCAGACCGCAAATCGCGCAAAATCCCCAAGCCGAAGGGCCGGGCAGGATACTCTCCTCCACGAGGACACCACGTACAAGATGCAATGGGTTTGGCTGACGGTGATCGCCATTACAAAAAATTTCGAGCGCGTCCCATTATTCTGGTCTGACTATATGCTACTGGATCCTACGCGAGCAGATCTATAGCTCGCATGTCTGCCACTAAATATCTTGACCTTAACAAAACATTTCCGACTGATAATGATGACAATTCGTAAGACGTAGATGATACGGAACACGGTAATGACAGCGAAGACGAAGACGGAAAAGATTGTCGTGGCGACGAAGTAGGTTACACTCATTCTGATCATTCAATTCAGCGTACTAACCTTGTGTTTTAAAAAGCTTGATTGGATGCGTTTAGGCCAACTCGCCAAATTTGTTAACGAGCGGCGAGCCTAGCAATCACCGCTCAATCATAGTAACGTCAGTACCCACATTGATTTCTTTCAAGTCTCGATTCGCGCACTCCAAGAAACGTCGTTTTGAGGTACGTCTCGTTATTTTTGTATCAGCCCCTGGCCACAGAATGTTAATTATCTGATTCCTTCAGACGGAAGACGAGCCCCCGGTGTTGATTTCGCGATATACAACTATAACCCTAACCAGTCACAGCCAATGAGCAAGCGTCGCATATTGGATTCGCGAACAAGGTAGATGCAGGTTGGTTGCGCGTACTAAAACATTACCACCTTCAACTGTCTTGCAGAACCACACGACACCAGCGGAACTCGAGCTTCGAAGAAACTGATGTGACAACCTCAAACGAGGACAATTATTCTTTCGATCTACTTGCACGAACACTACCACACTTGCGATGGACACCACTCGCGCGCACTGGAATGTAATATTATTGCTGTGTAATGGATTAATGCTATTCAGAAGTAAATGGTCACTTGTGCGCTGTGCGAGTATATATGCGCCTGAATGTTGTATTCATTTGTCGTACCACTGAATTTCATTCGGAGTCAATGTATGAACATTTGGAAGTTCCTATCGAAGGCAGTACGATGTCGTAGATATACCCTATCAAGTTCAGTAGCTGCGCCATTGAAAATCAGCCACTGAAGTCCACATGTTTTGGGGGATTTTTTTGATAGTCGATTTACACACCCGATAGTACATAGATACACAGAAAACTCGGCCCTGAGCAACCACTTCACCCGGTATTTGTTTTCCTTCATCCTGGTCGGAACAATCATGCGTACTCCATTTCGATTTCGTGCTGTTCCTGCTGCTCATGCTGCTCGAATGACGGTGGCAGAGTCCAGCATATGCAATCTTCGAACGCCGTACTGATATGTGCGCACTGGTCGTCGGCATGCGAATTCCAAATGCCGATGATAAGGCGGGGCGCGATGATAAATGGCGCGGTATTGACGAACATCTCCGAGAGTATCATCACTGGCGTCTGTGTGTACACGTTAGAGCTGATCTCTCTAGAATCATGGCATCACCATACCGAAAGTTTAGGGGCCCATACTATCGTCAATAAGATTTGGTCTAGCAAGTTCCTAGCGGGATTTCGTGAATAGTTGCAGAGAACTGATTAGACGAAGGGGAACTTACAGGATGAAGTATATGATATGACTTCGAACGATCACGAGTATATATACGTTGGGCTTCATTTTGATTTCTTTTCGTTCTTTAAGGTGCTTCACGAGGATGACAACGGCAAGAATAACTAGAGAGATATCCCAGCATATGATCGGGATGGAAGTATATAATGCGGGCATAGGCCCTAGGTTGAAGGTTTCCGTGCAGTACCTGACGTTTGGAGTTACTATTTCTACCGCTATACAACGAGACGTCAGCTGGCACACAATTCGATCCAAATAGAAATTCACCCGAAAATGCTACGGGGCGACTATATAAAAATATATCCATCCCTATGTCGAGCCCGATGATAGGTATGAACAACCCCAGTAGCACATAAAGTAGGGTCCTGGATTGGTTGTATAGGGCGTAAAGACGCCATATGAGAACCACTGCAGACGTAAAATAGGTACCCACAACTCGATGCGAGAATGCATGACTTACTTTCCGCCAACCAGAAATAAACTGAGAATCCCCATTCCAATGTAACGCCAAGAACGTAGCCTGTTTCAATTGTATGATAAGTGAATGCAGTTCAAGTCGAAGACAGTACACTTGCAGCTAAATAAGAGGTTAGTGATCAGGCTTAGTTGTAAAATAAACTTCTGACGTACGGCTGAAACTAGGTCAACCCGGAATCCCTTAAAGAAAGAAAGCATTGATGCACTCACCTCATATGGCATGTACACCATACCTCCCCCTAGTGCTAGTCAGCTAATGATGGCCCAGTTGGCATAACGTCACATACAGCAGGCGCAAAGCCTAGGTCAATGTCAATATACAATACACCATCTGAAGGACAGAACAACCGCGACGTACAATGAAATGACAAGACCAAAATACCGAACCTGGCATAGCAATAAAATATCATGAAGCACTTTAGCAAGGCGGAACTCACAGCGAAGTAAAGACACGCCATTAGTGACCACTTTCTTGTCTAGATATTCAATCAATGTCCGGAGCTTGATATCATTTCGAGTTGAATACCAACCCAAAAAAACTTGACCTACGACAATGTGATCATGAGTACTCGACCAAGAGAAGACAAGCTCTTCATCACCTCTTTCTCGAACTGAAGGACTAGATCATTTTGCGCTCAGTCGCGGTACAAGGTTCATGAAAGCTACTGACTGTAGTCATAGGACAACAGGGCAAACATCGCCACTGGAAAAACGATGAAGTTCAGCATGATGCTTCATCCAAATCCAGGTCAAACGGAGCAAACGAACCTCCTGCATTGTTATTCCAACGCAGAGCATAGGCAAGTTCTACGTCCGACATGAGGCTGCAGATCAATTGGCGAATCAAGAAGTACGTGATAGACCGTCAGAGATCACTGACGCAGATACTTATAAGGGACGTAATTTTGTTATCTTGCCAGGGTTGTTGGTGGAATGGAAGTGTACGACATGTGTCCGAGCTTGTGTCACCGCATTTCTTGTCGGTGTCACGAATCGCAGTTCTCAGCAATTAACTACCAACGGAAGGGTCAAAGGTTATCAATGCTCACACGACTGACAATAGTGGCATGGTGGCATACTCTACCCGTCCAACGCTTGTGTTCGGGTGCTTATCTAGCCCTACATAGGCTGGAGACCATGGGATGATGTCCCACCGCCATCTGAAATTTTGCATGTGACCTCGACAATCAAAACCTCAGCCTTTGCGCTTGCAGGCCGACAATAGGTTGACGTCCATGCGGAAAACCACCCCTTGGGTGGGCGTGGTTACGCTGTCTTCGAGTGTGAGTAAATGAGGAGGACATCGGCCATCAGCGAAAGATTCTATCTTAGATTTTATGGGAAAATAACCACCTCGGCTATATGCGAAACAAAGGTGAGGGTCTCGACCCTCGAGGGAGGAATGGAAAGCAGAGACGACGGGAGCAACACTATGGAAGAAGAGGGTAGAGCTATGAGCCATGAGCCATGAGTGAATTGAGTCCAATTGTGCTAGGCTACCACCCCTGGGTCAACTCAACTAGGTCAGTCGCCGATTTTCTGCACCAGGCAGAAGGAATTCATTCAAGCAAGATTTGGAAATACAGGGTACCCGACAAGGCGATCGTCTACACACCACTGGCAGCTGACACATCGTGTACGTGCTCCCCAAAAGCAATTGTAGTCATGGCAGTCCCTTCGTCAGAGTCAGCCACGAGCTTGGCGTTAAATTCTCGAACGCTAAGAATGAGGCGTGGCCCTAGCACAAACAACTGCATGAACAAGGAAATTTGAAAGGCGCCGTCATAAATATTGATTCCCAAAGAAGTTGAGTTCTGTAGAAATGATGAGTGGTCGGATGCAGATATCAGCCACAGATTGACCAACCGAAACATTTGGAGAAAGCGAGCCGAGGTCAAAGCAAGCAACAGCAGCGTAGCTAGCACGTCGCGGAAATTTAACAGAACGAGATAACAAAATTCAAATCAGGAGCTTACGCTGCAAAGTAAAACACGTGTGTTTTGATTAACACAGTAAAACAGTCCCCGAGGGTCGATCCTGTGGACGATCGTCGCAATTCACGGAAGTGTTTTATGACAATCCAGGCTGAAAGAAACATGGTGAGGATCTCCCATGCGGTGACGATTATCCAAGTGTCGGCGATTAGAGATTCAGAGCTCGCAAAGTCGTAAGCGCACTGATTGATGCCGTAGAGAACAAGCTCCTCTAATATTGATCCGATGAGCATATGTAGTTCAGTCTTTAATGTGAAAGCTTACCCCCTGACACACGACTGCTTGTGATTCCGATGATAACTCCACCGGCGAGTGTGACAGCCGAGAAAATTACGATGAGAAAGATGAGCATCTTTCTCGATGCCTGATACATGGCATGTAACCGAGTGATGATAATGACTGACATGATTTAGGTCAGTCCGGTATCACTGAAGTATGCGGCTGGGTAGCTCACCGCCGAGCATGGTGACCACGATGAAATTCACCCATGATGATATGATGTTAAGGATAGTACCTTGACATGGTGACTGATGAGCCTTGGAAGATTAAGGGCTTCAAACAAAACTCACAGCTGTAGCGGTGGTTACATTGAACCAAAAGCCGGTCAAGAACTTACTCACCCCTATGTAAAAGTACAGTTACTCGTACGGGAACGGCAATCATCAGTGGGAATACTCACCACATCTGTCACCGAGACGGTCGGGAGACTCCCTGCGTGCCGCCAGTCAGAAGAAAAACACGCCGTATGTGGGAGACATACACAGTATGGTGATGCTGATTGTGAAGAGCGGCTGATTAGCACAGTGCCAAATTGTTGGCCTTGCAGACGTACGCAGAGAAGAGTACTCCAATGTAGCGCACCTAGAACATTGTGAAGTCACAGCACAACGTTGCCAACTGCCATAAGCTACGTACGCCGAAATAGAGAACACTCATGAGGGACCAATGTTGCCTCTGCCACGAATCAATTGTCTTATGATCTCGTTGTTGTGATGAGATTCTGCTCACCCAGACCAGTTCGAACTACAAATCATTGTCAGTAAGATGGCTGCTCCGGCAATGACACCAACCCACCTCTTGACTGAGTGTCAGCGCTGGAGAATATTATGGGTACACTAAAACAGCATCACTACTAGCTTACTCACCCCAATCATATATTACCGCAACGGAAGATGCAACTGCGAAACCAGAGGCAAACCTAGAGTGAGACTCATCATGAACATCATCAGACTGAGGACCGTTACCTGCAAAGTAGCTGAAAAGAATGTTGTAATTGATTAGCGGCAGCCAACTGGGATCGTTCGAGACTAAGGTCATATTCAAGGGATAGTTAGCGGTACACTGAGCTAAGTTGGTGGAGCATAACGATGGCGTTCGTGCTAATAGATATACCAGCGCCTTCAATGTTCATCGATGCATCGCCCGACATAGATATTATGATGTGGAACAACAACCCGTTCCTGGTCATTGATGACCTTGATAGATGCCCAAGTAATTCTGTTGTATTAAATCAAGTAGAAAGGAGACCCTGGGAGATCGTTGACTGCCCTTGATTGAATCAAAGTGGGTGTGGGGCTATGTGGGGGTTTTGAAACTTTTGATTGTAGATCTGTCACGCGCGTAGAATGTTTAGACACCGAGTTTCCAAAAATTACGAACATCGTGGGTTCTTCCAAGCATATGCCGTTGTCGAGCTGTTTTCGCCATAATCAGGCCCTCTCTCAACCCCAGTCTCTGGGGCCCGGGGAGCGTACCAGCTCATCCAGGATCTGGCAATCTATTAGCAAGTCGAAAATCGAAATATAGGACAGGTTTCGGTTGTACAGTGTTAACGTTGGGACTCGTGTCAGTGGTGATGTAAAGTTTGAGTGTAACTATGATGATGTAAACAAACAAACAATGCAAAACACCGTCACAAGACCGATTTCATTGAAGTCTGAGGACACACCAAATAATAACATAACGCCATGTCCAGAGTGCTCCCACCTCTTGAAGCCACTGATGCGCACTTGCACACACAGGGAGACAATCGTCGGCATCGCAACCAGACACGGGTTTCGTGCAATGTCTTCAGGAATATTAAATTTGGATAACAATATGCTTTCCCTGCCGCTGATCGACGTGATCGTCGCCAAATGTTTACACCCTGAATTTACCCTCTCCATGTCGATTATCGTTCTCATGCAGGTGACAGTGTGGCGCGCGATCATCATCTCTATGCATTCCATCAGTCCCGGGCATCTGGACAGTTTGGATTTCAAAACAAGTCCCAATCTTCTCACCCCTCTTAGACGTTGAACTTCCGAAGGGTATGTTTGGAGGCGTGGTTCTTGGCGATGGCAGTGGTGGGTCATTTGTCTGGTGTGGTTAAATCTTTTACATTGGTTTTTGGCTGTTCTGCTGTATGGCGATCGTGAATTGTGATAGATCCTTGTTGTAAGACCTTTATCACTCCACGGTGAGCAAGGCGGGTAGTTGGAATTATCGAGACGGCAGGCAATAAATCTTGTAGAGGTTATCATGCTGATTCCTGGTATTGAAGTGTGGTAGAAAACCTCTCAAGAACAGCATTAATATTGAAAACAACTTCCAAAAATCACGAACAGCATTCTGCGGGCGTTCAGATATTTCGTACGTGTGCATAGTCTTCTCGAGCTGGCCTAATGCGAATATTTTTACCACTACCTAGTGGTAGCTGCAATGCGACTGAAAGCGAGAGAAACGAAAGGACAAGAGTGGCCGGCCCATCCGTGAGTGAGTGACCAAGTAAGCATTAATATTGTTAACAAATCACAACAAAATGCCAGTCAGGAACAGTGTCGCATTCTGTCGAAAAGGGCTTTATAGGAGATGAGTTTTCTTATACGATTTTGATCGACAGAATGTAGATCTTATCACACTGATCATCTGGGACGAAAACAGGCCAAACCGAGCCTGCCAGATGGTCGCTCGCGGTGTGCTGTGATGTCCATCTTCGATAAATCAGCAACGATGACCTTGGTCACCGCGGATGCGTCCTTGCAGTCAACTTTTGGCAGCAACGGGACATGCCTACTTTGCTGTATCTCTGGGCCTCGTACAAATTGGAAATTCTAATGACCTTTGAGATTCGTAACTCCAGCAATAATTTTCTCGAGCCCAGATTGCTATCCCATCAATCAAGATACTCCTTGACTAGGACATCGATGGAAGGTCCCCATGAAGGAACCTTTGCAAGACCGTCGATAAATCGTTTCTCAACTTCAGCGTGATAGCGTGCTGCCCAAACTATTGCACCGCCTCTATCGGGGCCGAGTTCTAACATGCTAGCAGTGATTCAGTTGTGGTTTTCGTTCCCAGTCGCTTGCTCTCTGTTGCACAAAATTATGTCTGTGATCAGACCGCAAACCATACATTCAACAACGTGGAGATGTAAGACTGGATGTCACGTTCTGTAGACTCGCCTAAGATTTCATCCATGGAAATATGACGAACATGTGACGCGGGGCGGAGGGCATCCCCAATGTCTTCGATGGGGCGAGAGGTGATGATGATATTTTGGGGGATTTTTTGATAGTCGATTTACACACCCGATAGTACATAGGTACACAGAAAAATCGGCCCTGAGAAACCACTTCACCCAGTATTTGTTTTCCTTCATCCTGGTCGGAACAATCATGCGTAGTCCATTTCGTACTGTTCGTGCTGTTCATGCTGCTCATGCTGCTCGAATGACGGTGGCAGAGTCCAGCATATACAATCTTCGAACTCTGTACTGATATGTACGCACTGGTCGTCGGCATGCGAATTCCAAATGCCGATGATAAGGCGGGGCGCGATGATAAATGGCGCGGTATCGACGAACATCTCCGAGAGAGACATCACTGACGGCTGTGTGTGTACACGTTAGAGCTGATCTCTCTAGAATCATGGTATCACCATACCGGAAGTCCAGGGGCCCATACTATCGTCAATAAGATTTGGTCTAGCAAGTTCCTAGCGGGATTTCGTGAATAGTTGCAGAGAACTGATTAGACGAAGGGGAACTTACAGGATGAAGTATATGATATGACTTCGAACGATCAGGAGTACAAATACGTTGGGCTCCATTTTGAATTCTTTTCGTTCTTTAAGGTGCTTCACGAGGATGACAACGGCAAGAATAACTAGGAAGATATCCCAGCATATGATCGGGATGGAAGTATATAATGCGGGCATAGGCCCTAGGTTGAAGGTTTCCGTGCAGTACCTGACGTTTGGAGTTACTATTTCTACCGCTATACAACGAGACGTCAGCTTGCACGCAATTCGATCCAAATAGAAATTCACCCGAAAATGCTACGGGGCGACTATATAAAAATATATCCATCCCTATGGTGAGCCCGATGATAGGTATGAACAACCCCAGTAGCACATAAAGTAGGGTCCTGGATTGGTTGTATAGGGCGTAAAGACGCCATATGAGAACCACTGCAGACGTAAAATAGGTACCCACAATGAGATGCGAGAAATTAGAATGCATGACTTACTTTCCGCCAACCAGAAATAAACTGAGAATCCCCATTCCAATGTAACGCCAAGAACGTAGCCTGTTTCAATTGTATGATAAGTGAATGCAGTTCAAGTCGAAGACAGTACACTTGCAGCTAAATAAGAGGTTAGTGATCAGGCTTAGTTGTAAAATAAACTTCTGACGTACGGCTGACACTAGGTCAACCCGGAATCCATTAAAGAAAGAAAGCATTGATGCACTCACCTCATAGGGCATGTACACCAGACCTCCCCCTAGTAGTGCTAGTCAGCTAATGATGGCTCAGTTGACATGACGTCACATACAGCTGGCGCAAAGCCTAGGTCAATGTCAATATACAATACACCATCTGAAGGACAGAACAACAGCGACGTACAATCCAATGACAAGACCAAAATACCGAACCTAGCATAGCAATAAAATATAATGAAGCACTTTAGCAAGGCGGAACTCACAGCGAAGTAAAGACACGCCATTAGTGACCACTTTTTTGTCTAGATATTCGATCAGTGTCCGGAGCTTGATATCATTTCAAGTTAAATACCAACCCAAAAAAACTTGACCTACGACAATATAATCATGAGTACTCGACCAAGAGAAGACAAGCTCTTCATCACCTCTTTCTCGAACTGAAGGACTAGATCATTTTGCGCTCAGTCGCGGTACAAGGTACATGAAAGTTACTGACTGTAGTCATAGGACAGCACGGCAAACATCGCTACTGGAAAAACGATGAAGTTCAGCATGATGCTTCATCCAAATCCAGGTCAAACGGAGCAAACGAACCTCCTGCATTGTTATTCCAACGCAGAGCATAGGCAAGTTCTTCGTCCGACATGAGGCTGCAGATCAATTGGCGAATCAAGAAGTACGTGATAGACCGTCAGTGATCACTGACGCAGATACTTATAAGGGACGTAATTTTATTATCTTGCCAGGGTTGTTGGTGGAATGGAAGTGTACGACGTGTCCGAGTTTGTGTCACCGCATTTCTTGTCGGTGTCACGAATCGCGTTTCTTAGCAATTAAGTACCAACGGAAGGGTCAAAGGTTATCAATGCTCACACGACTGACAATAGTGGCATGGTGGCATACTCTACCCGTCCAACGCTTGTGTTCGGGTGCTTATCTAGCCCTACATAGGCTGGAGACCATGGGATGATGTCCTACCGCCATCTGAAATTTAGTAATTCTGTTGTATAAAATCAAGTAGAAAGGAGACCCTGAGAGACCGTTGACTGCCCTTGATTGAATCAAAGTGGATGTGGGGCTATGTGGGGGTTTTGATTGTAGATCTGTCACGCGCGTAGAATGTTTAGACACCGAGTTTCCAAAAATTGCGAACATCGTGGGTTCTTTCAAGCATATGCCGTTGTCGAGGTGTTTTCGCCATAATCAGGCCCTCTCCCAACCTCGCTCTCTGGGGCCCGGGGAGTGTACAAGCTCATCCAAGATCTGGCAATCTATTAGCAAGTTGAAAATCGAAATATAGGACAGGTTGTACAGTGTTAACGTTGGGAGGAGGTGTTGGTGATGTAAAGATTGAGTGTAACTATGATGATGTAAACAAACAAACAATACAAAACACCGTCACAGGACCGATTTCATTGAAGTCAGAGGACACCGTGACACACCAAATAATGACAGAACGCAATGTCCAGAGTGCTCCCACCTCTTGAAGCTTGAAGCCGCTGATGCACACTTGCACACACAGGGAGACACTCGTTGACATCGCAACCAGACACGGGTTTCGTGCAATGTCTTCAGTAACATTACATTTGGATAACAATGTGCTTTCCCCGCCGCTGATCGACGTGATCGTCGCCAATATGTTTACACCCTGAATTTACCCTCTCCATGTCGATTCACATTCTCATGCAGGTGATAGTGTGGCGCGCGCTCATCATCTCTATGCATTCCATCAGTCCCGGGCATCTGGACAGTCTTATTTCAAAATCAAGTCCCAATCTTCTCACCCCTCTTAGACGTTGACCTTGGGGTATGCTTGGAGGCGTGGTTCTTGGCGATGGCAGTGGTGTTTTTGGCTGTTCTGCTGTATGGCGATCGTGAATTATGATAGATCCTTGTTGTAAGACCTTTATCGCTCCACGGTGAGTAAGGCGGGGTAGTTGGAATTATCGAGGCTGCGGCAGGCAATAAATCTTGTAGAGGTCATCACGCCGATTCCTGGTATGGAAGTGTGGTAGAAAACCTCTCAAGAACGGCATTAATATTGAAAACAAACTTCCAAAAATCACGAACAGCATTCTGCGGGCGTTCAGATATTTCGTGCGTGTGCATAGTCTTCTCGAGCTGGCCTAATGCGAATGTTGTTACCACTACTTAGTGGTAGCTGCAAAGCGACTGAAAGCGAGAGAAACGAAAGGACAAGAGTGGCCGGCCCATCCGTGAGTGAGTGACCAAGTAAGCATTGTTAACATATCACAACAAAATGCGTCAGGAATAGGGAGTGCAATGAGACAATGCAACAACGAGGATCATACCTCTCGAATCTGTTGAGCGATTGTGATTCTTCGACTTGCGGTTTTTCATCCACGGTAGCTGAAAAACAACCAAGGCCGCTATTGAGTGATGCAGTTGCTCATAATTGAGTACTATGAACATTCTTATTACTGGTAACCACGAAGTCTCAGTAGCTGCTACGAGACGCCAAGCTACCATCTCCTGGTTCTTTCTCATACAAACAATAAAAAATCAATCATTTCGAGGCTTCTTCCCTTGATTGTTTGGCGGAGCCGATGTCTCATCTCCCGGTCTGAGCCTCTTCTGCTTCAGGAGGTTGGGGAGCGGACAAAGTTTTATCTGATGAAGCCCAGCACGTGTTTGCGCATCATCGAGATATTCTGCAGCTCTTTTGTGCACATCTTCCCGAAGAGCGTCGCTAAGCACTACCGAGGGATACTCTGCCTCCGCCATTCGATAGCCATCGTGGAGAGCTTTTGCGAAATGAGGAATAAGATAAAAAACATCAAGGCACGTTTTTGAAAGGACAGTATTGCAGCTATTGTAGAATGTTGGAAAGTGGGTGAAGAAGTCCTGGCGTGATGTGAGGCCGACCGCACCAGGGAAGGCCAACTGGAATTGTTGCCACTGAGTATCAAAGCGATGGCCGGCGTTCGCTGTTGTTGTGTCCGTGTGATAGAAGAAGATCCAGGTAAAAGCCCACCATACAGATTCGATGTCGTGCAAGAAATTCATGCGAAATGGAGGGGTGATCAGGGAGCTACCAAGCGGAGGGGGGTCGATAGTTGGGGGGAATAAATAATTCTGGTTTTCTACTTCCACCGCCATGAAATGCATTGTTCCCTGTCGACGGGTTAACAGCGCAAGAGATCATCTTCAAAAAAATCTTACCGTTCGAACATCATGATGAGTAGTGTTTGGATCTATCTTTTTCGCGTACTCGAAGTCACCCAATTTCCCGATACCCTCGACCCAAATTACGTTCCCGACGCTGAAATCGCGATGAATCCAGCCTGCTTTGTGCAGATAATACAAGGCTAAGGTTGAATGAGCAACTGAGGAAAGGAGAGTGACAGTGGTTTGCTCACCCTTAAGTGCGCCGGACAAGCAAGTCAGAATGTCGGCTAAAGAGGTGAGTTCCTTGATAACGACTCCGACATCATGGAAGACAGTGCGAGTATGGACTCTGCGTGGGATGCCAGAGTCGGGTACATTGCCTGTGCTAAATGAATATGGTTTCGCGGAGAAGATGGAATTGGGATCGATGGACACCCAGGTGTGATTATACTCTTCTACAACCATCGGGTCCAGCGTCTCGTCTCCGGTATCGTCGATTACGACATCCCCCCAGAGCCGGACTCCAACGAAGTGCCTCTTGGCATCTTCCAACTCATCCGGTTGCAGCGTCTCCGCACAGGAAGCCAAGATGTTTTCTAGGATCTCGCCCTCTGATTGACGTCCAACTTCTCTCCATGAATCTTTGATGGCAACCTTCTTTCCCTCGGCGTCTGTGGCTTCGTACACGCGAGTTCCACGCCCAACCATAGAGTCTGCGCCGTAGGTTGCAAGTTCACATGTCGTGGTGAACACTTCGTCCCCGATAGTGAACTTGTATTGGAAATCCTTCCCATCGTGGATCCGCTCGACAGTGGGGTCCCATCCGAGCAATTTCATAGTAGAAGACGCAGACGCAAGAGCATAAAAGAGCGAGATAACACCATCGATGTTCTAGATGTAACATGCCAGTTAGCACCCTGACGCACAGCGCGATACGTTTGCGTACCTCGAAGAAGTTGATAGGTTCTGTAACCGCAAGGAGCGCGCGATTGCTGAGCCACAGTCTCAATTGTGTGTCCTCGATTGTAATACCGAACGCAAACCGACGAAGAGGATCCTCGCGCATGATATTGTGAAGGCTCCAGAATATCTTCTTTTCGTCCTAGAGCAGACTTTGTGAGCGGACGCCGACAAGATCTATAACAACTTACATCCCAGAGAGACTGGATATTCTGTTCCTTCTTAAACTCGAGTGGCACAGCAATATCGAACCAATGTATCTTGGGCTCGGTTTTGTTGTTGTTAAGTACAAGGTATCCATCAGGCCTGGAAGTATTGTTGCGCTCCGAGAGGGGTGTTCCGTTTGGGTTCGCTAGGAAGGACACTCCGCGTTTCGGGACTTCTGCCAAAATTTCAGCGATGATGCGACCGAGGGGCTTAAACGCATCCTCTACGGACTCTTTCGATGAGGCAGGTGGGGTAAGATCCGTCCACCGCAAGCCGCTCTCGTCGTCAGTGAGAATCTTTCTCTTCGTCAAGTTGTTGCGTATCCCCTGCAGATCCTGCTGAGAGGGCATGGCACCAACGCATTTCACTAGGCATTCGAATGGAACCTGCAGATGCCTTCTCAAATCAGCGAGAATGGCAATGCGGCCTAGATAATCATCGTATGAGGTATGACGAGCGACTGGAACTGTATCTGGCGGTAGCATTTGGGAATTCTGTGAAAGGCTGCGAGAAGCATGGAAATGAAAATACGGCAGGCGCTGGTCCTCGCTGGTCTGTGTTGGTATCAATTGATGGCTGTCTGACTGTCATTTTCCTATATTTTGTGATCTGAGACATTTGGCGGAGCTTCCGGGGGCCTTCACCGGTGCATGAGGGTGGGGCGATTATGTAATCGAGGGTTAGCGATTTTGTCCTGACAAGTCTCCTCAGTGCCAAACCTATTGATGGATTACCAGTCACTTTAGGAGCTGATATCATGTTGCATTACCATCCACACTTCAACGAAGCTCACAGGCGGGGATGCTGCAAATGTCCACATGAAGGCCAAAAATCGCAGGCCAGGAGCATTTCAATTCCTCTCGAGCTCGCAAATTATCCTTGAGATGTGCAACGACAATTGTGAACTCATTGTAACGTTAACACGACTGAATTCGTATGAAATCTAATTGTCCTAAGATTTGATTTGATTGTTACATGACCATGATGGATGATATCGTGCGTAGTTGACTTGAAGCTTGAAGATGAAGCAATAGATGCAGTGGATATAACACTACCACACTTGACGACGACCAAACCACAGAAGAAACAGTGCCCATGATGTCATGATTTTGTCTCATTTCGGGCTTTCTTGTCTGCCAGCTCCTTTTGAAGCCAAACAGAGACATCTTTGGCCGCCTCCCAAGGCCGGTTCTTCTGTGACATCAAATAACCCTGCAACGCAGCCATCGACACCCCGCGTTCTGGGATAGCCGATGCAAACTGTGCAGCAAGCGCAAAAAGCTGTTCGCTCGAGAGCTTTGGTGCATGTCCACGGTGGCGTGTACCTATGTACGTGGGAGCCACGCGCTCAGGTTTTTCAGAAGAGGCCGAGGAAGGAGATTGGGGAAGGGAGCTGGCGGTATTGTCTGGGACGCCAAGATCAATCAGATCAGTGGAACTGCCGTCACCTGTGGAGCCATTGGGATGTGCTTGAGCAGGACTCGATTTCTCTTTGTCGTCATCCGAGGCGGGCTTGTGTGATGAAGGAAGGTAGAAACGCTTAAACAGCTCATCTGCCTGGTATTTGCTCGCGAGCTTAAACTCAACATGGAGGTCCATACGGCCGGGACGACATAGAGCAGGGTCAAGGGACGAGTACTTGTTTGTCGTAGCGAACAGTATTCGCCCCTCTTGTGCGCCAATGCCGTCCAATGCGTTGAGCAGGCCACTGAGCGAAACCTTGCTAGATATGGGAGCGGGCGGGGGGGCGGGGGTGAGCTCCGCTTGGTTAGGTGGCGTAGTAGGAGCATCTTCTCGCGTGATACTGTGATGGAGGGCCGCGTCGATGTCTTCCATGAGAGCGATACATCTCTCGGGCAAATCTGAAATGAGTTCTGAAAGCCCAGTGTCGTCAAGCCCACTGCGGGAGAGGGAAATGATGTAGACATCAAGCGCCAGCTCGCCCGCGATGCTATGAATCAAAGACGTTTTCCCCGAGCCAGGTGCACCATACTGCAATGACAATTCGATGAGCATCATAAAAGAACTCTTAGGACGAAAGGATCTTACTAGCAAATAACCACGGCGGAAAGGAATTCCTAGAAACAAGTTTATCGACAATTTCACTCCAATTCTGAGAGAACGCACCTCGTTCAGCATACCACCTTTTGCTGGCAAGGAAGTCTTGCGCGTCCTCGACGACAAGTTCCCGAATACCAGGATCTAGGATAATAGAATCTAGAGGCCGCTTGCGCCTTGTAGCAAGTTCTCTCCAAGAGTTCGAGCTGCAACGCGTTAAAGGGGAAACATCTATTATTGTATGACTCACGAATCAGAAACATAGACAGTAATGGAGCTGCTTTGCGCATCTTGATAAGCATTTTTGGCATCTTGTAGGATAGCGTTTAGAATGTCATGGTTGCGCGTGAGAATGCTGTTTAGCAGAAGATAAAACAGACGATTTAACTGATGTCTGGAGAAAGTTTACCTGATATTCAATGTGTCCTTGCGACCCCCCCAACCAGGTACTGTCTCCGAAATACGGGTAACCTGCATCCATCTGTATTTGTACCATAGGGTATATGACCCAGAAGCTGCTGGCAGATAAGAGACTTTGGGCATCCCAGATGGGTTAAGCTCGTCTTCGGAAGGAGATAGATTCCCCAAATACCCTTCGCCAAAGGAAGAGGCGCTGATATTTACATTGCGCACATTCTCTGTAGACCGACATGAATATATTTAGAAAATTATCCCAGTGGTCGATCAGAAGGCTTACTCCAAGCTGGTTGCTTCGATAGCCAGACCATCATCCATTCTGTCAAAGATAACACTTGTTATTGATTGCAATATAATCAACCAAATGTCACTCACTGTAACTTTCATCGTAATCCTCAAATGATGCGGTGAGGAAGAAAGAATCAATCGTGGATGACCAGACTGTGGCAAGGAGGCGTCGGCAGGTCTCAAAGAAGCTACCGATGATCAAAAGCTTCGCCCAGTCTCTCAGAGCAGAGATCGAAAGAACGAGGGAGATCAATGAGCCAAATCCATTCAAAGCGGCAGGTGCCATCATATGCGGTGAAGTGCCATTGGTACTAGTCACGGTAGAGTTTGGACTTGAAGTGTTCGAGGCTGCAAGCTGCAGAAGCTGCTCGACGAGGTCTCATCACTAAATAGAAGGTAGCTCGGTATGACCTGATGCTGATTACATATGATAATCTACCAAGTTGTGTATATACATAGCTTGATATCAAGTTATAATGCTCGGGGCACTCCTAGTAAATTACTTCTTACACTACAGAACGCAGACTCGTAGACCATACTTCTCTCATTTCATATCTAAGGCTGGCAAGGGAAAATCATTTGTTCACAAGTGGACCACGTGTTAGCTAATAGCATCAACAAGAAATCATGTGACCAGAGCATTGGCTTGGTCTTGGCGATGGATAGAAATATCTGGTAAGAATTCCAGTGCAACGGCAATATTCAAACTTACCGCTACACTCCTCTCATGTCATTACAAGGGGAAATTATTTTGTCACCATTAGATCACGAGTTAGCTGCTAATTCCCAGTGAAAATAAGCAAGATAGAGGTGGATGTATGTTGATAGCTATTGATAGAAATTTGTAGTTCGATCAATGGCTATCGTGAAAAATGAGACTTTTCTCGATTTTATTGATAGAGATCGAACGAGCAAAATATACAGATCGATACCCGTTCGATTTCGTTCCAGGTAGTTTTTACATTTGCAATTGAACCACGTTGATAGACAATGAAACAAATGAATTGGATGATAGGTATTGCTATACAGGGATATACGTTGATGCAGAATGAAACACGACGATGCAGAGCGAAAAATGATGAAAAAAAAACAGCACCCTACTAGCGCCGTCCACCCAGCTCGCGCCCGCCATCCGCTACTCGTCCCCATTCAGATCCAACGAACTCCTCCTCAGTGTTGCATCGAGGCCCACTGCCAGTGGTAGCGACTGGCGCCAATGTGTTCGTAGCCAGCTGTAGAAGAGGATAGTTAGCTCGTGTATACTAATTAGTAGGAAAAAACACACCAATCAATGTACCCGCTCTACATGCCATAGCCGTAGCTCTGATAAGGATCATTCAATGACCCAGCAACAGCGACCGTGCCAAAAGGGCTCACGTTAGCATATCCAGCAACGTCCGTATAGCCAGTGGCATTGGTATGAGGGGGTGTCAGGCTCGCGCTGTGAGGAGAGGTGCCTTGCAAGACACATCCGTCGTTCGAACGCGCTTGACGACCGTGGGGGACCGATGTGAGAATGACCGTAGGCGAATGCCTTCGACGAGGAGCATATGCTGTGCAGGATCAGCATAGTCTAGCGCAGTCAACAAGAATGACCAGCCCAAACCATAAATGTGCGAAAGAAAAATAGTATCTGCACACAATAGTGAGTTGCGAGAAAGTTTCTCCAAGCGGGAGCGATTGAGTAGCTCTTCGATCACAATTTTCCTGGTACTGTGTTCGGCCACACAGATGCACTAATCCCAGTCGGCATGAGAACGACCATCAAGACAGAAAAAATACTTGCTTTCTCAATGACATTAGAGCTAAACTTCTGGACATACCATGCATGTTCAACGAAATGTTGATGAGATCCTGAGTGACGGACTCACAAATGATGTTTCGCTGATCATCAGTGGAGAACTCGGGGCACTTTCAGCAGAGGTAGAAGTGCTCGCATCATTGACGCTGTTACCAGACCAAATGCTCGAGTCGAGATCTTACGAATTAAGCCAACCGCTGTCCAAGCCGATTGCTGTCCACGACTGTTCAACCCATAAGGGTCTTCGACACGATATTGTTCGAAACCCATGGAAACGTTGCCATACTGGCCGGATGACAAGTGAGAGAGAAAGTTGGCACTGATCGCGTCGTGCTCATGGCAGGGGAGCCCCGCCTAAATCCAGGTGCTTTCCTGGTTGAACCAAGAGACGCTCACATATGTTGACCTGCACGGAGAGTTGCAACTCCACCACCAAGGGTGGTAGTAGACAAATCGATTGGTGAAGATGTCGCCGCACCCAAAGACTGCCCAACAGGATGTGGTGTAATGATGGCGGGAAAGAAAGGGGTGTTGTGGATGGTCGCTGTGTCGAGAACTCGAACTCGTATGCACTGGCAAGTATTTCAAACTCCGATATATTTAGTAACTGTCCGTGGGGTGTCGAAAGAACTACAATTTGGGTCGAAGTGTACAAGTGCGGTGTAGAATGCATAAGGCTGAGTGTGCAGTGAATATTTCCAGAGTCGTGCAGAATACCTGGACCTGTTAGATGACACCAAAAATGTATCCTCATGTGTATTAGATTAGAAATTATCACCCTCGTCGGCATCAGAGTCGTTCTCGTCGTTCTCGTCGTTCTCATCGTTCTCGTCGTTCTCGTTCTCGTTCTCGTCATCATCTCCCTCCTCCTCGTTCCCCTCGTCCCCGTCATCATTCTCTCCCATTTGGCTCTCCTCATCTTCCTCTTCCTCTTCCCCTATCTCGTCCTCGTCCTCCTCACCAGGTTCGTCATGGCTATAGGCTTCTCCTGAATCCTCGCTTGGATCCTCTACTCTCCAGGGTCCGTGGCCGACACCAGCGTTGGTAAAACGAAGGAACATATCACGATCTACAAACCTGCCAATGACATGAGACTATCAAGAAAATCCAAGACGAGGACTCACATATTGACATAGTACGCAGTCCATTCATCGTCCAACCTCCATTTGTGTCCAGCTGATGTTTGCTGTGGTGTGGATTGGAGCACCCTTTCATTTGCGAAGGCTGGAATCAGGTGCACCCCGCGAATCACCAACGCAGGATCGACGAAACCGAAAGCCGAGTCATCAGTCTCGGGTACAAATGCAACTTTTGGCAGACGGGCCGCTTGAATCCCAGAATGGTACCGCCGCACCGGATCAAACCATCGGACAAACAGCATCTCCAACTGAGTTTTTTGTGGATGCGCTCCACCCGATCGTAGGTCAAGTACGTTTACATGGAGAATACGTAGCACTCGAGCATACCAGTAGGGATGAGTTAAGCAGGCCTTTGAATCACCTGATAGCACCATGATATCAGCATGGTTGCGCGGGTTGATCAGATCTTGCTCGCATTGCAGATCATACGAGGTGTAGTTGACCCGTAGCGTATTGACGGAGAACAAAACATTGTCGCATATGACAATGTTATTTCTGTCATCGCTCGAAAATTCGACGAGGCTATCGCTATCTTGTCCCCGCAAGCAACGCAACACGTGGTCCTTGAGTTTCGGAATGAATTTCTTGAAGGGCGGTTTATTAGTTAGCGCACAGAAGCTTGTAAAAATACACACATTGAGCGCTGGATCATTCTCATTGTCCTGTAGTAGTTGGTGTATATAGATAGGAGAATTGCGATGATGGGATAGTTGGTGATGAAGGCGCGGATCCGGGGGCGGAAGATTATCGGGGGAGTCGGGAGCCAAAGACGATTCTTGCTCTAACTCCTGCATCTTTCGAAGCCGGCGTCGGCGCCGTTCGTGTTTGGAAAGCTGCTTGGCCGTATTCTTCTTGTTGGTGAATGGGTAAAATGCCTTGATGGCTCGATGGGCAAGTTCACCCTAAACTCAGTATTCAGTAGAAGCTCATGATAATAATAAACTGGCGCCATACAATTTGTGTTGTGAAGGAATCGGTGGTTCCAAAGAACTTAATGGACTGAACGTAATCTCCAAGGGCGTGAAACTTGTAGGTTTTCATATTGAATGACTTTTTCTTTGGAGAGGATGAAGATACATCAGTAGGCCGGCTTTCATTATGTGCTTGTCGTCGATACCGTGCAGCCTTTTCCTTCGGCAGTTCGAGGGTAGTATAGTGATCACAGACCTGACGACGGAACTTTCGTAGCTGCAAAGTGAGGGAAGTAAACGTTCGTGACATGGAATCCAGGGTTACTTCGGTGTGTAGCCGCATTTTTGCGTAGGCGTGCCATTCAGCGAATCTGAACAGCAGAGTCTGGACTATTGCGTCGTGTGGGGATGGTAGGAGTCCCTCGAAAACGGGCATGGCACACTGCAATATCATCAGTAGCGATTTCCCTAAAGAAAGCATGATGACCTGTAGAATGTCCTCGAAGTCTCTTGCAGCCAACCTCTTCATGCTTGACGTGTCATCGGAGAACTTGCGGATAACACCTCGGCCAAATGTGGGCACAAGTCTGAATCTGACGGTAATCTAAATCTTTCTGCAAGTTCAAAAAGAAGGGACTTACCTTTCATTGAGTGTAATAACAACTTCAGCGCCATTGGGGAGGGCGTATAGAAGGCGGACCAAGTGACTAAAGAGACCCTTCCACGTTCCCAATTCGCATTCATGCATAAGGTCAACGACCAACATGCGAAATGGGTCAAATCCGAAGCGCCCAAGCTTTTGAGCGAAGACATTCTGAATGTCGTGTCTCAGCCAGTAAACGGGACACATGGAATAGTGCTTACAATAGTTGGAACCCATGACTCATGGAAAAGAAGGTTCTCCACTGCAGTTCCATCGACTGCGTACCCGGACTTGTATACAAAATCTCGTGCAGCCTGTATCGTCTGCAAGCAGTAGACCCTTAGACTATCAATCCGCGCGCGCGCATCTCTCAAAAATCCGACATGATCAGATTTTGATTTCGTCACCAGGCAGCGCGGACAGAGACATGATCCCATGTCTTTGATGGTTGCAATAAGTATCCTGGTATTCACATTACATTGGTAGTACGTTACTAGATTTTGCGAGCCCACTCACTTTTCCGGATAATCTGCAGAATATGTGAATATTCGAGGAAATACGCGACGAAGTATGCCATCGGCGCATCTTATCACGATACCATGGTGGTACGCATGGATAAATTCATCATCTAAAAGAATGTCCCAACATCCCTGGAAAAGCTCTCTTCGACAGTGTGCGAAGAGAGCAGCTATACCGCTTTTCGTAACGACCCCAAGGTTTCGGAAGGTATTTTTAATTCGATCTGGGAGCTTCATGGAGTTGTGAAACCATAACGTAGCAGTAGACAAATGACACTCACAGATGGTAAAAATCCGATCAAATGACACGCTCCGGAGTCAGGCTTGGCACGAGCATACTTTGACAAGTTCCCAAAAAACAAGTATAACGGCCACGCCGATGCGTTCCCGAAGTTGGCAAGTTGAGTTGCATCCGAGGAAAACATCAAGCCTGCAATCACTCGCTCGAGAGCACAATCAGGCTCCTTGGGCTGCTTCTGTAGGTCATCGTGAGCTAGTATCCACGCATCTGATGTATAAAGCTCATCATAAACACGATACGTATTCCCATCGTTTGGGTCAGTCCAGAGACGACGAAAGGGCCATAGATGAAATGCCTTCGCTTGAGCGTCTAAAAACGCTTCGCAAATGGCACTGACCAATGGCCGATAGTGAAATCCTGGGATTGTAAACAGATGCCCACCAGAAGCATCCGCTTTCCGACTTGGGACTTCGATAGTCACGTCCGTCTCAATCCAACCTTCCGGAAACTTCGCAGCACCATTAGGTGGATTTTGGTCTGGAGTGCTATCGAGAAGGCTCAGATGCTTCCTCATACTGAAGCCTTGAAGACCATGGACATCAAAATCCTCTGCAAGTAGCACATCGTGCACAAGACGTGAAACCTCCGCCTCCGACTTTCTCGTACTTCCGCTGGACATCCAGTTCAGCAATCGATACACAGTCATGTTCGGAAAAGGATGTGGGGGCGGTGAAATTGATGGAAGGGGTTGTAACGTTGGACATTTATTGACCAGAAGACGTGAGGGAATGAATATGTCCGGTTCGTAGGACGGGCGCTGTGGGTAGTCACGAGATAGACCAAACGCTCCCACGACGTTGCGAATGGATTCAGTGACAAGAAGAATCACCCTTCGGACAACACTTCTGGCTGGTGGTATATCTGTCGCCAGGGTATCTTCGTGTACAACGTCCTGAGTAGAGGTTTCAATATTGCGAACGATGTGTTCCACAGGCCCATCGACGCAATACCGCTTGGGCAGTCTGGTATTTCTTTGCGGTTTAGAGCGAGCTATGTGAAACATTAGCATACACTAAAGTGCAAGGATCGTTTCTCACCAATGCATTCCAAGTTCACGTTACCATCACCGGGAAGAGCACGCAGTTCACCAGAGATGTGATGATCTGATGTGTACCTGGTCAGTGCAAGAAATCAATAGCATTTCCGGGCTTACCAATGTCCATCGTTGATGTATCAATATCTGGGCTTCTGGTCAACATATTGGTACTAGTAGTATCCCGGATGTCAGCATCCATAGGCGACTCAGAAGCATGATTCAAGGGGGCCATCGCCTCGATAATAGGATGTTCAGGCGGCAATACCACATCTGTTGATTCCGTGTTTCTTAGGTCTACGATCTCTGAGGCCGCAATGGCGGAGCACTTGAGATGGTTTTGTAAGCACAAGCATCCGCAGACGATCACATAGAACCTACTGAAGGACCGCGTGTTTTGTCTTTCAATACCTTTGTCGCTATTGCGTTACGCACGCGATCTTTTCGCTTCTGAGACACAGCAAGCACTGTTTTTTTGTATTCAGCACAAGTTTTGCGGTGCAACGTGAGCGCGCGCTGGTCTTGTAATACCCGTTGGCAACCTTGGGCGCCACAGACAAGTCGGACCATCAACACAACGCAGAGTATTAAGATGAGCGATGTTGTGATAGAGAATTTGCTTGTAGAGCAAAGCTGGACCATGGCCCAGGCTTGTCAGCCAGATGACGGTTGTGGTCGACTGTCAGAAGCAATGGCGGGTGTAGTAGTCATGCAGGTAGATTTAGAAATTTTAAGTAAATTAATTCAATGACCATTACGGCTGAAAAAATCGGACACCTTACAGGACTGTAATTTATTTGAGGTCGATGATGTATATGATCAGTGAGCTAGTTTAATACATGTGGTGATGCTCATTGAATATTCCAATGGAAGTGAGGAAAAGTCTATAATCGATTCCTCAGGCTCCAAGCACCATCTTCTTCATGGGCGGTATCACAAAAGACCAACTAAAATTATTGACACAAGCCTAAGCCAGAGCTTGTGGCTTCAGCATAACGCGTTGCATGATATATCTAGGCAAAGGAAGTCAGTTATCAAGATCCTTGTATCGTACAACACCTAGACGTACCTTGCCACTTGTAACAGACCTCAGCTAGGTCAGGATTTGACGGAGCTCCTCTTGGGAGACACCCGCTTCAAAAAGCTTGCACTGCTGAATTGCTAGAAATGAGCGTACAGACAATGTCAGCGCAAAATGACGTTTACCAGTTGCAGAATTTGTGCACGCCTCTGTGCAGGGGTACCCAAGAATTGGACTGTAATGGCACGCTCCCTTTGGCACAGGGTAAATTTAAATTTTCTTAGGAGCTGTGCTCTCAATATCTGGCCAGACGATCCCTAGAAGAGTATATTCAGTCCAGTGTGGGCGGTGAGACAGTCAAAGTGTAACTCACCCTGTTGGGTTCCAACCACCGCTCCATGTTCCGCGCGCAATGGAGATTTACGGGATGAACACCAAACAGGTTAACTTGCCGATGGAGACATCCATAGAGGAACCCAGCGATGCGAAAATGTCATACCAAGAGCGCTAGTATGAGCCGGCTTCAGATCCATAATAACCCAGTACGTAGTAGAGCCGTGCGCAAGGCAACACAGCAGAGCGGCACATAATGAGCCGAAGCGCTTGTTGTTGGTGCAAATATGATGGGTGCAGAACCGAAGGATGGAATATGAATATACACCCGATCATGAGTGCCGATGCGCTGATCTACAGCACTACCAGCACCTCCTGGGCGCCTGAGTCAGTTAACAATCTAGAATAAAGCATTAGTACAACCATAGCAGTCAAAATAAAATATAATAAGAGCCTTCCCAGGACGTCCTTTGATGCTCAGGGACCTAGTCGCACAAGTTAACAGCTGACGTTCACGGATCAGCGCCTGAGCAACTGAAAGTGTCCGCATAATGCGGAGCCGTGCGTAATGCGTGTATCGGCAACTGGAATGAGCGGAGCGTCCAGTGGTACTAGCTGAGGGATACAAACGATAAGTTGGAATATCTCGCTATAGGTTTCGAACTCAGATTGAAAATATCTCGGTAGAAACCGCATTGCCAGCCATAAACTACACACGCACATGCGTGCCATGCGGCGGTTTGGCATTACATAATTGTACAAGATAATGAAAACAAGCAATATTAATATTACTGCGATTCTCACCTGACAGAAAGGTGACAAGGTTTCATTTTCCCACAAAGGCTCAGCGCTCAGTCATGGCAAGGACTGGTAGTACCAGCGTGATTGATGTACATAAGAAATACAAAACCAACTACACTGTACGTAGAGCGTTAATCATGATGAGTAGCAAAGGAAAGCAAGCGCTACGATGTTTGCTATTCCAAAAAAAAAATGTATAAGTTAATATATGGTTACCAGGCGAACATTGCATGGGTCATGCATCATGATCAGCAGGTGGAGTGTCGTTCTTTTGAGCCAAAGACAAGATTGTTTGTTCGGCCTCCTGTTCCTTCCACTTCCAATCCTCCAGTTCTTCGGACAGTGCTCTCAACAACAACATGAACTGATCCACGCGAGCTTGAGCTGCAACCTCGGCCGTTGCGCATTGGCGCGATGTGATGATTTAGCAATCATTAACGCTGACGGGTATCCAGCGTGGGGGTCGGTAATGTGATGCTATATACAATGAGAATTGGTTAACGGGAAAAGTAGTTGATTGACCTACTAAATGCTGCCAAAACTCAATACCAAGTCCCATTCCATCATGTGCGATTGCCGGTGGACTATTGGTGTTCCTCGAGGGTGTCGTTGAGAAGGGAACTTGGAATAGATTTGAGGCACTACCAAGCGAGCGCACCGAAGGTGATTCGGATCGCATGAGTCCCGTAGGGATAGCGTATGTCATGGACATGGCTAGATCTCACAAGTTGAAGTGTGGTTTGACCGTGCGAAATTGGCCTGGTGGTACCTGTTTTTATAGCGGAAATTTTAAAGAATCTTACACCGCACACGTACGGGACGTTAACATTACGAAAGTTCCCTGGCTGAAAGTATTAGCGCCGTGGAGCTGCTGTGGAGCTGCCGTACGTGGAGCAATGACTCCGTCCAGGCAATAGTCAATTAATCTAGAAAGTGTATGATAATGTTAGTGCTTAAAAAGATAATGACCTACCGAATTTTGTCTACCGGCCTTTCGGCGTCATCACTAAACCCGCTTGAATTCTTCATAATGCAGCCTAGCAGCCCAAGCTCTAGATACAACAACAACACATCACTACTTCTCGGATTAGGAGACTCACCAAGTCCTCGCGAATTCCGTTACCTAGCAAACGGTCAAGGGGCACCTTCTGACTCACAAGGATATTATATGTACAGCCAGATTCTTCCAGAATGTCATCGGCCGAGATCTGAGCCAGGTCTCAATGTGCAGGATGATTCCGAGTCCATAATTAGGCCGCGGTCGCCAACACCAAAAGTACCTGGCATTGCAGATGTACAGCCTGATTTGATGCTGAAAGTACGTGAAATTTTTTGAAATTTTATTGATCACTGGATTATCAAACAAACTCACCTGATCCCAAGAACCAAAGGCCTAATTTGAAACGCGCGTTATCAGGTGAATCGCACTCTGGCTGCGGGTCCGGTGGGGTAAGTCTCTCACATTGCCGATTTGAACCGGAAAATCAAACTCACCTTCGGAGCCAGGACTTTGCCAAGAAGCGGTGTGTGGCCTTATCGAGCAGCGCAACTAATACAGCTGGAGGTGTTGATCCATTGGTAGAAAATCTTAGATTGGAGAAAGAATTTGTCAGCTTGTTTCGGGAACAAATCGCCATCTTGGCACGCGTTCTTGAAGTTGTGTCGCAGTAATCAGTAAATACCGCAGTGTTTGTCCATCGTACCATCGTAGAAATTGCCTGACAATACATAATGCCTGTACGGTAAATGAAAGCACATGAGACATTATAATATCAGGCGTCCGCGACAGGGCAACTCTTTCAAGATCCTACTTACTATCTTGACATGTCATTTGACGTGGCCAACCGTCGAAATTTTTAGACGAAGTCGCAACACACACTGGAACACTGACAACAAGACCACCAGTACTAAGTATTGCGAGGGGGGAGGGGGAAAAATCCATTCTCTGCGATAGTGTACAAAAAGCTATGGGATATGATTACATTTGAGTAGATGTGAAACGCATAGGAAGGATGCCATCAGACGAGCAACACGATTGTGAACATGACGACACAAGAAAGAGAGACAATCGTTCATACGAAACCCTAAGCTGCCCTGGTCCTCTTCGTAGATCCAGAACCTCCGGTGGTCACTTCATCTGCTTCTGCTTTGCGCTTGAGGATGTTTTGATGACAGCCAGCATAACGCGTGTATCCCGTTTGCCTCGCGCCGACGATAATCTCATCGGCGAGACGGTCCCAATCGTTCAGCGGTTCCGGAGGAGACCACGCACGAATACGATCGAAGGCGGCATCCTTAACGGCGCTGGAAAACAAATAAATGTTGATTAGATCAATTCGTCGACAATAATAAGAAAAACGTACCTTGGAAACCTGGTTTCAATCAGGGAGACAACCCGGTCTCTAATCCTCTCCAAGGTACGTCGAAAAACGTGATCAATTTCTTCAAGATCACAGCGCTCAGGAAACAAGTCCTGTAATTGGTCAGAAGATGGATTGAAGGAGAGAATTGATCGTACCGCTGTTGCGCAAAGATCGGGATTCTTCTCCTTAATACTGAAACTGCCGTCGGGCGGCGAAGCCACGTTGTTATCGTCACGGTGATAGGATGCTGCCAGACGTGACGGAATGTTTTCATGACGGTAGGGTCCTCGTCGTTGGGGGCCGTGTGCGACAGCCACTGCGAAAACGTTGAGACTGATCCGTGTTCCTCTAAGACCTCAACCGCCTCTGACCCTGACCGGGGCCCCACATGCTTCTTCTTTTCTTTCACGTCGATGGACGTGATGGCGAGGAGATCCCCGCGATCCTTCATGAAGCCGCCGAGTCTCCTTGTCGCCGATTTCTTCGTCTGGGAGGCACTGATTTCAGTGGCCCAGAGGGGGATGCAATCACCGTCCGGGTCCTTGTACTCCATCAACATGTCCGGCACTCCAAGTTTGAGGCCAACGGCGCTGAGAAGATGAATGTCGGTTTGAATGCGGATCTGCCCGAATCGGTAAGGGATGCCTATCGACCCCACGGCGCCGAGCAGTGTGGCGCTCATCGGGGCAAGGTACGCTTGATGAAGTCGGTTAGGCAGGGTGGCGGTAAGGAGTTTGAGTTCCTCAGCGTATACGAGTCTGATGGAGGTAAACAGATGAGTTCAGGATTGGATGGATATGGATATATCAGAGTACTTACTTGCGTATTACTTTATCTTCATCATCATCTTCATCGATAGCATCTAAAATATAATGATAATCGTCTTTTGACACATTGAAAAATTCCTGTGGAGCCGTGAGTCAATTGAAGATAACGAAATGGATGATTACATACTTCGACTTCTTCCGCGTTATCGGCATCTCTGATGGCGGCGATAATCCGCTTGCGCAAGTCTATTGCTACTATTCGCTAGGGTGAGTGTGGTGCAATGTGTGATGCGCCAAGCGCTCAACACACTCACCATCTCTTGGGACACATTCATCGGCTGGTTTGGAGGATGCCTCCCTCTGCAAAGGTGTTGGTGCTGGATATTTGTTAACTTGAACCTTGGATTTTGATGGTGAATCCAATGAAGTGGCATTATTCAAGTTGTTGGGGGGGGGGTATTTGGGGAGGGACTTTGCACAAAGGTGTTCCTTTTGCTCTCAAGACCCTGCGAGTAGGACCTTCTGAATGATGTGGTAGAAGGTGATTGAAACCTGCATTCATAGGCACTATTGCATGCCTCTGACGATAAAAGGCGGGTAGTAACGGGCATGATGATGCAGATGTGCCTCTCATGGGTGCCACATCCACCTATATTATAGCCTGCGCAATCTGCGCAGGCTGAGTCAGCTGTCAACAGTTTTTTTTTTGTTTCCGAATCTTCAAGTTAGTAGTACAGCTGTATCATAGGTAAGCACTTCTCAGCTGTACTCAGTAGTCTCAGAACTCACAATTCACAATTCTTGCATACACAAGACATCATGATGCATCAAAAGTTTTGAGAACTGCAGGCCTCAAGCAGGCCTAGGGGAAACCATTCTAGCTAACTCTGGTTAAGAACTTACAATAAAATTTAATTCGCTGTATATTTACTTGCCAATATTCAATTATTCTAGATCAAATGTTTCCAGTTCACCCGCTAACACACTGTGCGCATGACCGCAGTGTACAACCATATTGTTAAGTTGTTAACTACATCATGGGCATGTGAGACAAGTGCAACACCAAGATGTGTAAATCCACTGAATTAAGGAGATTTCAGTTTCTGAGATTCAGGTAATTGCTTACTAAGCTGAAAGATCCGCCAATTACGCTCGTGACCAGCCTGTTGTACCGTGCATATCATGGTCAACTCATCTCGAAGACGTACATACTAGTCGGAAGCTTATATGTGTACGTGACTCTACGATGTTCGTAACTCTTTCTCGCCCAAGCTAACTCAATATGTGCGTATTTTTCTCAAATGGAAAGCTCCACACCCAGATCGCCATTACTCCACCGCTTGTGCTTCATTCCCGCCAGTGAGTCATGCTATTGAATAGCCATTCAATCGTGTTCGAGCGCACTTGGTCGATTCCGAGATGCTGGCACCTGGAGGACTGGATCACTTGCAGGTGCTTGATGCTTAGTGTATAAAGCATGAGTCGGCGTCTATCCCACTCATTTGTGACCATCGTGATCCCGGGCCTGCAGCGATGAGCATCCAGGACATCGATGAAACAGGTGTCAACTCAGACATCCACGATTACTCAGATCAGGCCCTTCAGCCTATCGGCACTTATGACCCGTACTATATCGGTACTTTCAGTCAGCCATTTTGTCCCAGGTCCTCAGTGAGTTGATGTTCCCCGTTCAACTTCATACTGATATAATTGTACTTCAAAGATTTCTAAACGAGTGTTCCATGACCTTCATCAGGAGGTTTTTGGAGCAGCACTCATGCGATGCTTCAACATGCATCCCAGTGTCTTGGCAGGCGAAGCGAGTCGGCACTTTCATCTTGCTGTATTGCGAAATACTAGCGGTGAGTTTCCCAATGGTCACACTTGTCAGGTGCTGATTACCGTGTATCATCATTACAGACACTAGCCTACAACAATCTTTAAGCGCGTTGAAA